GAGCAAATGCTTTATCCTCCTTATAAATGTATATGTATGTCTAATAAATGGAAATAAATTTTAAAATCTTCAGGACATACAATAGTAAATTAATGGTCTTCATATGCCTAATAATTTAACCACGATATGAACCTATGTGAGGATATCATGTAAGATGCATTTACATAAAAATACAGGGAACATAAATCGGAATATATCCAACAAGAAACATTAACAAATGAAAATGTTATGCCGTTAATGCAATTTGCATGTAAAGTGACCCGGCGGACGGTATAACTTTGAAATTTGACGTTAACGACGTCGCAAGCGCATTGTCTTTAACGGAGCAGCTCTTTCCTCATTTACGAAGTAGGCCAATACCATTTTTACATGTCTGATCCACTGCCTATATATAAATACTCTGTAAAAGTCGATATCATTGGCCAGCCCGCATAGCTCAATCGGTTAGAGCGCGAGACTTGTAATCTCGACATTGTGGGTTCGATTCCCGGGCTGGCAAACTTAAATTACTAATCAGTCTTTCGGATGAGACTTTAAATCGAGGTCCCGTGTATGGGTGCTTAAACACTTGGCACGCTTAAGAACCAGGGAAGCTTGGAATTGGCGGCATCTTTCTTAATCGGTAATTTTCACTGTATGACTAATACTCTCTGGAGGACTCGCCCCATAGGATGTATAATACAACGAAAAACCCACACGGTCCATTGGCGTCGCGCCGAAGGCGCCGACACCCCCTTATAGAAGATTCAATTTTGTGAAATGGCAATGAACTTCCTCGGTCTGCTTTACGATCGGCCATCATACCCAAACATCCGATTTGGTATGAAGAGTTGATAATCAAAAAATGAAAATTCGCGATATGTAAAGGAATAGTGAAACTGTTGATAATTTCCGCAATGTAAACTATTCAAGATGAAATTATGCTTATCCGTCAATTAATGCCGCTCTTCGGTAGGTTATAATCAGTTTGTAGTTACACAATGGGGTATTATGTGCGTTATTGCTTTACCTATAAATAGAATGATGACCTGAACATTGTGAAAGTCCGAAAATCTATTTATAGAAGTAGTTTTTAGTTTACCGAAAACGGTCATTGGTGTCGCAACGGAACTGGATAATTTTGCAGAAAATGAAATGGAAACATATTAGAACAAATTAATTGCCAATCTTTAAGTAGGCAATTTTTACGAATTGTTTATCAATAGTATTATCAAATTCTTCGTCTGCAATTTTAACATGGTTTATTGATAGCATGTAAACACGACTGATGGGTCAGACTAGGTCATTAAAATAGTAGATTGACCTCCAAAATAAATCAATTAACAGACTTTGCTCATTTTTGACTATTATGTTGCATTTTCCAAAGAAAATACCACATGAACATTGAAATTATGTCAAATGACCAATATTAATGATAATATCCAGACAATACCCCTTTTATAGTATAAATAAACTTATACCATATAGGGGGTATAGTTTGGATATTATAGACCTGTATATTTTGGATAATATCTTTAACATTGATAGAATTAAAGTTCCTGTTGGAAAAAAACATTTAATATTCAAATCTCTATCATGCCTACAAAACTCATGATGAACAATGTCTTTCGACCGCCCATTAATAAAGGATATACAATACTTGTTAAAACCAATAACCATTGAAAAGTTTATAAGAATATCTGGTCATCAGATGTGTACTAGTTCATCTTCACTTGCTTGCTGCATTTCTTGCTTGGACGCCCTTTGATGCTTTGCATCAATTCTTGTCTTGTACTGTATTGTAATAGACTGTATGATTTTATATGAGCTCTTGTAATATCGCAAACTTCCTTCTGCTACCGCAATAAACCATTATATGTCTTATATTTATATAATTTTGCTGCATCAAAATGTATCATACATACGAGAAAATAAAAAGAATCATACAACTAAGAACAAAATTGTCATTATTTAAAGAATAAATATAACGCATAACCAATTTTAAGCGGGACTGTTAAATTTTTTAAAACAAATCACAATAAAACCATAAGGTAGAATAATAGAATGATTTACACAATTGTAAACCATGAACAAAATAATCACACTGGCAATAGCTTTCGCAGACACGGTGGGTCCATCGAAGCGGCGGTGGAGATTTCGTCGCAGAAGCGGTGGATAAAATATGGCCGTTTGCTGCTGTCGGTAAGCTTATGACGAAATTTTGCTTTATTCTTTAATGTTTAACTGGAAACACCTAGTGAGGACTGGAGCACACATATGTACTTTTCCAAATTATTACACGCACACGGGGCATTTAATTGCCATTTGTGCAATCACGTCTGTACAGTTTGACGACGGGACGCCACTTTTGCCTAATTTTGCTTAAAACATGTACACATGTGTGCAAAATTACCCCTAAATACAAGAACATTACATGGCATGTATGATTAATTGCACAAAACAACCATATTTTTGAACTTTTGAAAATTGTTATTTTCCTTTTTATAAAATAATTGACAAAAAGTGATTACAACGCAAGCGGCGGCGAGTTGATTGCAACGCAGTGCGTTTGTCCGGATACAATTATTGTCCATAATGAGGGTTTACTTGACATAACTCGTTTTTAAATAGAGTACAACACTTCTCTTACTTTGATATCAGAGAAACATGTTTCTTTACTTAAAAATAATATGATTATTTATGCAAATAGATGTTCTACTTGCACTTCCATTTTCCATCCATTGTAATTCCTTTGGTAGAATAGTTTTCGTTCAACCATTGAATTAAGTAAACAACAAACATATAAAAGAAATTCCCGTAAAGATTAACAGAAAATGCTTCTTAAATACGAAACACAATCTCATTTTTGAATGTCACCGTGTTATAGTACCATACTGAGAACACCAATTCAGTACATGGTTGCTTAGGGTTAAATAAATAAAACAATGAAATTCATGAATTCAGAAAATGATATCGGTGACCTCTAAGATTTTTGGCTTGAAATGTTTATCATATTCTAAAATCATGACAAGTTTCAAGAATACATTTAGAACATCTTTAATTTTTCCTATATGTCTTTATAATATTGCACGTTTGTTAATATTAGTTATAAAGATTTTTGACAAGTTTAATGACCGGGTTTTTTTTTTTTGTTTTTTTTTTTTTTTTTGTTGTTTTTTGTGTTTTTTTACAGGTTTGGCCATTTGTTGCCGAACCGCTTAGCTAATGTTTTGTTGCAATCGTTTATATACGGCCATATAAACCCGTAAAAGTTTCATAACAAATATATAATACAGCAAGCGTCTTTTTTATTGAAAGAAATTGATTTCTTCATAAATTGACAGCATCCTAACTAAGATACATTGCACTGTCGTCAATTTATAAATCAAGGAAATAAAAAAAATTTAATAAGTAAGATTTTAATGTTTTATATGCGTGTCTTTATACAGCATTGCATCTTGACATCAAAGGTAGTACACCCCTAATGGGCACTATAAGGAACTGTAAAGTTGACAACATAGGACAGTTATATGCCTTAAATGTCACCTGTATGCAAAATTTAAACAAAATTTACTGTGTAGTTTATGAGTTATGGAGATTTTTCTGAACTAAATCTTTGCCATTAGAAGGACTTTTTTCAGAAATGAGGAAACTCTAAATAATCTATAATATTATCAATATGAAAAATGTTTTCCTACTGCTCATTGTTAAAAAACAAATAATGACAATATGGTAACAAATTAAACAAGCAAAATGATTGTTTTTACATGAAATGTTTTTAATATGTATAAAAATGTAATCCTACCCCACCCACTTTTAACACTTATTTGACCATTTCCCAATGTAAAAATCCTTTTTTAAAATATCCCTAAAATTTTCCACAATGAGGGGCTGTTTTCAAAGTTTGCCTTAATTTCCTTAAATGTACATTGGTTGGTCTTGCAAAATATAAAATACTTTTACCGTGTAGTTTTTATTTTATTAAACTTTGAAAATATCTGGTATCATATTTGCTATTATATTTGGCATTATTAAGTAAATAAATACCTACAATAATAATATAATTAAAATAAAACATTTTGATCTTACATTAAGGATCTGAGAGATTAATAAAAATGTTAAAAAGAAAAAAAGGAAGAAAAAAAAAGTTGCCCCTTCTGGGGGTTGAGATCACGCCCATCAGTATCAATACACTTGACAGTGATTGTAGCCTATTTGAATACTCTTCAAAGTGGAGATATTGCATTAGGGGATATGCAAGACGTCAAATATCGACCGGAGAAGTATAACGACATAAATATGTCAACATGCCTGAAAGGATGTCGACAAGACGCCTTACTTTTTAGCCTTCTCATAAAAACTAATGTGCAGTTGAGATAAGATATATCAACATGCCAGAAAAACTTGTTGACATGCCTTTAACAGTATAATATATGGACAAAGTGTTTGTCGACATGCACTGAAACATATGTGGTCAAGAAGCCTAGATTTTGTACAACAATCCATGATAAAAGACGTCATGTCGCGTTTATATATGTCGACATGCCGACACACGAGTTAAATACGAACATGGCATCTAGGGGGTCAATTCAAGCTTCCATACGTATCCGTATTCGTAACAGTTGTAGAGGTGGTAATCGTTATCGAAGCTGTAAACTTACTTAGTAATTTAAAGTCGAAGTCATACACGTTATCGTATACGTACTAGTCATTAAGTCGTAGCAGTGTACTAACAAAAGTTAACACAACTTGTAGTACTAGTAGTTGACCTGTGAGAAGTAGCTGTCCTAGTATCGCAGAAGTTGAAAATACCCGTGGTTGAGATCATTGTCGCCGGAGATAAGGACTAGTAGTCGTAAAAGTCACTTGGTCGTAATTGTCTTAGTAGTCTTTATATGCATAAACAAGCCATAAACGGTGTATTCGGTGTAAGCTGTACACAATGTTATAGTCACGCTTGAGTAATTTACATAGAAAGCTGTATACGGTGCAACATAGCAAATACTTGTTTCGAAACTTACTGTCGCCGTGCTTTGCGCGATCGTTGATGTTGGTAGAACTGTTGTAGTGGGTGGAGGTGGCGCTAAAGTTGTAGTTTGCGCAACTGTAGTAGTTAAAGATTCGGTGGAAGTTTCCGCAACTGTTGTAGTTGAAGCTTCTGTTGTAGTAGGAACTACTGTTGTAGTTGGAGCTACTGCTGTAGTCGGGGTTTCTGTTGTAGTTGGAGCTTCTGTTGCAGTCGTAGCTTCTGTTGTAGTCGTAGCTACTGTTGTAGTTGGAGCTTCTGTTGTAGTCGGTGCTACTGTTGTAATCGGTGCTACTGTTGTAGTCGGTTCTACGGTTGTAATCGGTGCTACTGTTGTAGTCGGTTCTACGGTTGTAGTCAGAGCTTCTGTTGTAGTCGTAGCTTCTGTTGTAGTCGGGGCTTCTGTTGTAGTTGTAGCTTCTGTTGTAGTCGGGGCTTCTGTTGTAGTTGGAGCTTCTGTTGTAGTCGGTGCTACTGTTGTAATCGGTGCTACTGTTGTAGTCGGTTCTACGGTTGTAGTCAGAGCTTCTGTTGTAGTCAGAGCTTCTGTTGTAGTCGGAGCTTCTGTTGTAGCTGATAGAAAGACAGACAAGCTCTCTCTTTGCACATAGCACAGCTCACTATCTACAAGGTCAGCAACAGTTGTAACTTCAGTACTTTGTTGGTGACATATCTGTTTTGCTAACGGAAGTTTTAAACAGTCGATCGAGAAAGACATGCACTGTAAATTCTCAGTGCAAAGTGAGGCACACTCAGTCTGCAACAAAACCAAAACAATTTCAGAATACTAGTAAACAAATATACTAATAAATAAAACAGACAAGACATATGCTTATTTGAATGTGGCATAGAGGTGGAAAATAAAATACTGGAATTGAAATTTGGTTTATTGAGCCTTTAACATTTTCTCTGAAAGAGCGAGGTTTGAATAAAATTGTTTAAAGTGTTGCAGGGATGAGTATAAAATAAATTTATTTGTCTAAAACGCTCTCTTCTATCACTGAAAATTATTTTTCAGTGAACACTAAAAATTATTTTTTCGGTGATCATAAGTACGGCAAATTTGATATCCTTTATATACATGTTATTTTGCATTCTTAGTAGAGTTACAATTACGCAATATAATTATGCATCTAGTCATACTGCAAATACAGCATTGCCTGCTGTTAGCCATTTAAAACATGTGTAATTACCAGCTCTGTGGGCGAAATATTTTTTTTTTTACCAAAAACTTATTTTAAAGAAAAATTATTACCAGAGTGGAAACTTCTGTCGATCCTATAACTGCGGGAACTGTAGGCGATTTATTTTGGTAGATGAGGTATTTTGACGTCACTATTTTACCCTTCACTCCTGCTATAATTGTAATTAAGAAAACAAAAGCAATCAAGTCACATTTCACCGAAATATAATTAACGAATATTTCCCTCAGCATTTTAAGCTATGCACACTTTCAATGTATGAAACTGCTAAATTCAAAAACGCGCTCACTTCAAACGTAAGCAAACGCAAAAAAAAAAGACGCAGCAAGGCGGGAGCGTCTAATTATTGATTGATTGCATGTGACGATTTCCGGTGTACTTAAATGAACTCGTAAATAAGCTGACTTTAATTCCTTTGAAAGAAAATTGGAAAAAACTTTTAAATACCGAATCGAAAAAAAAGAACCACGACACATTAATGGGAAGTGTTCTTGTGTTGTTTTTTTCTTGAATTGTCAATAATCCAGGCATAAACAATAAACATTATCTTGTGAAACGTACTCGTAAATATTATTCGTCTTTGTTCAAACAAATGCAAAACATCACATTATATAAGAAATCAATTAATAAACAACATTTATGTTCAAGCTACGGTTCTGTAAAACATAGCCCTTAAATGTTTTCATTTACTCCAAGAAAGCGATGGTTCAAATATCGGAAAAGTCTTAATGGTACACCCTGGCGAAGCGGATGGAAATAAATTATATGCTTACAACGTTAATTGCAATTTCTCGTGCGATAACATCAATAATATAACAAAAAATGTAAAAGCTTCAATTACTTTCAGAAATCATAGATGTCAATATTCATATTTTTTGTAATTATTTCCAATAATCCTTTTTTCATAGTTTGTCCTGTATCATTTATTAGGCCTGGTGACGCAATTTCAGATTACGCCCTTTCTACATTTACATGTATTACAATTGGTGTTATATACATGTACTTGCCGATAGAGCTACATTTTTCGCAACTCACGTCGTGATATCGTGATATATTTATGTCGACCTTTATCGTTATCGATTTGAGACAAGCGAAAATGTGACATCGCGATATCACGCAGCACGACAACGCGCCGTTTGGCGTGCTTGGTAACCGACAGTGCGGCAACGCGACATTTGACGCTTTGTCGTGTTGTCGCTTGCGACAACACGACGCACAAAAGTGTTCTATTCAGTCACCATATATAGCGACAAAATATGCTGGCTGATTTGGAACGCTTTTGTGCGTCGTGCTTGCGCTAGCAACAACAGGACAAAGCGCCAAACGGCGCGTTGTCGGACTTTCGTCTTGTCGTCCTGTCGCTAACGATGTACGCCAAACGGCGCGTAGTCGTGCGGCGTGTTGTCGCGATGTCACGTTGTCGCTCGGTTCAAATCGAAGGATTGGCTTATAAGCCAAGCGAAAGGGCGACATCGCGCCGCATGACAACGCGCCGTTTGGCGTGCTTCGCTAGAGACAGGACGACAAGACGACAGCGCGACAACGCGCCGTTTGGCGATTTGTCGTAAACGACAAAACGAAAAGGCGATAACGATATATGTTGCGTTGTCGCTATCGACAACGCAACGCGCAATGTACCAAATCAGTCACCATAACAAAATGACATTGTCGTTTGTTTCTCACCCATTTACTATTCCGCGAAACGAGTATTTTTACTTGAAATAAGGTTAAAAGCAAGAGGCAATGTCACATTATTGAAATCAAATAAATATATAACAATGGGAATTGAACCATAGTACGAAATTAATTACAAAAGAACGAAAAGAAAGTTGTATGCACAACTGTTAATATTTACATTGTATTTTAAATATTAAACTTCATATTAAATTTTGATAAATATTGTATGAAGTAACAAAACGTCACAGTAAACCAGGCTTATTATCGTCTATAAGGACAAACATTATGCAATCATGTATGCTTGTAATACTGGTATATGTCATTAGTAATTTATAATATTTGTTAACAAAGGAGTGTATAATTCTACTATTCTAGGGCTTATTTATCTAACATTGTTCAAAACAAACAGCTAAAGCGTTTCACTATAGAACTATAGAAATATTTATACATGTATTTAACATTATTTTCATCATTTTTCCGGAACATGTCCACTAATTATAGTGTAAATTAAAAAACATCATAGAAAAGAGCACGCAACCATATGTATGTATGTAACCTGATACTATAAGAAAATGAGTAAGCCCTAAAAGCGCTGTTGTTGCCAAGCAAAGTGCCTGCCTTTCAAGCCGTCACTCTATGTGCTTTAACGCTTTCCTCGTAGTCCCTGCCTATTTTGTAGGGCCACTCCCCTCGGCTACTTTAGTCGGGACATCAGCAGCTGGTCCGAAGTTCTGGTTTTTGTTTATTTTCGCCATCCTGAGTTTTTCAAATCTTCAGCCAATCTCACGTGCCTTCTCCACGACGTGCACGTGCCGATATGAAGAGAGAAGTGAGGACGAAACCACTCTGTGAGCATGCATTTGTATTCAACTCACGAGCTTCAGGCGCATGCGTAAAATATTACTCCGTTAGGAGAAAAAACATGAAGAAATAACTTTAAACGTTGATCATGTTATACTATATGAACAGCTGTTTTATCTTCTATAAGAATATGGGCATTAGTAAACCGTAAGAGTTTCAACATATGTTTCCTTTTTATTTCTTTATAAAAATTATACATTTCCCCCAAGATGTAATTTGGTGTTTACAATTGCAAGGATTAACAAAAGAGAATAGAAAAAGGTGTATCATAGATTACAAGGAAAAACAAAATTCATAATACTAATGTTCAAAGATTTTAATTTCCGTTTTGTTGTCGAACATTCAAGTCAATACGTTGTTCAAAACGTACATCAGACAGTACCATTACTTTTGAGTTCGATATAATTCGTTGAATACTGACCAGTTTCGCTTTAAAATCCATTCGATATTTTGCATTCTGGTACATTTTGGTTCGGAAATAGCAATACATATATTATTTGTTGGCAAACATCTGAGATATGGCAAACATATAGTAAAAATGTAATTTTTAAATTGTGTATTTAATTAAATTACGTTATTCATTTGCCTTCTTTGTTTATATAAAATAGAAATTTATATAAGTTTTGCATTCACATATCGTGTTGTATGCCTTTACTTTATATCATGCCAATACACTGGAGAAGTTAATTGTCTCGGCACTATTACTCATGTATCTCACATCGATCTTGAAGATGAAGAAAACTAGAGCTATGGAATCTCTATTATGTACATATATAGTCTATGAACAAATTTTGATCTGATTCCAGGACTAAATAAACATCAACCTGGTAAAACCGTAAATAGTGCCATAACTTTTCAAGTTTACTTTTAAAACTGTTAACAGATTCACTTATGACAATATCTCCTGGCAGATTATTCCAATCGACTATATGTGCCGTGATAAGGACAAGGACTGTTTACATCTTACTTTCAGTATTTGGAAAATAGTCCTCTTGTAATATGTACCAATATCCACCTTTTCATAATTATGTATTATCTTAAACAATTGTATCACATCAAAACTTCTGCGTCTATAGTATAGTGTTGGCAGATTCAAACTTAAGCGATCCTCATTAAGATTCAAACCTGGTACAATTGTTCAACATATTCGTTGGACATTTTCCAGCATCTTTTTTGTGGATGGATTCAAAACGGACGAGCCGTTTCCCAAAACTTATCTTATGTACATTGTTTTGTCCATGAATCATTCATATCTATGTTCATGTTTATGGAAAGGAAATATATATTATTTTTGCATTAAATTGATCATATAATATTGCATGACTCTAGTTAAGATGGTTTTTCATTTATCATGGGAATACAACTCCTCCGTTCATAAGTTTTAGGCAGGCATCTGAGTAGATCGGCTTGCACTGAGTAATTTAAGGTAATTGGAAAGCTTGATAATTGGAATAATTTTGTGTCCATATTGAAACAACACAAAAAGAACAAACTTAAAGCAAGTAATATCAGCAAAGTAAATGTTGCTGTTAAAAATTTCTGGAAATGGTTCATTCTTTGAGATATTTTTTTTTAATTTTTACTTTTATCACTTAATATCGAAAGGGCTCTTCTTAAATGACCAGATCAGACCAGTTCATTAATCTTGGGGGGAAATTCATGCAAGACTTCACTTAACCGTCACTTAAAATCTTTGATAAGCTTAATAGTAGCTTAAATCGTACTAATAGCAGAAAGTTAAACTTCTATAGTTGCTCAAAAGTAAACTATTTTCTAAAGCATTTGTGTGGAAAAAAGTAATTATACAAGAACGCTTAGTTTTGCTAAATGAAATTTATTTAATAAAATATAGCATACATAAGATGATGTATAATCTACAAGAAATATGAGTATTTATGTTGAACCAATAAAACAAGATGTTGCCATGAAACAAAACCTCTAATCCCATAATAAAGAAAATACTTTTTTCCTGGGTCATTTAAAGGTCAATGTGATTTATATAAGAAATTCAAGCTATTTTACGTAGTTATTAAAGGCTTAAATGACTTAAAAATCAAGCAGGAATTACAAAATTAAAGTACCCCTAATCTAACGACACAGGTACATAATAAACTACATGTATGTCCAGGTACATCGAAGTTAACTTAGGTATTCAAAACTTAAAGATTATCTGTCAATTTTCAGTTTAAATGACCCTTAAATATTCCTGATGTGTTCGGGAATAGGTAAGTTACAGCTAAGTAATTCAACAGCAGAAGACACTTTGTTTCTGCTACAAAAGCTTGAACTTTTGTTTTCTTGAACAAAAAAAGGTAATATCTGCCTCATACATCACAATACATATTTAACATATATAATAACTTCATGATAAATAATCACTAAAATTCTAAAACAAATTAGGGTTCATGTCGTGCCATAATAATATCAAGTGGAGTTTTCACTAAATGTACACCTCACAACACAAAACATCATAGGTTTGAGCTTTGCTGAGTGTCATGACCATACATTCTAACATCAGAACTTGTTAGTCTATGCAACACAATAAAGTTTGTAAGAAACTGTTTGTAATTACATTTTCACAATCATCTTAACACAGTTGAATTTATTTAATCACATCATAAGTAAATAATTTAACCATTTACTTGCTGAATTTCTAGTATGATTTTAATTTGGAACAGTTCATTCAAATATTAATGGATTTCATTATCAAAATACAAAAATAAAATCAGCCACCAGTATAGAGCCTGGTCAGACAAGTTAGATTTACAGGCTGGCCTGGCTCTACACTGGTGACAACTGGGATAGTGTAAAAAGCGGAGTCCCTGTGCTGGTGACAACAGTTAATCACTTTAGGTTACAGCAGGTTATGTATTAATCAATATAAGAGCAGATTTGTAAAAAAATCATTTCAGATCAAAAATACAAGTATCAACCTTCCATTTACAACAATTTTTAATGTAAACATAATTTTTTGAATAAAATAAATGTACAAATATATTCATAAATAAAGTCAATAATTGCAGGTGGCAGCTTACATTGATCAGGTGTTTGAAAAGTACATAAAACAAGATACCAGGTACATATGACTGCATATAAACAAAGCATGGCTCCTTGTTAAAGGTGTTAGTTGATGAAATATTTTAATTCTTATACAACAACACTATCACAGACAAATACATTCATTATAACATACAAATTACACATTCACATTATTTCTATCTATATTAAAAAAAAAATTCTGTAAAATATATATTATGCATTGACTGACGGAAGGAAATATTAATGATTGTTTTTTTCATTTTATCTCAAGTTTTCAAGAGAATCTTTTTTTTTAAGATATCATTTACTTCAAAAGTGTTGACAAGCAATAAGTTACAGAGTATATTTTCATTTTATTTATCATAGACAGTTATTTCCAGTTTTACAGCATCAGCTGTACAATATTGCTGAATCAACAAAATCACTAACATGGAATAAGAACTAAATTTTCACATAAATCATTTCTTTACAAGCTAAGAAATTGCAACATTTTTGGTTCTGAACTAAATATGAACAAGTTTAAAATTTTTTTTTTCAAATTCAAACATCTCTTTCAAGCACTCAGTGGCAAAATCTATATAAACATTTACATAATTTATTTATAATACAAAAATAGACATGATCATGGCTTTATTGGCAGCTTCAAATACATACATACATGATTAGTTATCAAAAAGATCATTTAAAATAACAATATACCAGAGTTTGGAAAATGACAAAACAATTATATGAAGGAAATAAAAAAAAAAATAACAAAATTATTTTTTTGTAAGTTTTGAAAAACTTCAAAAATAATTTCAACACAGTATTAATCAGCTTTTTGATTGGACTGAATGTAACTAACAATTTTACAAGACATGATTTATTATACTGTAACACACTATCCAAAATGACATGTGTATATATTATTAAATTTTTTTTTTCGTACTTTCTATGCAAATTAACCATAAGCATGCACTGCAGACACAAAATTAAGCGATACATGTATTTGGCTTTCAAGAGTGAACTTTGACCATGCACACCTTACCTTGTTAAGGTGGACATTTGCTTTAAAGTTTGAAGAAAATCCTTCAAGAGGTGCAGGATTCTTAGAAAAAAAGGTCACTATATAGAAGACTGATTGACCAACACAACATAATTCCAGTATAGCTCCCTCAACAAAAATAGGTAAAAAACTTTTTATTTGTAAAGCTTAAATTTGTTTGTCATGATTTATGTAAAGTTATATATATTTCAAGGGTCATATGAACTTTGTCATATTTTTGATATAAACAAAATAATTTATCATTTCAAAATAAATTCTAGACTTCATACATCATATATGTTATTAGATTTAAGTAACTTATTAAGGTATTACCACCCTAATGGGCACTATAAGGAACTAAAAAATTGACATCATAGGTCAGATATATACCTTAAAGTACACCTGTATGCAAAATTTAAACAAAGTTTACCGTACGGAAATCAAGTTATGGCCACTTTTCTGAACTCAAGCTAGGATGTTATGAGGGCCCTTTTTTAGAAATGAGGAACCTTTAAATTATCTGCAATAACATTCTAATGAAAAATGTTTTCCCATTAATTTTAGGTAAGAAACAAATAGTACCATTCAGCTAACAATCCACATAAGCAAAATTATGGTTTCTACTTAAAATTTATGAAATCTGTATAAAAATGTTACCCTACCCCACCCATTTTTACCACATGTCTGACCATTTTCCTACTAGGGAGCCTTATTTAAAAAATCCTTAAAATTTACCCAAATGAGTGCCTGTTTTCAAAGTTTCCCTAAATTTTTAAAGAAGTATATTGGTTGATCTTGTAAAATATGAAATACTTTTACCGTCTAGTTTTGATTTTATTACACTTTGAAAATATCAGGTGCCATATTTATTACTAGATTTAGCATAATTTAGCCAATAAATACCTATATAAATTAAAAAATCAAAACAAGGAACATCGCAATGCGATGCAACCAGGTTTTCAGCAAAATATTTCACAGAAGCTTTGTCATGAAGGGGCATTTGTTTTTAATTGAACTTTTAGGAGGAATTATGGATTTTTTAATATTCCTCAAACAAAAATGATTGAGAAATTTTATGTTGTCTATTCGCCTTTTTTTCCCAAATGTTTTAGAAAGGTAAACAGTACTTTATTTTTGCTTAATTTTTGCATTTTTGCGTCTCTTGTCATTTTCTTTTGTCAACAATATTGGCGTGTGGTGTTTTGTGCGATATCAAGAAAAGTATGTTCACAATTTTAAAAAAATACTTGAATGATGTCTTGGAAGAAACATGGGAATTTAGTGAGCGCCAGGGCACTTGATGACAAAGCTTCTGTGAAAGTTTGGTCAAAATCCATTGAGAAATGTAGGAGAAGTTGCGCACTGTAGAAATTGTTCACTATATATTCTGTATAAGGAAAAATATACAAAGGGCCATAATTCGGTCAAATATTATCCAATCACAAAACCCCGACAATATGTACCAGGCACTTGATAACAAAGCTTCTAAGAAAGTTTGGTCAAAATCCGTTGAGAAATGTAGGAGGAGTTGAGCACAGAAGAAATTGTTCTCTATATATTCTGTATAAGGAAAAAATATACAAAGGGCCATAATGCGGTCAAATATTATCCAATCACAAAACCCCGACAATATGTGCCAGGCACTTGATAACAAAGCTTCTAAGAAAGTTTGGTCAAAATCCGTTGAGAAATGTAGGAGGAGTTGCGCACAGAAGAAATTGTTCACTATATATTCTATATAAGGAAAAAAAACAAAGGGCCATAATTAGGTCAAATATATACCAATTGCAAAACCCTGGCAATATGTGTCAGGGCACTTGATGACAAAGCTTCTGAGAAAGTTTGGTCAAAATCCGTTGAGAAATGTAGGAGGAGTTGCGCACAGAAGAAATTGTTCACTATATATTTTATATAAGGAAAAAAAAACAAAGGGCCATAATTAGGTCAAATATTATCTAATCGCAAAACCCCGAGAATATGCGCCAGGGCACTTGATGACAAAGCTTCTGTGAAAGTTTGGTCAAAATCCGTTGAGAAATGTAGGAGGAGTTGCGCACAGAAGAAATTGTTTACGCCCGCCCGCCCATCCGCCCGCCCGCCCGCCGACATACCTCAATCTAATAACCAGTTTTTTCCTTCGGAAAACCTGGTTAATTAAACACATTTTTCTTTCCAAATGGGACATGAGAGATACATAAATAATGTTAAAAGAAAAAAAGAACGAAAAAAAAAGTTGACCCTTCTGGGGATTGAACCCACGGCCCTCATTTTCAATGTAGTTAACAGTACTTCTAGCCTATTTGAATACTCTTTAAAGCGGAGGTAATGCATTAGGATGGTAATACCTTAAATCATTTCATTATGTTAAAACAGATAAAGTATACAATAAATCTATAATTCTAATTGCTATTCAGATCTTAGTGACTAGAGGTGGGAAAACATTGTGATAGAAAAAAGACATAATGACATATACATAGGAACCTTAAATTCTGACCACAGGTGTCAAAATAATCTGTTTATGAGGTAAACAAGCAACAAGAAGGACAGGCCTATGATATTCAGATCTAATTGACTAGACATGAATAAATTGCAAAATTAAACTATTTTATTTGTAGTGCTAAAATTTGGAAGCATGCTATGTCTGTATAGAACCAGGCCAGTCTAAACAATGGTATGATATGAGTGAAGCCACTCAACTCCACTGATGAATGCCCAAATTTAACATTTTGATATTAGTAATCTCTGAAAATTAGCGATAAAAAGCTTCAAATTAAATTTAGGAAAAAAAAAATCAAACAAACTCAATAAAGAAAATGTGGAAAAACTGGGTGCTTTCAGTCACTTTTATACAATGATTTTGAAGTTATTAATGTAACCCTCAACCTGAGAAAACTGATTTAAAAAAAAACAAAACATGTGACCATCACACATGATGAAAAGAACTGAGAGGGAAGGGAAACAACTCTTAGCTATATTCATGTATTAGATAAGACCACTTCAGTTGCCTCCCATGCTAAGTTAAGAGACATAATTGGTCATTAGTTTCAACTTACTTTTTTTTATGTCATACTGCAGGAAATACATCTGAGAATTTTAGTTGTCTCCATTTAAATAAGGAACAGACAGAATTCTGATATCATACAAATGTACATAAACCAGAACTGTCAACAGGAAGGGGGAAAACCCATCGTAATATTCAGTGATATATATGAAATAAGAAGACTTTGGTTGTCTCCCTTGACCTGGTTTGTTTAGTCACTTCTTGTCTAAAACTGACATCTTTATCCTATATCCACATTTTTTACAATCCTCTGAATGACCGAGATCACACTTATTATACTTGCAAACACTCCAAATACAATGATGAAAATGTCCTTGAACTTGATGAAAACATTGAGTTCATTCCAACATAAGCGTAGATGAAATAGACATGGTAAAATAAAAGCTAACACTGAACTTCCAACAGCACCTGTTCAAAAAATAAATAAATAATAATAATAATCATGTAAAATATTATCAAACAAAATAAATTATGATTAACAATGTTGAACAATACAATTTCAAATATATATATATTTTTTTTTGTTTCATAATATATTTATATAGATAGTTTGACTAGACATATATACTTATTTTTTAAATTAATACAAAAGCTAATCTTACTATATTTAATAATTGATTTACTTGTAAATCTACGTTCCCTACATAAAGTAAAGAAAAGTATTCCAAAAACTCAAAAGTATTTTTCCCAAAGTTTTTAAGCTGAAATTCCTCACTGATTTTTTTTTACTTCTTGTATCTTCTTGTATCAACATTTTGAAAAATACGGGCAAATAAAATGTTTATTATTCATAACAAATGTGAACAATGTATCATATAAACAATTGCTTCTTCATTATTGACAAAACTACCATCCTTATTGGCGTCATCTTATTGGTGAGCAGCATCGTCTCTTATGGAATGCTTTTTATTTTGGCCTATGGAAGGAGCTGCTATTATTAGCAGTTAATGTCATGTTGTGTTAATTCGTTTTTTTTTATTTGTAAAAATCAAGTTAACTTAAAGTTGTTATATTTGTATTAAATAACTTTATGTAAAAAGCATGTGCATTGTGATATTATTTTTACGAAATTGCTGGCTCAGTTCAACAGCTTGCCCCTTAGCTTTATTGGCAACACTAAAACCCGGATTTTGAATATTGTTGTGGTCTACATTGATGCCGTATTCTTTTTCATTCATTTATATATTTTCAAAATTTTCCTACAAGAAGAACATTCACCTGCAAATGAGTATTAGGATAGGTAATGGAACTGTTGTAATTACACAATGTATATACTTAAAAGATTTTCCATGAATTCTTTCTTACTCTAATGCTGTTATTGAAATTCATAAAAGGCGAAACATTTTTAAAAGAACTTACCAACAAAAGCACCAACATAGGCAAAATTATCTTTTAGTATAACAGCTAAACCACCAGCTAACACTACAATACCTATACGTAACACATTTCTCTTCCAAGCTGGTACCTAGAAAATATATATCAATAACTCTATGACTGCTGTCAACAGCAATTATGACAATACCACCATAATTCTATCCCTTCACATGTTTTATATCAACATCTTCATATCAACTGGTCATATTTGCTAAAATTGCTCTGTTACATTTGATGTAATTTGTCCTCTTAATTCAATGGCCTGGCTTTGTGCACCTAACCAGTCTATGTAAGTAAACAAAGGTTTCTATATATCAAATTAATCGTTAGGAACTGCAGTTAATGAAACTGCATGTTGCACTGTGCTAACCAGTGTCACAACATTTTTATCCAAGATGGAGTCAAAGACGGACACTGTCTGTTTCCTGTTAATACTTTTGGACATTTAACTAACATTTTATTGGGAATCAATTATTTAACTATTTCAGGCACAATAAATAAGGCACTCTCGTAGAACCACAGCTAGCTAGGAAAGAATCCAAAAGTCAGTGACAGTATTCAAACTACCTGCAAGGAGGAGCAATAATATATATATACAACAAGTCTACATATGTTTTTGTTCATTATTGTGCCATCATTTTGTCTATTTTCATTATTCATTTTTCAATCTCTTCACTTGCCAAAGTTTTTAGGTTAGGTAAAACATTTCTTTTTTTGACTCACATTTAATGAGTTTGTGAGTATTAATTTGTGAGCCATGCATGCATGTTGTAGTGTTAGTTTTTGTGAGACTGCCTGAAATTCATAAAACAATTAAAATTAAAGTTATCCTGTAGCAACTTACACTATCTGGTACATGTGCAACAAGATTTTCATGACCTAATGTAGGAGTTTTATCATGTGGCATCAAAGCTTCATCCTCCCCATCACTCTCTAATCTTCTATATACCTGCTTACTAGGACCACATATTCTACCTATCAACAGAATCAAACAGTATTACTATACTAATATAAAATCCTTTAAAGGGACTCCACTAAGGTTTTTTGACATGAAGGGGCTGGAAATAATTGTTAAAAATTAATGTTTCATTTGATGTAGGGTTAGACTAATACTTGTGTGCAAAATTTCAGATCATTTGCTCACTCTGTTTTCGTGAATAATTATTTTAATTGTGAACAAGAGCTGTCGGTAGGACAGCAACGCTCGACTATTCTAAGTGCTTGATAGTAAAAAAAATGCTTGATACAGTTACCTCCTCCTGTTTACAGGTTGAGGTCATGATGGTGAACAAGTGTGCAAAGTTTCAAAGCCATATGTCAATGGACTTTGAAAATATTTGAACTATTACAAAAACTTTAACATAAATTCTAAGTCGAAAAAGGGGCATAATTCTGTCAAAATGCTTGATAGAGTTACCTCCTCCTGTTTACAGGTTGGGGTCATGATGTTGAACAAGTGTGCAAAGTTTCAAAGCCATATGTCAATGGACTTTGAAAATATTTGAACTATTACAAAAACTTTAACGTAAATTCTAAGTCGAAAAAGGGGCATAATTCTGTCAAAATGCTTGATAGAGTTACCTCCTCCTGTCTACAGGTTGGGGTCATGATGGTGAACAAGTGTGCAAAGTTTCAAAGCCATATGTCAATGGACTTTGAAAATATTTGAAGTATTACAAAAACTTTAACGTAAATTCTAAGTCGAAAAAGGGGCATAATTCTGTCAAAATGCTTGATAGAGTTACCTCCTCCTGTCTACAGGTTGGGGTCATGATGGTGAACAAGTGTGCAAAGTTTCAAAGCCATATGTCAATGGACTTTGAAAATATTTGAAGTATTACAAAAACTTTAACGTAAATTCTAAGTCGAAAAAGGGGCATAATTCTGTCAAAATGCTTGATAGAAGTACCTCCTCCTGTCTACAGGTTGGGGTCATGATGGTGAACAAGTGTGCAAAGTTTCAAAGCCATATGTCAATGGACTTTGAAAATATTTGAACTATTACAAAAACTTTAACGTAAATTCTAAGTCGAAAAAGGGGCATAATTCTGTCAAAATGCTTGATAGAGTTACCTCCTCCTGTCTACAGGTTGGGGTCATGATGGTGAACAAGTGTGCAAAGTTTCAAAGCCATATGTCAATGGACTTTGAAAATATTTGAACTATTACAAAAACTTTAACATAAGTGGTTACGCCGACGCTCGGGTGACCGCAATAGCTCTACTTATTCTTATCGAATAGTCGAGCTAAAAATGACCAGAAATTAAATAGTGTTGCAAAGCTTTTCACATTTCATCAAATCAAGCTAGGATAGTGCAAAAAATAAGATTTTCAATTTATTTCTGAGTATAATTCTTATATGCATATTTTTCTGTTTTAAATGCCCAAAATAATGTATGTAACAATTTCAAATTTTATGTTTTTAGGCTTTTGGACCTCAGTGGAGTCCCTTTAAATAATCAGTTTATTTTAATTATTTGTTTTCAATTAAAGTTTTGCATAAAACAAATTTCAATTTTTCATAAATGAAATTAAGAACATGTCTATACCACAAAAGAGCTTTATATTTCTTAGTGCCTAGAAGTGAAATAAGAACAGATTCTATCAATCTCCAGGGGAGCAGTGGCCTAGTGGTTAAGCTGTCTGCCTCTCGACCCAGGGATCATTGGTTCGAGCCCTAAGTTGGTCACGATCATGTTTCCCCATATGACACACCAGTAATGGTTGGTTTCAGGAAGCACACTCAAAAGTGATTTATTAATATAAGTTGCAAGAACTTGTTTCCCAATTGAGATTAAATAAATATGTTTAAACCATCTATCAATCTTTTATCTGGTTTATTCTTTAGTCGCAATATGATTACTTTAATATACTAGCATTGAATTTTTAAATCAACTTTACATTTATGAAAGAAGAATATGATATGAATCAGTCAATTTTTTACCTTCACTGAACAGATATTTCTCAATAATCTCTATCACAGGGAATATTTGTAGAGGGAATGTCAAAAGAATTCCGAGACAAATTCCGATATTAACAGCCACTGACACCGGATTTCCTGCGGGAATATTTTGATTCAACATCTGATGTACATTGACACCGTACTTCATGTAACCCATTATACCAAAACAGCCTAACACCACGGTCAGGAAGAGGATCGCACCATGCAGAAAGGCAGAAAATAAATGTCTGTTACCCACCATGCTCGACTCCACTGGTATCACCTAAAAATAGAGGTTAAATGTGACTTGGTAAGAAATTGGTTACTTTAAACAGTAGACTGTGAAGTGAATTGTATTTTGATATTTACACAGTAAAAATATCAAAATATAATTTCACTGCAGTCAAATTATATTTGAATGTTGATGATATGAATATATCATAGACAAATAGACTAGAAATTTTGTCAGGTGTACACTCTATAGTAAGTTAAAAGTTCATGTACATGATTACTGGAAGCAGATAAATATTTACAAAAATGCCGTGTTAACAATGTGACCAAACATGACCTACAAACTCATTTTTCATGAACTTTGTGATGTCATAGTTTTATGAAGTCATGAATGATAAGCACATGACTTTACACCTCAATATCAGTGAGAATGACTTATAACTTAAAACATGTAGCTGTAATAAATATTTTCTTGTTTTGTGTGTAAGATCAAATTACAATGTACATTTCACATGTGAACACCAGCGGTCACATTTTTATTTTGCAACTGTATCTGGTGCTCACTTAGTGAAATATACTTCAATCCTACATGCACAACAAACAAATATCCTTCATTAGTTTTGGTATTTCTATTTTTGGGTGTCTAGTGATTTAAATTTTATACATGTATTATAAATTGGTACAAAATTTCTTATCATCTGCTGCTATCAAAAAAAAGGCTGTAATAGACTATACCAGTTATCCTTAGTTTCCATAAAATATCAAGCAATCTCTTTTCATATTAAGACAAAATCAGTTAACTTACAAATAGAACTGGGCATAACAAAATTGCAGGTTTTTTTCCCTTTCTATAGTAGGGACAGTTTAAGGACTGCTTACCACCTAGGAAAATTCTTTAAAATCATGCTGATTTTCCATAAAATTCAATTTACATTAAGTGTTTTCTTCCCGTTTTTGCAAATTTACTAATAAATTTATTTACTTTTGAGATAATATTATCTATGATTATAATTACTACCTGTTTGGAAAAAAATTCTATAAAATATCATGTCTATTTACAAGTTATGCCCAATCATTAATAATTTCCTTCAGAGTTGTGACCCAAGTTTAAAGTGACATTATGCTCATTTTCCATTGTCAAGTTGAGCTGAATTGACTATATATTTCAAACAATTGACTTTTTCAATGATGAGTGACCAATAGTGGAAAATCTTTAGGATAAAATATAAATCTGCCTATCAAGAATAAAAAGACTTCCCTATTTATAAACATGTAGAACATTACAGGTAAATTCTGATGAATATTTACAGTAGTTTCCACGTGCCAAGTGAGTTACTTATCAATCATGTGAAGTAAATTATAAAATTGAAATGAATTATGGCAAAATGTAATTTTACTTTGACTTTCACCTGTTTACTCACTTTATACCCTTGGATGGGCATAATGTCACTTTAACGTCAAGTAGCATAATATGTCTTCTGGATTGTACAGTTATTTCAGACAGCAATTCAATTAAACCATTTACTTTCTGAATTCTATGAACAACATGTAAATATACCATACATAGATGCATTAATAAATTTACAGTAACTTTGCCAAAAACAGAGTGAATGTTTCAATTAATACTTTTCTATAAATACTAAATTATCAATTTAATCTGTTTCGAAGTTTACCTTAGTTTGCTAATTAAATGTTTAGTTTTGTTAAGTTTATTATGACTATTACAAAGTTTTATTCATTATACATTGTACTTAAATTGATAGAAATATGTATTTAAAATTTTCTTTAATAAATCATGCATATTATCAAATAAATAAAAACAACAATCAAATAAAGAAAAAATATTAAAGATTTGTTTTAAGTTTAAATTGTGAGATGATAATTATAATATCAATATAATGTATATAACATTAGTCATCAGTTTTAGCAAGACATATTCTTTTAAACATAGGAAAAAAATTAGCGTTCAAATATGATTTGAATTCATAAATGTATTTATAAACATGAAGCATTATGTACATAGTATATGATTATTGATATACATGTTAGGTGTTCATTCACCACAAATATATGCCTGAAGCCTGACTTTATATATAAATGAGCAAATACCATTTATGTTGAAATTAAACCTGACCATGAACTTTAAATACAGTGATTTGTTTGTACTTCTTAACCCTTTACCATGATGCTAAGTATCTTAAATTGACTTGCCCATCTTTTAATTTTGACTATTTGTAATTTATAGGGAAAATATCAAAATTTGTACCGACTGAATGGCAAGACCATGATCAGAAAGCAAGGATAAGCTGGCTGATTTTAATCTGCACTGGTTGTAGAACCGAGTGCTGCCTGCAGGCTGAGGTTAAGAAACAACTTCTGTTTTAACAATGGGGAAAATAAGCTGGACAGTAGAGGTGTAACGATTCATCGATGCATCGATACATCGTGATCTGCCCTTTCCTCGATGTATGCATTGTAATGAATTTATAAATTCCAATATATCAGGATATAAAAATGATAAAACCCAACATACCTATATGTCAAAATATATAATATAATTTTATATATACATTCACTGGGAATTAGCGAGAAAGCATTACTTTAATAATAATATAATAACAACAACATTATCCATTACATATTATCATAATCATCATCATCATGTTGTTGTTATTATTATTATCTTTTTTATTATTCTAGATAACTTGCTGGCTAATTAAAGTAATGCTTTCTCGCTAATTCCCAGTGATTGTATATATAAAATTATATTATATATTTTGACATATAGGTATGTTGGGTTTTATCGTTTTTATCTGCTTTATATTGTAGAAATATAGTTCTATTTTTAATACCCGCTGTATCTTTTTGATCCATATCTATTTGTTAATTACTTTACATTCACGTTTTTGCGCAAATTTGTCACTTTGACGTTGGTGTCCTAACGGACGTGACGTCAAATACTTTGTACGTTATTCTGATGAAGACAACAGTCGAAACTAGTAAAGATTAAAGAAATATGTGTTGTTTTGGTATATTTTAACTAATATATCAGGATGCAATACATATTTCAACACTCGATGCATTGATATAGCGGGAAAGTATCGCAATACACTAATAGTTATGGTATAATGAAAAATACCTTTAATCCTTAAGTAAAAAGTAAAAATCCTTAAGTAATAAGTAATGTAAATTGTTGAAAGATCAAAACTTGAAAATAAGTTATAATAACAAATTGAAGAGTTTATAGAGTTATATTACATTCGTAATTATGTTATGAACAAATGACCATGTTTTTTTATATAGATAAGGTCTGAAAGTCAGTATTGTGATACGTATTGCATCGAAACATAAGAATCACAATATGCATCATATTTTATCAAAGTATGCAATACATATCGTGAATCCCATCGTTTGGAAATGCAAGTATCGTGACAGAAAAAATGGCAATGCACAGCCCTACTGGACAGCTAGGTCAAGATCTGAGTAAATATCTGACTATTTACCTTCTGAGGACAAGACACATTTAATGTTATTAATTAAAAGCCATGAAAAACTGCATGAAGTATTAAGAATAAAGCATTTGAGGGGAATCAATAAACAGATTAATTTCTGGCATTTGATTTCATCATGTAGCAATAAAATTGAAAACAATGTTTGATAAAACAGTCAATGGCACCTTTTTTTAACATCTACAGAAGCACATGGATGCATTTTAAGCCCAAGCCCATATGAGAAGGGATTAAATTAGTCGAAGTGCTCCAGGAGATATAAATGCATACATGTAAAAAAGGTGTATTATCACTATTCTTCCATAAGTCTACATACATGGATAGACACATCTGTATACATAGATTAAACCACATTACATTATCTGTATTTCATATAACGTAATGATTGCATGTGCCCCAGATCAATTTCATTCCACAATTACATTTTGATAATAAAACTTAGTAGCGTGGCTGTCATTGCATTAAGCTGTTTACATTGCACCCTGAGTCATGCATTAAAATCATGCAACAACAGCGTATGGTCACGAGTATCTATAGTTAATTAATTTTTACTTCTCCATTAATGCATAATGATACATGTACTTTGTGCACAGTTTTTATGCAAGTAATTGAACTACTACAATAAATCATGTTTACCAGTCCAATTCCTTCAAAAGCTCCAGTAACCATTCCAAAAAATACGGGAAATCCTTCAATACGAAACTTTATAATACTGTCACTTATCTTGAAATCTGCAAATAAGGCAAACAGAATACAATAATATTGAGGCTTATTCTTGGAAATATAAACTCATAAATTATGAGAAATTATCATAACACAAGCAGTTTTAAATGCCAGTGAACACGGAATTTCTATCTTAATATAAGTTAAATATTTTGTCATAGTAATGCATTCCCAAAACGAAACAGAACTGGTAAGACAGTCAGTAGTGGTTGACTTGACTGTACCTAAATTAGTATACAGGCATACACTGATTGATCTAGCCAGAAATTCTACTGTTGGCTCTTCAGTTTTTAGTTGTTCTTTTTTTTAGACACACTGACTATTAAGTTCATATGACTACTTTTTGAGCCTAACTGGTGTAGGAAGACCTCAACTGCGACCCCCATGCCTTGCTTTACATACAACTTGGTACTTGAGTAGAACAACCATCTGTAAGATTTCAAAATCCCTGGCAAGATTCCAACCAACAGCAATGGAAGTCATGTGATTCAAAATCAGTGACCTTCACAAGTAAGCCACAGAGGTCCCTCAATTTTAGTTCAATATTGAAAACCCTTATAATTAATATAGTGGAAAGCTCCACATTCAAAACAGGGCAAATCCATTACTCAAATTAGGTAGAGTTAGGTTAATTAACAAGTAAATGATGTACACTTACCAATTAAAATAAACACCAGTACTGATACACAGCCAAATAAGATTGAGAAATTTGCTATCATGCTGATGACTCCGAGGTATCGAACATTTCGTATCAACGCAAACAAAATGAACACAACGATCGGACAGATTACTAGAATCTTCAAGTCTGGAGCAGTGTAGACTAACTCAGGAATTAATGTCCATGGTACGCTAGTCGTCGCATTGGTAATTGGTGCAAATGTTGATGCATTTGGTGTAATTGTGGTAACATTCGGTGTAATTGTGGTAATATTTGGTAGTATGGTGGAAGCATTGGGTGCTAAAGTGGTAATATTAGGTAATATTGTAGTTACATTCTGTAACGTTGTTGAAATATTTGGAGTAACTGTTGTCAGTATAGGGGCTAATGTTGAAATGAAATTATCTGTCAAAATATCAGCTGAGTAGGTGTCTAATATATTGTCATGTGACGAATATTCTGTCCACGTGAGGTTTCCGAATTTTATATCATTATCATGTACATCTTTACATATTCTTTCATGTGTTTTATTGTCACTGAAACATAGATGTACAGGAAATAAGGAATGTAGGGTATTTCCAATAAATATAAAGTAGTTCACACAAAATCCAAACTGTGTAAGCCCGATACAGAAATTGACTATTCCAACACCTACACTTCCAAACGCTAAATTTCCAACATCACCATAGCTCATATTTTTAGTGATATTTTCGTGGATATCAGCATGGTTTAAAACTTCAAAATCACTATTATCTTCGCTGTCCGTCTGCGTTACACAAGGTGTACCCTCGTTGTTATCATATTCATCATCATCAACGCCAGAATCTCGTGGAGTGCTGTTACAGCTATAGTTGTCTCGTTGCCGTGAAGCGCCATCTGGTGTTTTATTTGTATGTTTCTTTATCATACCTTTGATGCCATGGTGTTTGGTTTTCACGATGAGATGACAACAATGGTCAGTGAGGAAGGCAATCACAAACATACCAACTATTCCAAGCTGAAATTATACACATTAAAAAGGTAAGATTAACATAGATCAGCAGCTGCTGTATTACATGTAGAACTTAAAGCAGCACACCTCCATTTTAATTTTCATAAAAATTTGAAAATGTATTCAACAGTATAATATTGTGAAGTTACCAAAAGGATGCAATTTACACATTATCAATGGCACTTACAACCCATAGACGTCAAAATATGCAAAAATAGCCCTTACTGCGTTAGTAACTCAGTAGAAATATACATGTAGTATAAATACTGAAAAATTGGTCATTTATTACATATAACATGAAAAATTTTAGCAGAATTTTGAACGTTTATACTTTTCCTAAAATCTTAGTAAATTTTCTCAGGTTTGATTTTATCTTAATATTTTTGTTCATTTTGAGGCGTGCAGCTTTAAAGTATAAAGCACTCTAATCTATAGTGATAAGAATCAGAATTTACACATAACATGCTGAATTTCTAAAATGGACTTGACCAGCTTCCATTTTGGAACTGTCCATTATCAATTTTTGGGATATCAAAATGAAAATTTACAGTTAGTTAGGCAACATTTTACAGCCTGGTTTGACTGCACAGAATCTGATGTACAGACTATGTGTTGGTGTCAAAGGTTTATCAATTTTTGTTCCAGCAGGTTAAGGATTAAGAAATCAAATTAAAGAAAATTATAATTTGTTAACTGTGTGAAAATAAATGGGGATATGAAGAACAGAACATTTTATTCTGTTACCTTCTGATAACGAAAAGAGTGTAAAATTTAATAGCACAGACAGTTCAAGTCTTAACTTTTCTGAGAAACTAATTGTGACTGTTTTTAAAATTCATATTGTATATTTAACCTGTTATAGCTTTAAACCCTTAATTTGCCCCTGATTTTCATCCAAAACATTTAATAACACAATAAATATATGTATATGATAACAAATAACATAGAAATTTAATTATTTATTACTATTACTTCATATTGTTTGTTTGTTTGTTTGATTGGGTTTTACGTCACATTGACGTATAGGTCATATGGGGACGGTCCAGCTTTACTGGTGGAGGAAGACCTTGTGCGCCCTAAATCCGTGCATAATTTCAGACACAAACAGGCACTCAAGTAGAACCACCGACATTCTGTAAGCTAGCTGGATAGCTTCCTTACATGAAAGAATCAAGAGTCCCGGTAGGTATTCAAGCCCAAAGCAGTGAGGGGCAAGTAGTTTGAAGTCAACAACCTTTACCACTCGGCCACGGATGCCCCAGTATTAATACAACACATAAAACTTCATTTTGTTTAACTTTAACTTGAATGACATTTCAACAACAGTATCATTCTGGTATCTGAATCATAGATGTAAACACTTAATCTGCTGTGATTCACTAACATAGGCAATTGTGGGGTTGAATTGTCTAAAATTTGAAAGGGTTTTATATCAGTGTAAAGAAACACTCTACTTTCTGTGATCAGAACTAAAAGGTGCATTTAAATCACAATGACTCATAAACATTGATTTGCATAAATTTTCAGATAATTGTACAGTGGTTTTGTCCCTATACTGTGTATGATTTTACTTCTAGACTGTGCATATAATGAGTATATCTGCTAAGTGACACTGATCTGGTGGTACATATTGTACCTTCTTTATGTGTGTGTCGGTCCATAAGACTTTTGTATATAATGTGGGGGATGACAGAAGGGTGTGAAGGTTCAAGGTCAAAGATCAAAGGGCAAGAAATTTGGCACAAAAAAGACCTTGGAAATGTGAATTTCACAAAATCCTATTGAAGGTAAATTCATGAAAATGGTAAAAAGTATATCTTATGGTTGGGAAAAGGATTGGGTAAATCAACATATAAGTATATGGATGGATATTTCTTACATGTACTCAAAATCAATGCACTGCATTCCAGCTGTGAACAGTGAACTTTGTCAAAACAATAGCACTGTTATTTTCTCTTTCACTGTAAATGGGATTGAGTATGAAACATGTGTACTTAACAACAGGAAAAGAAATAAGTTAACCTTAAACAGTGTTAAACCATGACTATGAAAATTGTGTGCTGTAATGCATAATATCTACATGTATATTAAATACCTGTAAAAAAATTGTAAAAAGGAAATAATAAAATAATGTTAAAGTTTCATTTAATGAAGGTTTTATGTCTGCAAACTGGAACAACTCCCTCTAATTGTAGCAAACAAAACAATTAGATAATACATTATATGAACTGTACATTTGATAAACATAATAGTAGATAAGTAATAAACTGTCATTTGTTTGTTGTCAAGGAGTATTTTCCCCTACATGTTTCCATTGTAAGAAGAATATTATTAACAATCATTCTACAAAATGGAACAACAGATGTTGAAAAGAGAACAAAATTAATGATTTATTAAGTATCATGTACACATATTATGCTATGTATATATGGTATGTAAAAACAAGGTTTATGTAGTGAAAGATAAGAGTGGAAAATTTCACTATTACATGTAATGCCTCATTGTGCTTTATAATAATCATGTTGACTGGTTTATTGGTAGAATACTAGTAATGGATGTCTGTTGTTACACTGTGTTAACTATATGTAAGTTCAATATATGTAGGTTTTTGGTTCTCACACAGCAAAAAACCCTAAATTGTATTACTGACTTAACTGACTTGATAATGGCCTGTATAATAAATTACAAAAAATATTTTATTTCTTAAAGAGTATTTTAAATATATGATGTTGAAAAGCTTCCTTTTATGCCATACATGTAATTTTGTTTGCATTGCACTATTTTGCTTCATTTTGTAGACTTTAGTACATGTACTTCATTTTTGAACAGTGACCTATTGTATGATATCATATTGTGAAAACACTTAAAAAAACGTCCAAAGTACTTATACCATTACTGTTACTTACACCATGTACAGTAATTGACATGAGGTACTGTTATCATCTGCCATTGAACTTTGACATTCCATAATTACATACCGGTATATACATGTAAACAAACTAATGACCTCTTGCATTAAATCAAGTGTATGTATAAACTGGTACATAAAATATGAAACATGTGAATGAACATAATTTTGCAATTTTTTTAAATTCATATTTTGTTTGCATATAATATGAATATTTATTGATGTCTTAGTAAACTATCAGCTCAGTAGGCCTACAGTGTGCTATAAAGTACAAACCCTGTTCACAGGAGCTTGTGACCTGTTTATGAATATAATAAACTGGATTAATCCAGAAATAAACCAGAACAGAGTCAATGTTAAAGAGATAATAGAGTGAACATGTACCAGTCATTTCCGGTCACCATGGTGATGTAATTGGTCATGTGCATTTTTTGGTGCACCGGTCCTAAGTACATGTTTAGCAGATAATTTTTAAACTTTTTATCTTCATTTGCAACAAGAATATTCCATTTATTTATAATGAAATAATATCATAGTCAATATAAATGAAAGAAAGAAAATAAGAGAAAAAATAGAAATTTTGCACAAACTACAAAAAATCACTACAGAAGATTTACCAAAAGAAATAGTGCAGAAAAAAGAATATAAAATTGTATTTTTTTTTTCATTCTAAAATATCAAATCCCAACAATTTATGTGCTGCAGCAAAATAATTAATTAAACAAAAAAAAAAAAAAAAAAAAAAAAAAACAATATACAAGCCCTGCAGCTGCCTAGCTGCAAAATTATGTTCTTTCTTACACTATTGTATATTTCTCTTGTTAGAAATATCTAACATTTTTTGGCTTATCTGTAATTTACTTACAAACACTTTATTTTCAATAAACATTTTAATTTCCTCAGAGTTTCAATAAACATGCCACAAAGAAAGGAAAACTTACCCACAATCCTACTTGAGAAAAGGCATAAGCCACATAGAGGTAATTTGAGCCAATAAAGGCTTTTACCATGTTGGCAAAGTCTGCAAAATTGACATACCATCTTGGCTTTGGCCTAAAAAGGAAAATCAGAAATATGTCATTTAAAGTCAAAACTCATAAATTCAAAGGTTTAACTATATTTAGGCCATGTTTACTGACAGTTGAAATGTTTACTTTTAGAATCCATGACACTTCAAAATCTTCAAATGCCAAGTGATTTTTTTTCCCAATTTTCAAAGCAACCTGTGGCTTTCTGAAGGGGAAAATATAGTGCGTGAATCAGAAAAGGGAAAAATCAATTTAAATCATTAAAATATTTTGGGCTATGGGAAACAGCCTTTATTCCGCTGTAAAATGCAGCGAAGAAAATCACTGAATGACTAAAAAATGTGAGTAAAGATCTCGAAAAAATAAATTTTCAATATAACCTTTTTGAGATGTAGAAACATAACTTACCAAATATGTTTTCATTTGAACAGTTAAATTTCATAATCAAATAATTCACACAAAAAAGTTTACTTTTTTATCTCTTTATTATAAAGTAAAAACCAATAGCATGTGTTGTAGAGTCTACAAAAATGTTTTTCTAGATATCCTCAAAACTTTAAATTTTTAACAAAAATGTTACCAAGCTGTGTAAAATACTTTTTACAATCTAGGTTTTTTTATACTTGTCACTCCAAGAAAATGTGACAAAATCATACAGCATTATTTTATTTCATACATTCATGAAATTAAGTTTTTATTATTGCTTTCAGTGTACTATCAGTACATGTACATAAATCACACCAAGTTAGTAATAAATTCTATACTTAAATTCCTATAAATAAATTCAATAATTATTAAAAGAATTTTTGATCAGAACACTTCATCAACTTTTCAAGTTTCTACTTTTCCAGTATGTTTGTAGCTGAAGCTAAATCACAACTGTTTTCTTAACTTTTCATATCTATTGACACAGCTATCCCTGCTTTAAAAAGCTTGTAATTTTGGTGATTATTGTGGTACCCTGTAACTGTCATCCTACACAAGTGATTATGTAAACAGGTAAAAAAATCTTACTAAAATCCAGAGCAACAGATAAGCTTTAAAAGTGAATTGGGTATTACTCCATCATTTCCTTTGGAATTGGGTATTGGCTCCATTTAATTGGGTATTCTAAAACTCGATACCCTATGATTTCAAGATCAATTGGGTATTCAATTATGAAAATATGAATTTTATGGTTTCAATATCAATAAAATTTAAACTGTTTTAAAAAGGAAAATAGGATTAACAATTTACTAGAACTTTTCACAATTGTTTTATTTTATATATAAAATGCTCATGTTATGTTTCATAAATATTTTAACAATTTCGTTTTTCTGACTGATTTTTGATTATTTACGATTGTTTTGTTTCAAAATCATTTTCCCTTTTGTTACGACGCCATATTGCTTTCAAAGCGTCTATTGATACAGGTGGGACCTACTTATTGACGGTCTCCGCAAAATCAACGGTCTCTGCCGGTCTGTAAAGACCGTCAACCTGAGTAGACAAATCGACGGTGTCGCACTTTATTGATATGACTTAGTCGGTCTTTGGAGACCGGGGACCGTCGAAGACCGGAGACCATTGATTAGTGAGCATTGATTCGGGAATATTCTGATAGCATGCATATCGAAATAATTTGTCCAAAACTACGAGCGTACGATAGATTTATTTTGCGGTGATGAAAATGACAATACGCACGGGTTTTTAAGACAATTGCGTATTTTATTTTTTTTAATTGGTTTTGATACGCATTCTTAAAAAATCAATTGCGTATTTTATAAAATTAATTGCGTAAATACGCAAATACGCACCTTATCTGTTGCTCTGAAAATCTTTTTAAAAAATATATGCACAACAAGCATTGAAAAAGAATCAGGGTTCCACTCTCAGTCAGCTGCAAATTTTCACAACATGGGGCCATGACAATATGTAGCTCAGAGTCAGTTTAACACTAATATCTGTACACAATGGAAATAAAGTGGGGGACAGTATAGAAGTATTCACAAAAGTGAACAAATAACTCAAGCGGTACAGCTGTGAAACAGTATTCTGAGTGTCTTGGATTAAGTTGTAGCTGCTCTAGTCAGGCTGTACATCTTTTTCTCACAGTCCAAAAATTGGAACCATAGGTCCACTACTTGGATTCTTCATATTTACTAGATAAAATTGATTCCTGTTGAATAGCACAATATTTTTGTTTTGATTCAAAAGTTTTGAAGTAAATAACAACAAAACTGCTCTGCGGTAAATATTGTTGATTAACCCAATGTTAATTAAAAAATGTCACTGTTTTAATGTTTTTTAAAAAAGTCAAAAACATCATATTTTATTTAGTAATACATGTATGAAATATCCCAAAAGGTCATTAGATCTACAACTGTCTGATAAAATTATTCCCTTGAGTTGTTAACTTTGTCAAACGTTTTGATTAAATATTTTAATTAATACTGTCATTGTAAATTCACAGTATCATGGTATTCAACCAGAATTGAAGTTTTGCCATATTCACATTTTTTTTCTTTTCATAAATTATTAAAACAGCTGAGCAATTAAAGGGAATTCCAAAAATAGGCAACTGTTTTCCTTAGATAATACAATACAGGTTCAATCATTTTGTCAACATCTCTAAAATAATGATTAACATTTCAATGAAAATGCCTTTAAAATAAATGAGAAGTTTACTACCTTTCAATTTCTATCTTAACCCGCTGTTCATTCATTTTCCACTTTTGGTAAAAATGCCAACTTTTTCTCTCCTTGTTGACATCACAGTCCTTACATTATAACTTAAGAGGGATTTTGATTGGCTACAATGATTATCCTATGCCCAATCAACAGATATTTTACAATAGTATTTGTTAAATTCTGGTAAACGTAATTTAATATTTATCCGGTATAATTTTCCAGTAGGTTGAACATCACTAAATACTTAAGTTGAAAAGTTCTACAGTCACTTTAACAATACATTGTAATTATCAAATACTGGTAGACAATGTCTTTCATTTTTCCAATAAAAAAGATTATATAGTAGTTTATTTGCTTTATGAGCATTAGAAAAAGCAGGGAAAACTTTAGCACTTCAGCAATGTTTTGGTTGTGCCATACATTTGCATTTACACATATCAAGATTCATCTTAATTGTCTTTGATAATGCCCTACAGCTACATACAAATTTCCTCTAGCTTCATTGTGTGAATATAGCCAGGGTTATATTGGAAGGCTCTGATAAACCAACAAGAGCCACAGACTAGCCTAGGTCACGCTGAACCTTTCCTTATTGCTAAAGTCAAACACATCATAGGAAGAATATCATGGTATTAGAACACTCCTGCAAAGATATTTTCCTTTTAATAAATAAAAGTCAAATTTCATATTTGAACTCGATGGTCAAGGTCATTCAAAGGTGAAGGTCACATTTGAATTAAAGGCCTATTGTGCCTCAGAAATTCAACATTTCGATGGTCAAGGATTCAAAGGTGAAGGACACATTTGAATATTAAAGGCCTATTGTGCCTCATAAATTCTTTTTTTTTTTGTATCTAAAATATAAACATATACTTACTAAATACGATGATCTTGGAGTACATCATGTAGATGAAGGCTAGTTCCCACTAGCCTATAAACTCCTTCATGAAGATTTGGTTTTATCTGATGGTTTCCGGTATCAATATCAATATACCTCACTAAGGTCATACCTATCTCGGTACCACAATTTGTCCAATTTATTTTTAGATATAATGACAGATTCACTAATGACAATAATCTTCAGGCAGCTTATTCCATTTATCATACATCTATGGAGAAATCTATTTAAATGCAGGGTCTAATTACATCTGATTTTAATTATCTGATAGATATGTCCTCTTGTGGTGTTATCATTAAAGGTAAAAAAATAGTTCATACATCTTCTTCTTCATTACCATGGATGAATAGTTGTATCTTATTAAATTGTTTTCTATGTTAATTTAGTGTTGGAAGATTTAAATATTTGAGTCTGTCTTTATTCTGCAATTGTTGTAGTCCAGGCACAATTTTAGAACTTCTAAGTTACAGTTTGGAATAAAATGGATTTAAGAGAATACTCATTTCCTGCATATATGTTTTACTTCTTTTACTTTGTTGGCCATTTATAGGAAAAAAACTGCTAAATTACAACCATTGGACCTTAAAAGTCAAGGATATCTATAGATCGAGGTCAAATCGAGTTTGATCTGTCCTAAGAGTAGTTCTGCTCTGTATGTCTGTCAGTAGTATGAAGACAATCTGAAGGCTGCTTTAACCAGAAAATCCTCAGTAGGGCAATTTTACACCAACCTTACTGTTCTAAAAAAAAAACACTGTTCTAGTCAGACAAATCACAGACATATGAATATTGAAATATTTCACAATTAAGGTAGAAGAGCAAAAAGCTCACTTTTAAGGGCATATAACTCAAAAAGTTGGATGGTAACCCATAATTTCAGTAATTTTATTTTGGAAAAGTGCATTATATTACTTCACCAACACGGCATCCCCCGAGAGTTATTTATCATACAACAGTGACATTTGTTTCTTTAAATAGTATTTCAGGAAAGGAATCATCCGCCTTACAAATTTATATATAGAGAGTGGACCGGTAGATTAGAGGTATCGAAGGGTTTCCTGATTGTTCATGTACCTTCACGATGGCAAATCTATTTTCCAACTTTATTTCTACACTTAACGAAACTTATAAGTACTCCTACCAATTTTTTATTATATTGTGTCAGAATAACTATAACTAGTCTAAGTCGATACTGTATAAACTTTAATCATAGTATCATCATTTTATAATAGTAAATGCATTTTACAATAACTCAAACTTAACAGAATATCAGTAACTGAGATCACCATTGTAATAAAAATCAAATACCTTCAAGTTTAGTCAACCTGAGTTTTCTTGCAAGTTTGAAATCGGAGTACTTATAAGTTTCGTTAAGTGTATTTCACAATTATATGAAACAATTTATCTAGAAAATAACATATTTAACCTTTAGAAAGGCTGAAGGTCACTAAATAAATACATTAATTTTTGCAAGAAAGGTAGTATTTGGGATAAATAAAATGAAACACAATTTTTTTTCTTTTCATCTTACTTTATAAAGATAAATCAATCAAACCTTCTAGCATGTCAACCTTTATCAGATAACAATAATATAATCATCTGTTATGCATACAATAACAATTAAATATGTTAATTAATTAAAATATTTTCTTTTTCATCTAAAATTCAAATGTTTATATTTAGAACTGTAATTAACAATACACAATGAATCTGTCATGTTGTTTGATATAATTCAAGTACAACATCAAAAGAAAAACAATTTCATGTCAATATAAAACATATCATTGTCTAAAACAATACTTTTGTTTATGTCACTATATACATGTAGAATATACTGTCATATAATGTAGAATATACTGTCATATAATGTACATTTTAACAAAAAGATCAGCAAACAAAATAATGTTTGGATTACCTAACCTAATGCAGAAAGATCTATACATAAACTTATAGCAATTTAAAGCAATTACCATATAATTAATAAAACTTCAAATTCTAATACTGTTGCCCTTTTATACTGCTTTTGATCCTGGTTTACTATAATTACCCTGTTTTACTGTAATTGTCCTGTTTTACCATATTATAAAATTATCCCAATTTACTAAAATGTCCTGCTTTACTGTAATTTATCCCATTTTAATGAAATTTGTCTTGTTTTACTATAATTAGTACTGTTTTAAGTTATTTAACTTGTTTTACTTTAATTTGTCCTGTTTTACCAGAAGTTGTCCTGTTTTAATATAAATTTTTCCTGTTTTATGGTAATTTGTCCTATTTTATGGTAATTTATACTGTTTTATGGTAATTTGTCCAGTATCATACATACTGTAATTTACTGTTTTACTATGTCAGTCAAATTCCTTATAAGTAGGGAAATATATCATTTGCCCATTTAACATTCAATTCAAGCATGCTCCCTATTTGTTTAATGAACTTGCCCTTCTTTGAAATTGGAATGGTTCATTGCTAATTTTAAGGATTTCAATATTAAATTGCTTAAATAAAGCAGCCAAAGGTAAAGTCTTATCAGACTGAAAATAAAAGCCAGCTGTCTTACATGATCTTAGTACTAATTTTTTTCAAATTGAGACATGATAATTCTGATATGTAACATACAAAAGTTTTATAACATTTTGTCAAATAGCTCAATATAATATCTAAAATTACTAATTACAATATAATTCAATCTAACAAAGTAAAAAAAAAAAATAATTGTTGAAAAATCAACTTATTCCGACTTTACATGATCAGTTTTACAAAATAATTGAGCCACGTCACAACAAAACCAACATAATGGGTTTGCGACCAGCATGGTATCAGACCAGCCTGCGCATCCGTGCAGTCTGATCAGGATCCATGCTATTCTCTATCAGTTTCTCTACTTGTTATAGGGTCTGTAAGCAAACAGCATGGATCCTGATCAGACTGCCCGGATGCGCAGACGGGTCTGGATTCATGCTGGTCGCAAACCCATTATGTTGGTTTTGTCGTGACTTATTATCACAACTCTTTTAGAAAAAGAACACAGTGAGGAACAGTTCAATATCTACTCAATGTTATATGAATAGATAGAGAACAATTACTAGATGTATAAGCAACATTTTTGTAGAAAACAACAATAATACCTGTAAGTTAGACATATATATCTTTTTTAACAACAATGCCCAATATCTGAGACTTAATATAGTAGGACAAGCAACTAAAGTCTAGGTAAGAGGTCTGATATAGAAGGCATGGAATTGACATCCGATATATCGATAAGCCTGGTATCAAATATTTATGTCATTCTTATAAACAAAAATTACATTGATTTATAACATCATGTTAAGACAATTTATATTAAAAAGGACTGTTACAATCTGATGATTTCTCTTATTCAGAGCATAATTTATATTACAGACAAAAAATAAAAATACCCTTTCACAACTATTAGCAAGACAAATTTGTGGTGTGTGCCCCTTATTGGTTGAAAAACTAACACAGGGCAAATATCAAGTTGCTTGTCCTGTTATATCTAGTCCCATGTGTGACAAAATGATTTAAATTACAAAATGATCTACTTCAAAACTACCAGCAGTTTTAATACTTTGACCATCAAATGTTTTAATTATTACTGTCAATAACTACCCTGTGACTAGCAAATATAAAATTACCATAATACAAAAAATTAGTTCTACTAATGTTCATTACTAATGTTCAGAAAATTTTATAGCCAATTTAAACATCTGTTTCCCTATGTCTTGGAGTAAGAATGACATTGATACCCTCTCCTGGCCTCAATATCAGCTCTGCCAGGGGACACAACTCTTCCCTCGTCTGCATACTCTTCACAGAGAAGTTACGAAATATGCTTGATAACATTACTTTCTCTTCCATGATAGCAAATTTCTGACCTACAGCAATAGTTTAAAAGAGTTAGTATTATTAAAGATAACTTAATCACACAGATGAGAGTCTGATGTTTAAAAAAACAAATTATTTTGTTTCAGGGGCAATCAACACATTTGCACAAAGAATTGTGTCCCTTTTATTAAAGTCTGGGTAATGTAGTTTGTGAGACTTGGTACATGTCACTTTAAAACTATGTAGCACAAAACAAGCCATGTCTAATGGCCTAGTCATTTATAGAAATAAAAGTACAAATTTTCAGTCACTGTGAATATAAATGAGCCGCGTCACAACAAAACCAACATAGTGCATTTGCGACCAGCATGGATCCAGACCAGCCTGGGCATCCGCGCAGTCTGATCAGGATCCATGCTGTTCGCTATCAATTTCTTTACTTGCAATAGGGTTTATAAGAGAACAGTATGGATCCTGATAAGACTGCGCGTAACACAGGCTGGTCTGGATCCATGCTGGTCGCAAAAGCGCTATGTTGGTTTTGTCGTGACATGGCTCAAATTCTTGAACACACATGCTTACCTATACAGTTTCTGGCACCGGCTGAGAAAGGTATGTAGGCAAATGGATGCCGTGACACAGTATTCTCTGGTAGAAATCTGTCTGGATCAAATTTATCTGGATCTGGATATATGGACTCAATTCTGTGAATGGCAGCAGGTACAATCAAAGCACTTGTTTCCTTTGGAATCATAACACCACCTGAAATAATTTATTATTACATTTGTATATTACACTTTGTGAGATAATTGATAATCTTTTATCAATGATTTTAAATAATTTCTTTACTTTATGCCAACTTTCCTCAAGTTGTTGAATATTCTTAAATTTGGAACTATCCATATTAAATTAAAGGCACTTTAATATAACAATACCAAAATAAGTCTGTGACCTGTCAAGAGTAGGGTGAAACTGAAAGGACACAGTGAAATTATAATTGTTAAAGTGAAGTTTCAAACTGTTTTAAAGGCTACATTTTTACTGACCAATTTTTGTATCTTCAGTAAGGCTTCTTCCAAACACTGGTACAGATGGGAATATCCTTAAAGCTTCCTGAAATATGGTACAAAAATTGCCATATCACAGCGATACAGGGTCTTTCATTATGTGGAAAAACAATGAAAGGTAAAAAAATTAATTCAACCTTTACCTTGCCTTGCATTAGGAGCTGTTCATTATTAATTCAAGAGACAGTATTAAGACAATATTACAGTTATCAAATAACTTACCGCAAAAACGGTTAAAGTGCACATGAAGTGTAGGTTGCATTGGCTTTATACTAGTGGAATAATATGATTCAAAACAAAATGTGTTCATTTTATTTACATGTATGTACATGTAGTTACTTAGTTATTGAATCCAAAGGAAATTAAATAACACAAAATTAAATATCACAAAGCAGACTCGGATATTTTACAACTAACAAATACACAGCACTATGAGCATAACTATTTTTTTAGAAATTAAATTTTTAAAAATTAAAATGGCAAAACAATCAAACCTATCAGAAATGATTTAAGGGGGCGTTCATTAGTCTTTACATCTGAATTTTTATATAATACAAATATATATCTACTAACCTTGATACAACACTCCAGGTATTTCATCTCCTTTAGATCATCCATAGTAGCATTTCTGTCACTCTTTCCTGTATATATATATCAAAATTTAAAATTGAGCCGCGTCACGACAAAACCAACATAATGGGTTTGCGACCAGCATGGATCCAGACCAGTTTGCGCATCCGCGCAGTCTGATCAGGATCCATGCTGTTCGCTGACCAACTCTATTACAAGTAGAGAAACTGATAGCGAACAGCATGGATCCTGATCAGACTGCGCGGATGCGCAGGCTGGTCTGGATCCATGCTGGTCGCAAACCCATTATGTTGGTTTTGTCATGACACGGCTCAAATATACCTTAACCAGTAATTATTGGAAATTAAATGAACCAGCCCTTCATCTCTTTACCTGCCAGAATTATAGAGTATCTGTCTGGGACATTTCTACAAATTCTACAGATTATAAGACTTTACTTTAACATATGAGTGCTTATTTTTCACTTTGTTTATATGAAATGAACATTTATTTTGCAGCCTTACCAAATATTTTATCTAATTCCTGATGCACTTTCTCCTGGACATCCGGATCAGTTCCAATCAGATGTACAGCCCAATTTGCTGCCATTGCTGTAGTGTCATGGCCCTGTAAATAACATACAAATGAGCCTTGTCAAGACAAAACCAACATAGTGTGTTTGCGACCAGCATGGATCCAGACCAGCCTGCGCATCCACTCAGTCTGATCAGGATCCATGCTGTAAGCTTACCAACCCTATTACAAGTAGATAAACTGATAGCGAAGAGCAAGGATCCTGATCAGACTGCACAGATGAGCAGGCTGGTCTGAATACATGCTAGTCGCAAATGCACTATGTTGCTTTTGTCGTGACGCAGCTCAAATAAATAAGCCTAAATCTTCAAAGTAATAAATATGCAGTGACTCAAAGTTCTAAGCAGTCTAGACCATTCTAGTATCATTCCTTGATATATGAGACCAATCTGTGATACAGACTGACATATGCTGAACAGACAACATCACAAGTCATACTTAACAATTTATTTGCATTTTTACAACATCATATTGGACTCACTAATTGGCTGGCTACCCCTGTACTTATACAAAAGCACATGAACATTAAGACAATTTTCATCATAATTGTGACGTACATGTACATATAAAATGTCTTCATTTGAAACATACATGTTATTAAATATTTTGACTACTGGTTTCCTAGCAGTTTCCGGCCACAAATCACAGTTTTTAACAAATAAAATAAAAATCAGTCTATTAAGTGGTACAAAACTTTGACAGGACAAAGTTAGGTACCTGTCCAGCATTGCCATGTGTTTAATGTTGCACTTTCATTTTACTTTTTAATTTGAATATAGGCTTGAAATGTAACACCTTTTTTCACCTTTATTCAAAAATTCATAGCAGTTTTCCGGACCTTTTTTATTTTGAATATAATTCAGTACCATAAAGCATTTTTAAGATGGTTTTATCAGACAAACAGAACTTCCCAACCTTTTCCGTGTCGTCTGCAAAAATATTTTCCGAAGTATTGATTTCCCTAAAATGGGGTCTTGGTTATTGCGCATGGATATTCAAACTAGAATTCCCCAGGTGTTGCTTATTTTTGAAAGTCCCAAGTTCTCTTATTAACTTTAAATAACAGGCAAAACTTCAAAACATTTAAATCGCTGTACTATTTTAAATGCTGTTTAGCATAGAAAACAAATGTCTCTCTGATTGATGAAGTAATGTGGATGCCTTACTGGTAAAAATAGACTGTACTGGACGAAAATGATGAACGGCCGGAAAACTGCTAGGGGACGGAAACTGCTAGGAAACCAGTATAGCACATTTACAGACAAATTTTATTAAGTTTTCCCTCACCTCAAACATGAAAGTATCCACTTCCTCTCTGATATCAAGAAAAGAGAGTTTTTGGTTGTCAGCTGTTGCACATAGAAGCATATCAAGAAAAGCTAATCTTCTTCTGTTACCAAGGAAACTGCCAATATCTTGTTCATCTAGAAGTTCTTCCATAGTGATCTTATTATTATGTTGCTTGGCAAAATCTGCTTGTCTTTCTATAATCACCTGCATTCATATAAACAAGAGCTGTCGGTAGGACAGCAACGCTCGACTATTCTTAGTGCTTGATTGTAAAAATAAATGCTTGATACAGTTACCTCCTCCTGTTTACAGGTTGGGGTAATGATGGTGAACAAGTGTGCAAAGTTTCAAAGCCATATGTCAATGGACTTTGAAAATATTTGAACTATTACAAAAACTTTAACGTAAATTCTAAGTCGAAAAAGGGGCATAATTCTGTCAAAATGCTTGATACAGTTACCTCCTCCTGTTTACAGGTCGGGGTAATGATGGTGAACAAGTGTGCAAAGTTTCAAAGCCATATGTCAATGGACTTTGAAAATATTTAAACTATTACAAAAACTTTAACATAAGTGGTTACGCCGACGCCGACGCTCGGGTGACTACAATAGCTCTACTTATTCTTATCAAATAGTCGAGCTCAAAATAATTAAAAAAAAAAAACTTCAAACATTAACTTTAAGTTTTGCCAACACTGTAGAGCCAGCTTTAAAATTCATGCAGTCAGACACTGCTCTTTTCTGTTTTTCAAATTCTCATCTTCATATCCCCAAAATTGATAACGAACAGTTCCAAAATGGACGCTGGTCAAATCAATTAAAGAAATTCAGCGACCTATCTGTTAATGGTTTTCTTAGAAGATAAAGATAAGTTTTAAAATAACATGTAACTATAAAGATAATTAATCATATCCATGTAGTTATAATTATGTACTACACTTAATAATTTAATTTGTGTATTTTATCACCATGTAATTACAATGTAATAGGTTATAAACAGAGTTTTAAGAAATTAATTTTCTAATGAACAAAGTGAAGTGAGAAAAATTAGTTTCTTAAAACTCTGTATATAACCTATAACGACTAACAGTTAGCCCGTCTATTCACACCGAGTGCACTATGCAAATAGAGTCCATTAAATTGGCTCATTTAACATATAAATTTAATACATACAGTTGAGTTACAGCACTGTATTGTTAATATTTCAGCAAAATTTAAACAAAATATAGCAATTTCATTGGCAGACAAACTTTGGTGAACTGTTAACACATTTAAACAATATTAAAAAATTTTCAACAAAAAATTAATCATTCTAACAGTATCGGAAATTTTTATATATAAACAAAGAAGGCTCGAAGCGTGCATAATTCTACAACAATACACTCGCCGTTCTTATTACCTCCCTGTGTATTTTCAAACCGACACATGGACGGCGCCATTTTGTTTGATAAATCAGATAAATAAAATACAATTTTTGTCGAATTTTGATTTGAAAACTGTCTAGAATGAAAGAAAATGGTCTAACTAAGAAAATGAATCTGAACACCAATATCTTTAATCCAGTCGTTAACATTGTACATATGTTTAAAAGTGTTGTTTATGTGACGTCACAATGTAGCGCCAAACAATACGTGAAAAACAATCAAATCATGAAGAATATTTCAATGTCGCAAATGAGTTAAATTTCACATTTATTTCACTATTAATACTTTTTATTTCGCTTGAAAAATATAGAGTGAAATAAAATAAACCAACAAAGTTTTATAAACGTTTTCAAAATTCATTATTCTCAAAATGTTTCTTCACACGGTAGATTTAACGACAGTTTTTTTTCAACACACTGGAACAGCCGTTGAAGAACGTTTCTATTGGAAACTCTGAGGCAAAAACAAATTTAACCACCAAACATAAAGTCCAAATGTTCTTTTCACAAAATGCAAATTAAGAAATTACAAGGTATTATCTAAAATATCTATCAAACAATGTACAAAATGTACCTTCTCTGTGAATGTATGAAGGATAGACAGACATTTCTTGTAATCTTTCCCCGGTCCGACCAAGTCAAACAGAAACTCTGGCCACATCCATGGAGATCGTTGTCTGAGAAATGTGATCTCTGATGCTCTGAAATATAACACATGGATAAATCAATTCTTAAATCTTAGAAAACTTGGTAAAAATCAGCAATACAAGAAACTCGGAGGATACATAAAGATAAACAAGAGCTGTCACATAAGACAGCGAAGCTCGACTAATAAAATACTGGACGCAGTAAGGAAGACAAAACTATGATAAAAAAATCAATTATGTATAATTATGTATTAAGTTCTAAGATCTAGGGGAATAATTCTGAAAATAGTCACACTAGAGTTATGAACCTTGTCACACAACATGTGTGTAATGATAAGAAATATATATTTGAAGTTTGAAGTAGAAGTTAAGAAGTTATAATATTTCTTAAAGAAAATCCTTCAAAGAAAGATAAATCTGTAAATATTGCTTCAAGAGTTATGAACCTTGTCACATAAAATGTAATTGATGATAAGGAATAAGTATTTAGAGTTTGAGGTAGATACCTTTAAAACTAAAAATGTTATAGTAAAAACTAACATTTTTCAAGTAAAATAATCTAAGTTTATGGGGAGATCATTCTTGCAATATTGGTGCTAGAGTTATGAGCCTTGTCGCATAAGATGTGGTTAATGATAAGGTACATATATTTGAAGTATAAAGTTGATTCCTTTAGAAATAAAAAAGTAACAGTAAAAAATAATATTTTTTTAAGGAAAATTCTAAGTTCAAGGGGAGATAAATCTCAAAATATTGGTGCTAGAGTTATGAACCTTGTCTCATAAGACGTGGTTGATGATCAGGTACATATATTTGAAGTATGAAGTTGATCACTTAAGAAATAAAGAAGTAACAGTAAAAAATATTATTTAATTTTACCCATATGGTGCTATATCAGTCAAATATATTTCATATTTTTTAAAGATAAATATGAAATATAAATATGAAAGTAGGCGGAGTCTAAACTCATATTTATTTTAACAGACTTCTTTTGACATTTTGTCTGAAAAATCTGAAAATACAAAACAACTTTTTGTTGAATTTTGTTTTGAAAACTATCTAGAATGATAGAAAATGGTCTAACTAAGAAAATAAATCCGAACACTAATATCTTTAATTCAGTCATTAACGCTGTACAGACATTTAAAGAGTTGTTTACGTGATGTCACAATGTAGCGCTAAATATCACACGCAAAACAAGACAATAATTATATTACTGCACTCTGTATACAAATAGCAAGCAAGGGGGTTCGTAACCATTTTTCTTTGATAATGAAATTAAATAAAAAGGTTATTTTTTCATTTATATATTTTCACTCAACATGATAAAATGCCACATATTTTCACTCGCTGTCCCAGCTCATGAAAATATATGGCATTTTGTCATGTTTTGTGAAAATATATTCCATATTTCACTCAAACGCAAAAATATCCTCTTAGTATTTTTTAAGGAAAATTCTAAGTTCAAGGGGAGATAAATCTGAAAATATTGGTGCTAGAGTTATGAACCTTGTCACATAAGATGTGGTTGATGATAAGGAACATATATTTGAAGTTTGAAGTTGATACCTTACGAAATGAAAAAGTTATAGTGAACTAGAAATGTGTCATCATGCCACGGATGCCCCCGCATGCAGCCAAAAATTCAGATGGTGCATTAATTATTTTTTTCATCTTAAGTTCAAAGCCCTTAAAACTTTTCACAAACCATTTTCATACAATGTTCAAGGCACTGAAATTATTCAGTCATTACCTTTTAAAAATAGCATATAATGCATATTTGTAGCCAAAATAATGGCTAAAAGTATGAGTGCTGAAACTGAAAGTTCAAAATTTTTCCAACATTCAGGAAAGATAAGTTTGTCTAAAATCATTGAACCACGACCAAATTCAAACTTAAACTGCTTATTCCTAAGATGTATCTATATTATTTTCAAAGTGAAGGGACATAACTCTGCCAAAAAATCATCAAACCATGACCAAATTCCAACTTGACCTGCCCATTCCTTTGACATATCCATATGTCGAATTTAAGTTGAAAATGTAACACTGTTGGGTAGATAATGAACAGAAACTGTAAATTTCATATTATTTTCAAAGTGAAAGGGGCATTACTCTGCCAAAAATCATTGAACCATGACCAAATTCGAACTTGGCCTGGGCATTCCAAAAACATATCCATATGTCAAATTTGAGTTGAATGTGTTGTACCATTGGGGAGATAATAAACGAAAACTGAAAATTTCATATTACTTTCAAAGTAAAAGGGGCATAACTCTGCCAAAAATCATTGAACCATGACCAAATTTGAACTTGACCTGCGCATTCCTTTGACGCATCCATATGTCATTGTTTGAGTTGAATGTGTTGTACCTTTGGGGAGATAATGAACGGAAACTGAAAATTTCATATTGTTTTCAAAGTAAAAGGGGCATAACTCTGCCAAAAATCATCGAACCATGACCAAATTCGAACTTGACCTGTATTTTCTCATAACATATCCATATGTCAAGTTTGAGTTGAATGTGTTGTACCTTTGGGGAGATAATGAACGGAAACTGAAATTTCATATTATTTTCAAAGTAAAAGGGGCATAACTCTGCCAAAAATCATCAAACTGTGACCAAATTCGAACTTGACCTGCATTTTCTCATGATATATCCATATGTCAAATTTGAGTTGAATGTGTGCAACCGTTCTTAAGATAATGATTGGAAACTGATGATGACGGAATGACAGAATGACGGAAGGACGGAATGATGGAACAGGGTAACACTATATGACCCGGCCATTACATGGCGGGGGCATAAAAATATTTTACTGCACCAAAACTTTAATTTGAAATCTGGATGCGGACGCCGGGGCGAGTAGGACAGCTCTACATATACTTTGTATTGTCAAGCTAAAAAAAGAAACTTTTCACTTCATAACTGGGTAGAAACATTTAGTGGCAGTAGACCTCCAGATGCCTGTTTTATGTAATATTTCAGATATGAGTAGATATGCTGATAGAACCATCAACATTCTACAAACTACCTGGATAGCTTCCTCATTTGAATGAATTAAATATTCTTGAAAAATGAATCATGAAGAACAGCAACAAGGCCTGGGGCAAATGACTTAAATTCTGAAGCCTTAACCAATCTGCCACAGAGATCTTGTCACCTTAGTGCAATAACTGATTAACTTCTATTAAATTTAAAAGGACTTCACCACTTATTGCACTAAGGTGACAATCTGTTTATTTGTTTAGCACCACATTTGGGAATGACTTTCACTTGACACTTAAGAGTTCCATTAAATGATTAAGGCTTAAATTTTAATTAATGGACTGTTGTTTGAAACAGGGGATATAGTGATGTTGCAAGCCATATTCTGTTATAGTCAAATTAACAATACTACATAAATGAGTTTTTACACAAAACTGTCACTGTATAAAACTCAACTTACTGATACACTGCCTTGACATATTCAGAGTTCCTATCCTTCTGTGCATTTACACATTTTCCCATAGCAGTTTCTACAAAACATCAAAAAAATATATGACAATGTTTAAAAATAAGTATTGAAACAGATTATAAAGTAAGCACACAATCATAGCTTCACAAAAACTTATGTACTGATGTTAGAATCACATAAATAATATTTCACTGCATACCTGTCACAGATAAAGTCAAAATATTGAATGCATATCATGGCTAAAGTAAAGAACACATTGTTAATTCAAACCACAACTTACCATAGAAAATACTAAATATAATCAGTCTTATCTATATAATATTTTTCCTATCATAAAATACCTACCACATATGATATCGAGGGCACAAAGAGTTATATCATTAAACACATCAACAGTTGACACACCATCGGCTTTCTTTTTTAGAATGTTCAGAAGAACTTTTGATTGGTCATTGAACACAGCCACAAAGTCATGAAGAATTTTGAAGTGAAATGATGGAGTTAACAGTTTACGTCTAATCTTCCATTTATCACCTGTGCTGAAATAGAAAAGTCACTTATTGCATTAAATTTCAGAATTGGGTTTGAATTATGTAAAATTTGTATTCTGTAAGTTATCAACATTAACCCTCAGCCTGCTGTAAACAACTGATTTTATCACTGCAAACCAATGTCTTGTTCATCTTTAAGTTCTTGCATAGTAATCTTATGATTCATTCAGGAAATTCATGACAATCTTTTGAAAGTGGCCAACAAACTGATGTCATAGTCATGGATTTCAGTAAGGCATTTGATATGGTGGACCATCACAAACTTGTGAGTAAACTAGAAAGATTGAGTACAGGTTATGAGGTTACAAATTTGGTCCATTCCTTCCTTAGGTCATGCTCCCAGCAAGTTGTAGTTGAAGGTCAAAAATCAGGAATCCTACCAATCCTCTCAGGTGTCCCCCAAGGCTCGGTATTAGGTCCCTGCCTTTTCCTTTCTTACATAAAAGACCTCCCGGATAGTGTCAAAGGTAAGGTTATACTCTTTGCAGATGATACTGTTGTCTACCTAACCTTCAGATCTAAACAAGATGCCCAAACCCTCCAAGATGACCTTCATGCTTTAGAAAGATGGGAAAAAGACTGGTCCATGGAGTTCAACCCTGATAAATGTGAAGTTCTCAGGATAACAAGAAAAAGAAACCCTGTAATATTTCCTTATACCCTCCATAACATCTAACTAAACTCAACTCAAGAAGCGAAATACTTAGGAGTCACTATTAGTCAAGACCTTTCATAGACCAAACATATAAACAACATTACATCTAAAGCAAATAACTCCCTCAGATTCATTTGAAGAAATGTTAAAACCCCAAATAAAAAGATAAAGGAAACTGCATATAAGACCTATGTTAGACCTCAGGTTGAATATTGCTCCATAGTTTGGCATCCTTGGCAGAAATACTTAATTTATAAGATAGAGCAAGTACAAAGATCAGCTGCTAGATACATTTTTAATGATTATGACTATACAAGTAGTGTCTCAAAAATGGTAAATGAACTTAATTGGCAAATCCTTGAACAGTGTGGAAACATCAGTGCTGTAACCTACTTGTATAAAATCCAAAACAACATTGTTTTTGTTGACCATCAACACTTTACTCAAACACGAAATCTGAACTACCTGATACCTTACTCGAGGACACAATATCATCAAAATTCTTTCTTTCCTAGGAGCATACGTCTTTGGAATAGCCTTCCTCTAACTGTTCAGTCTTGCCCCAGTTTCAACATCTTTACTGAGAGGCTTGACCCATTCTATAAATTCTAAATTGCACACTATGTCTTTTAAATTAATAGTCTTGTAGAACTTTTATTCTTTTAACTTTTTAATTTGCATATAAATATTTTTTTTTATTAACAGTTCCCTGACAACGCTCCTACTAGTCATAATCAGAATTGATTGTTAAGAAGTATAATGTAGATGTAGATGTACTGTGACTGTATACAATTTATGATGCGCTGCTGTGATTGTTTCCTCATATGACTGGTTAGTTCAAGGAATCAGACACCAGAGAGATTAAAATAAATCACAACATTTCTTCACATTCAAATTTCAATAAATAATCATTATACATAATTAATACAATATGTACAATTAACAACAAAGAAATTTTGCAACTCATATGAATTTTACTACTGACAGTAAAGAAGTTTGACCAATTCCTATCAGTTAACATTTCAAACTGTTACTATACTCTCCAAATAATCATTATAAGTATTACACATACTTCTTAAAACAAAATATAATTTAAGAAGACACATTCAAAGTGTTTTAATTATCACCTTGTAAGAAGTCCTGTTCCCAACCAGGGGTGAAGATAGTTGTAGTCTGTTGACTTGTCCAAGTGTTTAGAGCTATTCATTAGAGGCTAAAATATATAAATTCCAATATATACAAATTATCAATGTTTTATCATAAATGAACTGATTCTACAATAAGATCATTAATTGAATAACTTTAATGTCAAAATCCATTAAATTTGTCCAGATAGGTAATTACATGTATCAAACAAGTCTATTTGTCAATGAGTGAGTGAGTGAGTCAGTGAGTGAGTGAGTGAGTGAATGGAATGAATGAATGAATGAATGAATGAATGAATTACCTCTGCCTCTTCAGGGCTGCAAACAAGTACCAACGGATGTCCTCCAATCATAAGTCTGAAGACACCTTTGGGCCCATACTCGTTTATCATTTCATAAAGCTGCTCTGTAAATTCTGAAATAAAAGTAAAACTTAAACATGATGCTTCAAATACTCTAGTTAGGCTGGTATGATTCTAAACAAGTCACATCAGTTTTAACTATTTGAGTGTCTGACCAAGAAATAAAATTCATCATTATTTTTACCGACATTTATATTATTTTCTATATTGTCTGACTAACACTTAACCCATCACCTGCGGAACTAAAAGTGATATTACCTTTTTAAAGTTTGTGAATGGTTTCCTCACCAGCATAGAGACTGATCAGCCTGCATGTCCATGCAGTCTGACTAGACTGCTCTATACTGTTGGCTAACTAACTTGAACTTTTGATATTGATTTCTCCAAAACTGATAATGGACAGTTCCAAAAATATAAGGTGGACAAGTCCATTAAAAAAATTAAGCAGGTTATGGGTTAAAGAAGTGTCAAGTCACGTCTCATCATCTGTTACATTTGATATATCAAGATGTTGTTATGTACTAGACAAGCAAGGCTAATTCAGAAAATTTTTCCACCCTCATTGTCTTTTACTAGGAATTTAGCAAAAGTTTGTGCAATTTAAATTAAAGCAATGAAATGTGAAAAATTCCCACCATGCTGTTAGTTTTGAGAGTGATTACAAGCAAATAAACACAATGCTGTAAATTATTGTGCATAAGAATCGATTCCCTTCAGAAGAAAAGCTTAAGGTTATCATAACAAGACCCTGATAGTGGTAGCTGTGCACTTAGAATGGTTACAATATATACTAGCTAGGGAATAGTGACTGTAAATAGCAACCCCAGACCATTTATTAAAGTAATATATATGTATATGCAATTATGTTAACATTAAAGATCTAAGTGAGACCATTACAGAACAGTTTGAATTTTCAATTTATCTCTTCTAATAAAAAAGTTATGATCTTTTAAAGTCATAAAATTTGGTCGACTTTTTAGAATTTTTACTCTTATATGTTTATATAGTTCGATTCGCGGAACGCGGAACTCGATTTCGAGTTTTATTTAGTTTTTCTTTTATAATTTTTTTAAAAATTTAGATATCTGCATGAAACTTGGTCATCTTTTGTATTTTTTCCTGCTCTTTTCATTTTTGAAGTCTATTTTTTGGTATCTTTTCATCCTGACCTTAAAACACCTTATTTTCACACAAAAAAATCCAACATTTTTTTTCAAAATTTATTCAAATGGTAAAACCCATATTTCATCATGATTTTCTTTTTAATAATATGCTACAAGATGATAAAATAAAATAAATTAAATTAAATACATTATAACAGTTATAAATAACAATAAACAGTTCACATTTGGCTAAGATGGCAACAGTTTTCAATCCCTCATCATGTAATATTTTAAGAACTATTGACTTATTGATTGTTTCATTTTCAAAATAAACAAGTCCATGTGAACAAAATATACAAGTCCAGTCAAAGCATCACAGTTTTCTTGATTTTGTAATAGTCATTACAAATGTAGGACACAATGTTTACTTAAATTTCAGTTAAAAAAACTGATCCTTAAAACCTAAATATTTTATTTCAAGGTCACTGTGTTCCTTAAAAAACCACTGTCTTCCCGAGTTTCTGGCTTCTGGAACTAATCCGCAACACAAAATGAATGTCCTGTTGACTTCCTGGGTGTCCTTTCTAGCTGGCCAAGTAAACACTCCAGCCATGCGACATGGGGCCATGAAGTTAACGGTGGCTACATCCTTCTCAACCTTTTCTACACAACCAGGATACCAGGCATCCTGGTACGCAATAGCTACATAATCGCCAAGACGGAAATCAAATTGGTCCTCCGTAGTTGTAGGAACATCAGGTTGTGGTGTACACACAACTCTGCGTCGTTTTGGTTTTGGTTTTTGGGTCATTGATTCGAACAGCTCTCGTCGTACTGAAGTCTCCTCAGCTGTGTGAATTTCCCTGAGGTTCCTTCCACCTTTGCGAGCAGCTTTCAATAAATCATTTTTTTCACTTTCATGTTTTTTGTCAAGCCATTTGAACAACTGGCGTCTATTTCTTTTTATCAGTTGTACACTTGAATGATGGTGGAAGGATGCATTTGGGCGTCTTCGTTGTGAACTGTCTAAGTCACCAAAATGGTGTTCACATCCTAAATTTGTCACGTGGGCATATTGTGTTCTTTGGAGGTCAGATTTTGATGGGGTTTCTGCATAACGGCCCCCTTCAAGAAAGTCTGCTAACTGTTTTTCTACAGTTCTTTTCATTGAACCACTTAGTATGGATGTCAGCCTGTTTGACAGTTCATTTTGTCTTTCTTCCACACACTTTTGATATTTGTCAACATGAGGAACATAGGCATTAGGCAACCATTCCTTTTCAATCATTGTAATTGGTTCTTTTTCACATTCATCTAGGAAAACCCACAAACTGTTGATATAAGGAAATAACTCCAAATACTTTACTGAGCCAGAGGTAACTAACCACCAGTACGGTCCTGTAACCTTCACATACATAGCTGTTAATGCTGAAAGCATTGTTTGGACAATTGGGGATTGAAGGTCTGCTTCAACTGCTTTGATTTTGTTGTTTGGACAAGGGACATTTTTGATGACCTCTAAAAAGTCACTGAGATGGAAGAGAATCTCTGCTGAGGTTTGGAAAAGTCCATTAAATCTATTGTCTCGGTAGTTTCCAATTAAAGACCGAAGACCCTTGTTGGCACAGAATGACTCCCATTTATCGCGCAAACCCAGATGATCACCTGCGGGACCAAATATGCCGGAAGTAGTATATGCTACCCTTTCTGCAACAGTTTGTTTCTTGGACCAGTTTTTGAAATATGGTAGCTGATCTCTGCCAATTGGTTCATCACTAATTGTTTTTTCTTCTTTTTTCAGGTCATCACATACATATCGATGAAAGCCAAGTAGGACATGGGCCATGCAGTGGAATTGCAAAACTGTAGTTTTTGTGCCCTCATTTGAACATGTTTCAAGTTCTTGGTCTCGCCATTCATTCAAAAATTTGTCAGCACATTTCTCATTAGCTGCGCGGTCGCTCATTGTGAATGCAAGCTTTTCAAGTGATTCTCTTATAAAGTCTGTACTTTCATTTTCGCTGCTTTTTTCCGATTTTGGAGTGGAATCAGAATGACATTTGGCTAGCTCGGTTAAATGAGTCTTTGTGACAAGGTTGATTTTTTCAGCAGTTTCTGATACAACTCGTTTGAATCCAAGGCTAACAATTTCACCATTGTCTAATGTTATAGAAGTGTCTAATATTTTCTTTTTTTGTCTCGAAGTACCATCTCGACTGATGCCAAAGCTTTCTGAAGTGTGTAGTCGGTCTGCTATATAGCTTTTCACCAAAAACTGTCCTTCATCTACAATGTTTTGTATAGTTGACTTTGTCGGGAGTTCTTTGTCATTTATTTGGCATCTGAAAATGTGATTTGCAACTACTTGTATTGCTGAAGGGATCTTTTCAATGGCTATTTCAAGGCCAAATAATTCAATAACACAAAGTCTCAGGTCATTTGTAAATATTCCCCTATCATCCTTGAGGTCAGATTTTTTTCCTTCTCTCAGTGTTTCTAATTCGAGCATCAAGCTGTCTCTGTCATCACGATTATAGTCTTTTGTCAGGTTGTCATTAGTTTCATTTCTTTTTTCATCACCTTCTCTCATTTTCTTAAGTGTAGTCCTGTAATAACTATTTAGTTTTTGGGCATTTATTTTCTTCTTTTGTTCTTCATACAATCTTTGGTTTTCTGCTTTTATTTTCTCATGTAAGATTTTCAAGTCTTCAAGTTCTGCATGCAACTCTGAATTAGCACTTTTTAACAGCTCACCTTCATTCTTGCTTTTGAGTAATGCATGCTTGGTTTCACGCAATTGTTTTCGTGTTTTTGCGGCGCACTCATCACGTTTAGTTACATTGCGTACAGAAAAGTGACCTTTGATACTCTGTAGACGTTCCACATTTTGCTTTTCAGATTCAGTTAGTTTTGTGAGCTTTTCAAGTGTGTTTTGTTTCACCAATATTCTGTACTGCAGATTGTTTTCTTTTTTGGCATCCTCATTTTGACATGTTTTCATTTTTGCTGGCAATTTCTGTTTGATAGGGGACGATTTCTGTTTGATAGGGGACGTGGGACTGGGAAAAGTTTCATTTGCTGGTGACATCTGTATAGGTGACTTGGGACAGGTCTCATTCATCAAAAGGTGCTATCTACTGACACAACATAATACTGATATTAGTTAGCTAGAAATGTGTCCGTAGGACACGGACGCCCCCACACTTCACTGTTTTGTCAATCTTATGACTCTAGGTAAAATATTTTTTGGGCTACACATGCCACAAGTTGGAAACTAAAATCCTTTACTAAGTAAAGGGCAAGGACTTTACAGATACTGAATAAATCCACAAGCAAACCCCATGGCCCATAAGTGCACATGCTGACCAACATTATTATAAATTTTCAAGCCTACAAGTCAAATACTTTTTTAGCTATGCATGAACAAGTTGAAAATTGCAAATTTATACTAAGTCAAGGGCAATATCTCTAACAAAACTGAAAAGAAAATCCACATGCAAAACCCCAGAAGCATAGTTTCGAAATGATGCTGATCATTACTCCTGTAAAGTTGGTTGATTCTAACTCAAGCATTCAAGGAACAAATAACACAACATTAGGAACGGTTTTTACTAAGTCAAGGGCAATAACTATAGAAATACTGGATAAATCCACAAGCGAAACCCATGGTGCACAACTAAGCATGCTGACCAACATTCCTATTAAGTTTTTGAGCAATGTGCGACACAGTTTGAAAATTGCAAATTTTTACTAAGGCAAGGGCAATAAATCTTCAAACAAATAAATCCAAATGAAACTAGAACTATCACTAAATGTGATCAATACCCCCACAAGACTGCTTCGGAAATGAGGATGTTACTAGTAACAGAATACCTTGTAAAAGAATTGAAATATAGACTTATGGTTGTGGGCAATTAAAGATAGTTGTGGTTCTTGTATGTTGCATTTCCTTTCAATGTGGTTGGCCATTGATGAAGTTTTATTGAATTACTCTGTAATAAGTCCAGAAGACAAGGAAAAGAAACAAAGGGCAATAACTCTATAAATACTGAAGATGGAGTTATAGTTCTTGTGCACTGCACTTCCTCTAATTGTGCTTGACCATTGTATGAAGTTGTTTTGAATTCCAACCAGTACGTTTTAAGTTATGCTCTGGACAAGGAAAAGTATCAAAGGGCAGTAACTCTGTATTTTGTCAAGATGGAGTTATGGTTCTTGTGCACTGCACTTCCTCTCAAAGTGCTTGACCATTGTATGAAGTTATATTGAATTCCAACCATTAGTCTTCAAGTTATGGTCGGGACAAAAGAAAGCAATGGAAAAGTAACAAAGGGCAATAACTCTGTAATTACTTTAGATAGAGTTATGGTTTTTGTGCACTGCACTTCCCCTTATTGTGTTTGACAATTGTATGAAGTTGTTTTGAATTCCAACCAGTAGTTTTCAAGTTATGCCCTGGACAAGGAAAAGTAACAAAGGGCAATAACTCTGTAATTAGTCAAGCTAGAGTTATGGTTCTTGTGCACTGCACTTCCTCTCAATGTGCTTGACCATTGTGTGTAGTTATATTGAATTCCAACCATTAGTCTTCAAGTTATGGTCCGGACAAAAGAAATGGAAAAGTAAGTTTATTGAGACTTGATGGTATACGGTATTTTTTCATATATGTAAAAATTGTTTGAAAACCATTTTTATCGTTGTAATAGATGTCCCATTCGTGTTTAAATATTAAAATGGTTTTGGTACAGTGTTTACAGGGTTGATCACGTTCATGGGGGGCAGGATCTGACCCCCAAGCGTCTGTGGAACTACTGGGTAGGGCAGCGCACTATAAGCATGCATGCTAAAATTGTTTATCTTCCAGTGGCAGCTGAAGTAGATGTGTTGCCAGAAAATTCTGAAATATGATATGTCTACAAATTTAGTTAAAGTTTCTCATCTATGATTATAAATAACATAATGAACTTTGACCTGTTGATAAGTAATTCATTTAATTTACCTTTGGGCTTTCTTCTAAGCTGATGAACATTACCAATAATTGGGAGTGACTTTGGACCTCCAAGTTTATCAGCATTTCGTCTGATCTTTTCCTGCTTGTAAAACCAATAAGTAATCAAACATACAACTATCGCAACCAGGACCACAGAGAGAGCCACCATTTTGGCTAAGTCATGTGATATATCACGTGATTAAAAAAGAAGGGAGCAAATCTTCGGAACTTTTCGCCGAATATTTACGGAAACGGACGGAAAATTGCCTTTGCCTTTTGGATATTTTTTGAGGGGTAAAATAGTTTTCAGAAGGAGCTACTAATCAATAAAGGTGGATGATATGTTTTGAAGAAAAAAAACTTCTCTAACTGAAATTATAATGGGACACATATATATATTTCTGTTTAAAGAATGCATGATGAAAGAGATATTTGTACAGTACATTCGTAAGTATATTATAAAACAAGAACGGTAACTCTCAGAACAAAAATGGCAGCCTCCACAGTCGCAACGAGAGTTTGTGAAACTACGAGCTGTAATAAAGATGCTAAGCTCCAATGTCCTACTTGTATAAAACTTGGAATTCCTGGATCATATTTCTGTGACCAGGTTGAATATTTTTTACTCCTATACTTTGTTTATCACTATTTATTCTTCTTTTTGATAGAAAATAGATCTGTCAAAACTCAAATTAATTTTTGAGATTTACATAGACATGGTAGACTTTTCATTCTTTTGTTGTTTTGTATGGAAGATGAATTTTTAAATGATTTTAGTTAATTAAGCACATGCATGGATCAAATGCATAATCATAACCATGATAACGGCAAAAGAAGCTTTTTTTCATAACGGCATGATTGGAGTTGAATAAATAAATAAATAAATAAAAAGAACATTGAAAAAAAGGTGAAAATGTAACGCAACGGCCGTTGTGGTGTAGTGGTTAGCATACTGTACCTGCAATTCATAGACTTGACCTGTGGTCGTAGGTCTTGCTGTGGCGTGCCCATTTTTCATGCGAATTTTACACAGGGTTACACAGGTGCAAACCCGGGTTATAAAGTGGTGAATTTTGGGCAGCAGGCGGGTGGGGAAAATATTTTTGTAACAGTTTTCTCAGCAACTGCTTATAGCAACCTCATGATCATTGCAGGGATTTTTTGGGCTAATTTTATAGCGGTTATTGGGTCATATTCTCAAATAGGAAAAAATTCCCAATTGAAAGTTGTAAAATAAAAATATTGGATAAAAGTTCTAAAATCTTTGCAAATAAGGGCTTCTTCACTGTAAATTGTAATAGTGCTTAAATGTTTGAAGATGCCATCATTGACAGTAATTGTTTGTATCCATTTAATCACTGCAAAATTTCAATCATGTATTTTTCCCATTTTTTAACAAAACGCCGCTGAAATTTTCAATTCCATGGGTATGGGTCGTGTTCCCAAAATGCTGGAAAAATCTCTGAATTGGTATACTTGGTCCCATACCATGGGATTCGATTTCAGGTATGTCGCTCATCCATTTGCTGTTTACCAACTTAGTTAAATTTTCAACATCAATTTTGAATGGTAGGAAATTTTTGTAACAGTCTTCTCAGCAACTACTTATCACGGCCTCTTAATATTTGGTATACAGCATCAACACATAGTCAGGAGAGAGTTTCATATAAGCTGCAAGCTTTCTAGTCTACTCAATCCTGAATGCAATTTATATATTGTAATTTTGTCTGTAAGTATTGATGAAGAAATAAATCTTGTTTAAACTAACACATAGTCCTATACTGTTGTATGGAACGCCATAGCTGCCTCATGTTATTAAATTTTGTTTTATTTTTCCCTAAAAGCGTCTTATTATGTATAATTGAAGTGTTGGCTTGCCAACATTTTATAGGAACCTGTCTTAACGAAGTCTTATTAGGTCAAATATTCATTTTATCTTGTCAAAACGTAGTGCTGGCTTGTCTAAACACTGTCTTATTATTTCAAAACGTCATGTTATCATGTGAAAATCCGGTGTTAACATGCCGAATGGAAGTCTTAATATGTCTAACATGCACGCCATTTTTTTGAATAAAGAGTTCATTATGTCTGAACAAAGACTTGTTTAAATGTGGTGTTGAATTGTCTTGAAATTGTCTTATCACGTGAAACAGTAGTTTTATCTTGTCGGAAGTTGGTGTCATCTTGTCCAAATGTGATCCTGGTATATTATGACACTGTTGTATTATGTTATACTGTCGTTTTTGTCTTGTCCAAATCGTGATAATGACTTGTCTAAACACCGTCACATTTTGTCAGACTGCCATGTCATTGTGTTCAAATTCGGTGTTATCTTGCTTAATGAATGTCTTTTATGTCAAAATAGCATGCTGTCTTGTCCAACTGTTGTGGTAATTTGTCTAGAAAAATTGTCTTATTATGTGAAACAGTAGTGTTATCTTGTCGGAACTTGGTGTCAACTTGTCAAACTCATGTGTTATTATGTTGGGTAGTAGTGATATCTTGTTCAACCGTTATATTGACCTGGCTGAGTGCTGTCCTGTTTTGTCAAAATGTTGTGTTGCTTTGTATGAGGTGGTGTTATTCTGTCTAATTGTGCCAAAACATCATGCTGTCTTGCCTAAAACTGTTGTTATCTCGTCTAAAAATATACTTATTATGTGAAATACTAATGTTGACTTGCCAATAAATTTTGTTTGTTTGTGTAAACGTTATTTTATTATTTCAAATAGTATTGTTGACTTGTCGAAAGATGGTATTGACATGTCTAAACACTTCCTTATTATCTCAGATCGCCATGCTATTTTATTCAAACTTTATGTTAACCGGCCTAAACACCGTTTTATTATGTGAAATAATGATGGTATCTTTACAAATTATGGTTATGCACTGTTAAAATGCTTTTTTAATTTGTTAAACTGTCATGCAATTGTGTCCAAATGTAGATTCAACTTGTCTATATTCGTCTTATTATGTCAAATAGTCATATCATCTTGTCGAAACGTGGTGATGACTTTTTCTAAAATTACTATTCTTTTTGTCAAAGTGTCATTTTATTTTGTCAAGGTCAGTGTTAATTTTACTAAACATCGTCCTTTTATGGCGAAGTATCATTTTTCCTTTTCAAATGTGGTGTTTACTTATTGAAACACAGTAAATCATTATGTAGTACAAAGGCGTTTAACTTGCCAGTTTATGACGTAAACATGTCTACACGCCGTCTCATTATGTCAGATAATCGTATTATCATGTCCAGCATGCGATGTTTGTCAAAATTTTAGTAATCATGTTGACCAGAGCCCACGCTGCAGCGTGAAAGATAGAGCAAAAAAAGGTAACGGGACAGTTTAGCAAAATCAGACAGCGCTTTCTCAAGACGGAACTAAATTTGAACAAATTAACACAATTATTAGAAACATAACATTTACGAAAATTTAAATACCTTTTCGCAAGATAAACAATTTTTGACTTTATAAAACCTGTTTAAAATTAAACCTTTGCCCAAAAGCATACATTATTAAAAGGGGGAATCAGACCCCTTTGGCAAAGAAATGAATTTTTGAAAAAGCTAAATTTTACATTGGCATTAACAACGTTTTTTACACAATAAGACGTTTTGAAAATTTAACAGAATTTAAAACCCATGGCATTGGTAAATATTAGTCCAATCCCCATAAGACATTCTGTTTCCAATTAGAAATTTTAACAAAGGTAAAATTGAATTGACATTTTCTAAACACTTTCAGCCCAAATTTGACGATTAAACATATTAAAAATAAAGGGATTTAAAAGTAAACCATCCCCCTTTTAAAATAAGTACATGTTAGCAATTAATGAATTTTAAATTTTTTGTTTAAAAGTTAAAACTTATTTAACAGCCTAAGTTGCTTAGCAGATAAACATGTAATCTGTGGGATTTGATTATATATTGATTGATTTCTTAAGGCTTTCAAGTTTTGCCAATTAAAAAGTTCAACAAAAAGGTAAAGATAGAAATTTTAAAAATTTTTTAAGAAATACTCTTTATTTTTTAATGAATTAAATAACTTTTTTCCCATAATAAATTGGATTTACCCATATCCTACCTTTGTTCCAACAAATTCATGTTAACCCTTTTAATTTGTTTAAAGGGGATTTAAAAGAAGGCCCTTTTAACCGGCCGTTTTGGGCCGTCCAATTTTGTGGGTTGATTTTATAATTATATTTTAAAAAACTTTAAAATTTTTCAATTGGTAAACATCGACACAAGAACAGTCTTAAGTAAATTTATTTTCATTTGTTTTGGAAAAATCTTTGTTAAAAAATTTTCCACATTTTTAAAATTATATTATTCAAAATTTTCCCCCAATTGTAGCGGGAGTGCCCTTTGTCAGATTCAGTCCTTGCGAAAAGGGCAATCGCCCCTGGCGTCGGTTCGAAAAAAATTTTTAAGTTTTGGACCAAACACTTTATTAGAAGTAACAAATGTCTTTAAAACATCTTGTTCAAATATAAAAATTAAAAAAGGGTAATAACTAAAGGTTTGAAATTACCCCTTTTTTGAATTAAAAAGGTAACTTAATTTTTATTTTCAAAATTATTTACACTTTAAATTTCCCTTTAAACTACTACTTTCATTAAAAAGAATATAACAAAGGAAAATAACTTTTTCCCTGGTAGTTTTTGCAAAATGCCCTTTTATTTAAAAATTTCAATTGAATTGGGTAAAATTTTTAAATCTTTTATAACTTATGGTTTCTTGAAACTTTATTTTTCAAAAATAACCCCAATTATTACCAAAGGGTATCTTTTAAATTTTTTTTTTTTTTTTTAATTGAATTTTTTATTTTTAGTGCCCTTTTATGAAATTTTTAATATAATTTGAAATTTTTCAGTAAATCTTTCAGGCCATGGCAAAAGATTAAGGTTTTTTTGAATTGGAATTTTTCTTAGAAAAAATTTTTAAATAAATTTTTATTTTATTTAACATTAAGATTTTATTTGAATGTAGTTTTAAAGTCTTTAAAACCCAAATGAAGGAAAAAAATCTTGTGAAAATTCTTATTAAATTGTTCCCATTAAATCTGCTTCTTTTAAATGGGTATTTTGGGAACCTAAAAGGTCACCCTTTGGTTTTCTCATTTTTGGTAATTTTATTTCATTATCAAAATCCCAAAAATAACACCTTGATGAGTTTTACCTGTCACACTGATTATGAGGTCAAATGGTCAAACGTCAAGGTCACTATTACCTTTAATATTTTACAGGTTTAGATAAATTTTCTCAAAAAATAACTAAAGCTATTTTCTGTGTGACTTTGTTTTCTTGTTCACTATTATCATGTGATGCAATATCATAAGGGCAGATAATCTTAAGTTATATTTTGAAAAGTTATGTCCCTTTTTGACATAGACTTTTTTTTACCCTGATTAACCTTTTTGTAAAGGTTATTTTCTCAAAAAGCTGTCAATGATATTCACTTTAAATTTGGAATATGTGTTCACTATAAAATTTGAAATGTAAATTTAAAATGACCCCTATATTTTTTATACTTATGGCCACAAATGACCCCCCAAAAAATCCAGTCTGGCAAAAACACTGAATGCACTTTGATAAATAGAAGTTGATAGATTTTGAAGCATACAATATAGTTTAGCCCCAAATTAAGCTGTTTTTCAAAACTAAAGCTTGATTATCTCATTTTATCCTGCTACACTGACTTACATTCTGTTGTATATAAAGTATTAACCTTAACTTTGTAGAAAATGAAGCCAAGACCATAGAGCAGCAGTTACTGGAACACCAGAAATCACTCTGGGCAGGTGTACGTTTTTCCACGCGGATCCCCCCCCTTTTCCCCCGGAAGACCCCCCCGGAAGACCTGTTTGTTTTTTGTATAATTATAAAAAGATGAGGGGCCACGTTTTAGCGAAAACAAAACGCAAATAAAAATTTTTAAAATTAAAAAATGAATTTTCAATCAATTATTTTAAAAGAAACTTTCAATTTCCTTTGAATTTTGTTCATGAAAATTATTTTAAATTTTTGTTTTGAAGTTTAAAAATTAATTGTTTTTTAAAAGAACAACTTGAAGCTGAAAATTTTTTGGTCATAAAATTTAGAGGCTCTCATGTTTTAATCTGTAGAAAAGAAACTTAAATGCTTTTTTACACCTGAAAAAATACATGGATGAGCTACTTATGCCTTCCCCGACCAGTTAAGATAGAATACACTATGTTCAGTAAGCTAACTAGATAGCTTCCTCACATCCAGAGTGGCGAGACGAAAGTGAGTTTTGACCATAGAGATCCTCCTGTGTTAATGAATACGAGCTTAACAAAGTTTGCCTAGATTAAAGCATTCATTAATGTAAAGTAGCTTTACATTGGTATGAAATATTTGAAATATTGTTTAAAACCAATAAAGATCACGAAGAATGATAAAATAATATTAACAATATGATAGAGAGACTTTGTTGTTGTTGTTTTTTTTCAGCCTGAAATGAGAACAGTTCCTGATCATATACCGAGACCAGATTATGCTTCACATCCAGAAGGTTAACCTGTTTTCTTTGTTGTGAAAATCTCTTATGTTGATATACTTCCCATTTTCATACTCTGTATAATCTAATTTTATTGACTCCTCAGATGACACAAATGTCAAATGCTGATTTGTTCGATGATAAACAATTTTGTTTATGATACTCTAATTAAGATATAAAACTTAGTGCATTTCTTCATTTTCTTTTTATTTTTATATAAGATTTTTAGACTTGCAAGGTAAATGACCCTCCAATTCCTTTTCCAGTTTTAAAGAAACCCCATTCTATAAATACATGATGATTAAAATTTATATAATTTCAGTTCAAATAACACTTTCCATATTGTAACATGGTCTTTCTTGTTCAATTTTAACATTAATTTTGTCTGAAGATTTATAAGAGAGTGCTCTGTTCATGCCAGTACATTGGTAATAATAATTTGTAAATTCATCCTAATTATGCATATAACATATAAAAAAAATTTTGCAGGTTTTTGGGAAAATTACAATATATATTTGCAAAAGGGGGAGAAAAAACTTGATGTTAATTCAATTTTTGGGGAAAACTACATGATTTTAAAGAATTTTTCTTTGGGGAAGCAGCCCTGTAACGGCCTCTGCTGTAGAAGGAAAAATAGCCCTGTCTTGGTATAATATTGATATATTTCCACAAATTTGTGTTTATATAATTACAGGTGAACCATTGTCAGAGAGAGCAATGCGGGGAAACAACAGTATTAGAATACTAACAGATGAGGAACAAGAGGGAGTGAAACAAGCTTGTAGAGTAAGTTTATAGTTTACATCATAATGATATTGTCACCTAAGTGCAGTAACAGGTTAATGCCTTATTTAATATGATAGTAGTTGGCCTGTTACTGTACTAAGGTGAACATATATTTAGTTTGTAAATTACAAAGGTAATCAAGTAGTTATGCCCTCTTGAAAATATTGAAATTTTCTCTCTTCTGAGTGTGATATAGAATATTATCACAAGCCTGTGCCGATTTTGCGACTCCGTAAAATGGTATTGCACGGTTGTGCGTATATTTTGACATGGCGTCTTGTGTGTTGTACAAACCTAGTGTAAAGACGTGCTAAATGTTAGCGTTACACTATAGGCGCGTCATCGAAAAATGATTCTTTTTCACTATAAACTCTATTTATTTAGGATATGTGATAAATAGAATATTGTATTCGTGTAAGTTCAATACTGAATTTATTGAACTCGTTAAATAAAATAATACTTTGCTGGCCAGAGGCTTGAACTTTGTTCAACCAACTCGTTCAATAAATTCAGTATTGAACTTACACTCATTCAATATCTTCTATTTCATACATGTATTTTTTTTATATTTAAGCAAGTGCCCTGCTGGTTACAGCAATATTGGGTCATACAGAATGGCACTTTAGATTGAAAAAAGTCCAAATATAATCCCTGTATTGACATTGCAGGACTGTACAAATGCACAATTTTTGCACATGCATTCAAACAAGTTCTTGCTGTATTATACTGTGTTATTATATTATACAGATAGGTAGAGAGGTACTAGATATCGCAGCAAAGGCTATTGGTATAGGTGTCACTACTGCTGAAATTGATACTGCAGTTTATCAGGTATATATACTTATACTTTAACTTTGTACAACATCTTTGATAACAAAGCTACGTCATTTGTTTGAATCACTTTCACAAATTCTTAATTTTATGCTTATTTTTTTGAAATATTGAAGGACTATAAATGAGATTTGAGTAAAACCATGTTATTTAAATGAATACATTACAATAAGTTTATGTTATGTTTACTGTTTTACATATTCTTATACATTTATAATTTCTTTAACATTTATAATCTTTTAGTCATGTTAGATATTTTGTTTATAGATATTTTGCATGGACAAGGTGATCTGAAGTTTGGAAATAAAGTTTTCGACATGTCCTCAGATTGGCGAACATATTTTAACAGAGCTATATTATAAGTGTCTGATATGTTTTACTAAATTTTGAGCTTTGTGAGGGCAAGGTGGAGGGCATTGATCAGGGTGGCAACTTTGATTTTGTTATTTAAATTTTACAGGCATGTATAGACAGACAATGTTACCCTTCACCTTTGAATTATTATTGTTTTCCTGCATCATGTTGTACGTAAGTAAAAATTTCAACAGTTTTATAACTTATTGTAGGTGAAGTTAAAGTTACTATTTAATAGCAATTAAAAAATTGGCTTGAGTTAAAAAGTGGGAAAAAAGCTTTGGTTTTATTTTCCCATTATAGTTTAACATTTGAAAATTTGCCTAGGTTGTAAAAAGTTTAACAGCTTTCTTGTACAGATTGTATATATTGTTTCTTAATGCATAAGATTCCTGTGTGTTGATTAATAAATTATGTTCTTTGCAAATAAAGTTCAAATTTGTTGCATTTTTCATCACTTTGTCAGAGTGAAATTACCTATAGGTTTCTCAACATGCATATATATCTTTGTAACTTTGAACTACTGTTGAACGCTAACCATGCTAAACATCTCATATAGCTTTGTAAACAGTGAAGACAGTGTCTTTATAAAGTATATTATGAACAAATGAGCCGCGTCATGACAAAACCAACATAGTGCGTTTGCGACCAGCATGGATCCAGACAGCCTGCGAAACCCGGCAGTCTGATGGATCCATCCCGTTTGCTATCATTTCTCTATTGTAAAAATTTGGGCCGCGGATCCGCAAGGGGTTTGGGGGTCTGGACCATGTGGTTCAAACACTATTTTGGTTTTTTCTGACGGGCTAAAAATGCTGATAAATTTTATTTTATTTTAGGTCAGTAAATGAGGTTATATGCCATGGAATTCCAGATTCTAGAAAACTGGAAGATGGTGATATAGTTAATGGTATGTTACTATGTTTATACATGTAGTTTTATAGCAAATTTATCTGTAAAACGTTTTTTTCCACAGTCATAATCTAAGTAATCTGTGGCTCAAAAGTCATGTACTTTATGATCAAAATAATATGATAAATAAGTTTACAAATGCCTGTGTAGTTCCTTTATTCAATATTCCCAGACCCCAATACTAGTCATGGGGATTACTATTAAAAATGTTTCTAGGGGAAAACCATGGCCAAAAGTGATTATTTTGTTTTTATTTAATCCAAAAAGGAATTCCCTTTTTTTGGGTTAAGAAATTTCAGGGACTTTTTTTTTTTTTCAGTGAGGTTTTCTTCCTGTAGTGTATTTATTTTACATTTTTTTGTGTTATTTCAGTGGATATATCAGTGTATTATAAAGGTTACCATGGAGATTTAAATGAGACATTTTTTGTGGGTAATGTTGATGAAAAATACAAGAAGTTGGTGAAGGTTACCTGGGAATGTCTAGATAATGCCATTAAAGAAGGTAAGATTTATTTTCTGGTGTGAAAAATTGACATTTACACAAAATGAGATTATTGTAAGAGAGTATAGTCTGGAGGAAAAAGATTCACATGTACAGAAAATGAAAATATTGATAACGGGTATTAGGCTACATGATAATGCACTTTTGCAGATTATAGAATTTTGAAATTTTGTGTAACTTTGTACTTTAGTTGATACTTGTAACACATTTCTTTGAAACTTTGTAAAATATGAAAAAGTCTTGTTGTGCGTCTTAACCTTTTTATGGGTGAATATCTTTAATTTACTTGCAGATTCTACCATTAGCGTATACTTTAACTGTGCAATATTATTGGAGCACTCATGTATAGTTTACAATAGTACTGTATATAGGTGTACAAAGCTGTGATATACTCGATGTGTTTCCATTTAAACTTCATCTGATTATTATAACATCTATAAAACATATTGTATCTGTGATGAACTTTTTGTTAATGACAGTTAAACCTGGTGTGCGGTACCGAGACATTGGTGCAGTGATACAAAAACACGCTCAGGCTAACGGTTTCTCTGTGGTGCGTAGTTACTGCGGTCATGGAATACACCAGTAAGTTATCTGTGTAACTGTATTATATATAGGAAATAAATATCAATTTTTAGTGCATTAAATAGAATAATGGACGGTTAGAGTTCAAATGCATAGAAATATAATTATAATTGCAAAGTACCGGTATTTGAATGATAAGCCATGCATTATTATAACTATAATGCACGAAAATTTCTATTTCTTTTCTAACATGCTAGTTAAAAAGATAACTGAAAAAACATGTTGATCTACATTGAGCGTAGAAGTAATTTTCCTTACATCATTTGGTTTATTGACATCATATATGACATATGAAGTGTAGTAGGGAAAAAGTGCAAAGCATGTTAGAATGTTGAATATGACTTAACAGTCATAAAAATCAATGTAGACAAGGTTTACATGTATAATGTTTTCTTGCCAAACTATTTGGGTATGGATAGATATTTTTTCTTGACACCTGAAACAATGAACTGTACTGTTGGTTTATTTAACTTCATACATCTTTCACCTAGGCCATAATTCATTGTACATGTATATACACCTTATAAGCCAGAATCTTTTAAAACTTTGACACATAATGCCTCTGAGAGTTTCTCTGTTAAATACATATGTATATAAGTTTGACATATAAATGGCCTTGTCATTTATTGTCATACTTTAAACATCCATATGTTAGGAATTCACCGCATACAAAGTCAATTGTATTTTGTGGGCACATCTTGTTGTGACCTGATCATTATGAACTTACATATATATTAGATAGTATGGTAATAAAAATTGTTTTGTACTCAAGTTTAGTTAATATGTACATTTATAATGGTGTTTGCCTGTAATACAAATTATATGTTACAGATTGTTTCACACAGCTCCAAGTGTTCCTCACTATGCCAGTAAGTAACCAACTTCATATCAAGTTACAGTCAGTAACCAACTTCTTATAAAGTTACATCAAATGCTGTTTATATTTGAATTTAGTTAAATGTTTTAGTTACTAGAAATGTTTCACTTTAAACTAAATATTTCCTATTCTGACACCAATTATGCTTACTATAAGTTATCAGGTTAAATGACTCAGAGAGAGTTTTCAAAAAAAACTTTACAAGCTTCCTACTCAATCCGTAAATTTTATTTTATTATTTTTGTACTTTATTATGTAAATGTATAGATTATAAATAAAATATTGTTTAAACTAAATAACTGCAGAGATTTTAGCCCTGCCATACTGAGTTTAATAATATCAGGTAGTTCAAAGAAAGAAAAATATTGGCTAAAGAATTAGTTAATAGTTCAGGGTATACTAAATTAAAAGTAAAATATGAAGGTAAACTGAATTAAAAGTAAAATATAAAGGTCTACTGAATTATAAGTAAAATATATTTTTTTTTATACATTTTGTAACAGAAATATATTTCCCATAATTATCTTTTTACAGAAAACAAAGCAATTGGTGTTATGAAACCAGGTCATTGTTTTACCATCGAGCCTATGATAAATGAAGGTAACTATAACATTTGATTTTATTAAAGGTTTTCACTCAACAGTACAAAGACAAAAAGCAATTAGCAGACCATTTGATTTTAAGATAAATCCATATAAATCATATCCTTATAAGTTACTGCAGTAACGGGTTAATTCTTATTAAATTATGTAAGGAGATAATCTGTTATTGCACTAAGAAGATGAAATACTTAACAGCTTCAGGGTGGAGGAAAGGTTTTGGTATAAAAGAAGTACAGTACAGTTGAGATACAATGTAGTATTGAAAAGTTGAAAAAGAGCACATAAAATACATGTACAGCACTTTATAGTACAGAACATGTTACAGTTGAGCTACAATACAGTACAGAACAGCACAATATAATTCAGTACAATACAATAGGTGACAACACAACACAGCTTAATACAACATAATATGACCTAACTTTACACAACTTAATACAACACAATATAAACCAACACAACACAGCTTCATACAACACAGCACAATTCAACAAAAAAAAAAAAGCAATATAAGTATAAACTTAAAGATAAAACACATCAAAGTAGTATATCACTGTAAAATCTATTTGCTACAGCTTACCTTAAACCATCATGATTACTTATTTTGTCTGGAGTGTTTTAATTGTAAAATATTTATATGCTATTTATAGGAACATGGAGAGATGAGACCTGGCCTGATAAATGGACAGCAGTGACAGAGGACGGGAAACGATCTGCTCAATTTGAACACACCCTTCTAGTAACAGAAACAGGCTGTGAGATACTGACAAGAAGACTGGAGAAAGATGGGCAGCCTCATTTCATGGACCAGTTGAAGTGAACTTTGTCGTCTGCTTAGGTCATAAAAAATTTAACAAATTAAGAATTGATAAAAAAAAAAAGCTGGGAAAAAATGCTTTATTCTGAACCACTTTTCATCAAAATTCATGTGCTTTTCACTAGATTCTTATTGAGTCAAGATCAGTTAACAAATAGTTGTATTTTGTTACACACCTATATAAGTTTTTGTGAATTAAATATTCAGTTTAATAGTGATTAACCTACTTTTGAAAATTTCATTTTTTTAACCCATTTGTTTGCAAAACAATTAATTTGCTTAATGAAGTTTGGAATGTAAGACATTTAAATGATGTATTACAACAACTTCCAGTTTTTTATACCTTTAAATGTAGGTATTTAAGATTTATTTTCCCTTTTTGGTTATGCTGTGTTTTAAATGTTGAAGTTTTAAATGTTAAATGTTAAGATTGGTTTACTGTATGACAGTGTAGTATCTGGACTCAGATGCTCTCTTTAGTTTTGTAAGGAGTTAACCTTCACCTGATTTTCACGATGCATTAATCAATAATTACAGTATAAACACAGGTGACTGTAAGAATGCTAGCTTTGAAACAAACTATGTTTGAATACATGTGGTGATACTTCATTATAAAAATAACCCACAATTTATTGGAAGCCTTTAGTTTCTGATAAAGCAATTCCATACATATATAATTTGCTAGCAGAAGTAATTTCTCATTATCACTGATTACATTGATCTTTTCTTGTATATTGTGATATTTAACCTTTGATCTATGTACCGGATTGGGTTTGTGTAGAATGCCTGATCTGATTCTGTTTGTAATTTTTGTTCAAAAGTATGATTTTCAGTTACAGTTACAAACTAGTTCTTGTTACAAAGTCTTTGATTTATTTTTGTTGCAAAGTTCCTTCAAACTATTCAACTTTTCTATAATAAAGTTTGACATTTATAATTAAGGACTTTCAAGTGGTATATAGAGTTGAGCTGGTTTATGAAAGGTCATATTTTCAAGCAAGGTGCTTATAGATATAATTTAACTAATGTACAGTATGCCACATCTTCTAGTCTTGTCCATCAGAAAAATTGCTGTTACAGTGTCAGTTTTAGTTGTTCAAGTTGAAATTTAAAGGCAAATAATGTTGTGTCAGATTAGAAAGTAGTTTTGTATATTTTGCCTTGGTTATTTAATCTCAGGATATTGAAAATTGAACTTGATTATAATTTTACTGCTTTCCCTATTTAATTTGAAAGGGAATATAATAGGAAAATTGATTACGCAAACAAATCACAAAGTAAACTATCCAATTCTAGTTTTATGTTCAATTGATAAACATGTGTCATCACTTGTTTCCGAACAGAGGGAGGTTACAGGAGTGGCCTTTGTACACCATTTTGCCAAAACACGGCTATAAGTAGATCTACCTTTAATTGACTTGCATCATCAACACCAAACTTTGTATAAAGCCTTTGAGGATGTTAGGATTGCTACAACGAACTTACCTTTCACATTGTTACACACAAGATCACATGTAAGATGGACAATTTTACAACATCTTCTTATAAACCATTGTTGTATTTACTATGTTTAGCAAAACAGAGCCTTTTTGTTTGCTCTGCACTTTTGTACACTGCATAATATAATGCTTCTTAGTGCAAAACGAATTTCAGCCTAGAACTTTATGTTATAATCACTTTTTGATGTTTATGACTAGTTAAAGTTTTACTTGATACATCATCATTATATGATCTATCTGTACTTCTGTTTGATTAAGCCTTTTAGTTTTTTTTGAAAGTAAATGATACATTATTTTTCACAGCCCAGTTGTTTTAATCTGTCAAAGATTGTATACACTTATACAATGTATATGTATTTTTCTGGATTTTGATGATATTAAAGAAAAAACCAATTTTAAAACTAAATTTTATCCATTTTTTGAATACAAAGCTTTGAAAGGGATGATTAAATACCCAAAACTTGCATTAATATCTCCATAGTGTTTCTGTATTTTGTGATTTAAATAAAAAAACAAATTTGCAGTCATACGTCACATTGGAAAGGTTTACTCCATAGCAACCATTTCTGTATACATGTATCTTTATTTATATCATATAATGTAAGTTTGAATATAGAAATCAACTCTAGTTTCAATTTAAAAATATATATCTTACAGTTAGATATTTCTAGTTGAGAAAGTTAAAAATAAGGAAGAATGTTTATAATTATTTCAAATTTATTTTTGGAAATATGCCATTAAGCTCTATTTTTTTATGGAATGGACAATTAATTATATTTCAAACTGAGAGAATCTCCTTATGTGAGAGGTTAAGTTACTTGCATTAATAATAAATCATTTGCTGCTGGGAGATATGTAGCCATGTGCTTGCTTATTTGAAATAATGTACAGTAATGTATGTACTGAATGTATGCAAGGAAATGACTTAAAAACTTTTAAGACTTACCATGATGTAATTAAGTAATGGACTTTTTTTTATATGATTATCATTTTACAATGCTGCCATGTAATGGTTTATAGCTTTGTGTGTCAGTGTCAGCCCATAAACCAGACCTTGGAAAGTTGTCTGACTAGAACACTAGGCTATACAGTCTAAAGATCTTGTGTTTAAGTTGACCATGACTAGATGGCCCCTATTGATTGTGAGGTTAAGTTGGTTAAGATTAAGGTCATTGACCTTGATCACAAAATGCATGTCACACTGATAACCAGAGAACACTGTGACCTTGGTGAAAGGTCACAGTAACAGAGTTGGTAGGGTGCACACATATTTCTAGTTTGTATATGAAACATGTTCATATTCCTGTCACTTGTTGAATTATACAATCATAACTTAGCATGTAAAATTATCTTTTGAATAAATTATTTGATATTAAACAACTACAGTATTATTTGTTATTTCTATGCAGATCAGCTCCTATTAATAATATTGAGTTTGATTTATTAACACTGACACCACATGTTTGATTATTAACTAGGTTATTTAAGCTATTTTTCATATGCAATTATCATGATTAAATAACATTTGAAACTGTCTATTCGTTGCTATAGTAACACTAGAAAATTGTAAATCTACATCATATTGATATTCCCACATATAAAGTGATGATGCTGAAAGTCATACTCTATTCCAGAAAGAAAAAACATACATCAATAATATCAAGTTTAAAGTTTTATACTAAATTTTGATAATATTTTAAACAACACTTCGTAAAAGTAATACAGTATAATAGGTTATATGTTCTAGAGTGAATGTTCTACAACTAATGTTATTCAGTATATATAACTGGTTATATGATTAAAGGAACAATGTCCTTATAAGTTCTAAAACAAAGAGACACTGCCGGAAATCTCTAACCGGTTTTTTTTCTACTTTACTAGTAAGGATCGACAACTTCAGATAAAATTGCTTTTGTAGTTAGTCTAGGACACAAATTGAATTTTTATATCCGGTCCTTGGGTATTGTGTCGTGAAATACACTTTTTAAAGAACACTGCCGATATTCCATACAGTTCCGTCCAGCTTGATGTAATATGGCGGGAAATATCGCCGTTGATTGTCACGTGATCGGTGTCCGCGTTACCATCTTGTATCCACATAGATTGAAAAGTCATAATTGGAAATAGTTTCCGATCTTTTCTGAACATTGCATTTTTCACATTTAGTTTGGTTTGGGTATATGTTGTCTCAATATTGAATATTGCAGTATTTCCGTCGGCATACCTGAGAGCTAATGTTTTAGTTTTAGGATCGATGTCGATTTTCTCTATTGGCGAGTACGGTTTTTCTGAATCTGTGGACTGTGGCTGGCCTATGTTGACGGAAGCACCAAATGGAATATAATCTAAACCATGCGGCGTCATAGCCTGAAGTCGTACCCTGCCGTTCTGAAATAGGACAAAGACTTGCGAATATCCCCCAGTCCACGGAACCTTTACATACACCCGGAGACTATCAATATTAAAATGTTCCTTTGTGCCTCTTGCTTGAATACTGACTGTCATAGAATTGCGATGGTAAAGCCAGTACTGCCAAAAACTGAGCCTCACCCCCTCGAATACAACATCAGGGTCCGCATAAAGCTCCACTGTTGTATCTTCAGTATTACGCCGATCTAGTCTAACCGTATCTAAAACAACTTGCTGTTTACCCGGCTCTATAATTAGTCTTATTTGGTTTTCACCTGCCACGTCCCATGTTCTGTCCGGTATAGGCCATGAATGTTCATTATTGAACGGCGTTAACTCAACCTTTTCCAAAGACTTCCAACGGCCATTTTGCAAGTATTCCGGTTTGAACGTAACATTTTCTCGCGGCATGTTCCGTAATTTTACGAATAATACCGAACCCAGCAGTCTTTCGTCTGTTTCTCTTGTAGGTGTAAGGCTACTGAAGTCGAAACTTACTGTTGCTCTTGTTTTATAATACGACCCAGAAAATCTTAAAACTGCGTTGCCTTTTCGTACGTCAGCCGTGTCCGGGAATATCGTCAAGTTTCCAAATATCCAGTATGGCGATGCTAGGACGCACTGGTCATAGTTTGGCTCTCTATTGTTAGCGAAGGAATGATATTTTGGAATGTTGGCAGTTATTTCAAATTCTGTTGATCTGTCGTGATATAGCTCAACTTTGATGTTGTCCTGCTCAGAACATTGTGTAGACGTTGATTTTTGAACAAATTTTCCACTCGGGACAGAATCTACCCTCGGAACATCGTCGTAATTAACGTTGAAGCAGAACTGATTGCAAAGAAGATCTTTATATTCTAAGAAATTGTCATCGATGCTTAGGAGAACATAATCAACTTCCACTCCCCATTGGTCTGATTGTGTAGCTTGAAGTGTAAGCACGTGTCTTCCTATACCGAGCTTCATTTTGCCCGGAAGTTGCCCTGACGACTTAAACATGTTCCATCCGTTCCCGTCACCTTTATATGCCGATGTCGTAAAAGATCCAATGTGTTGTTCCTCTAATGTTGCCCGGAACGTGTCCGATGGCCCGTCGTTAGAATACATCACACTTTTTACGATTACAGTGCTTGGTACTCGTAGACAAAAATCAATATGAATTAAGTCGTTGTTATTGAAGAGTACAGTAAAATTTCCAGATGCTCCAGATCTGGGCATGCGCATAGCGTTCGGTGAAAAATTTTCAACTTCGAATGTAAACAGTTTCGATGCAACATTTTGAAAACTGCAAGCAAGAACACAAATGAAAAATGCCTTGTATTCCATTTTGAAAAGACACTTACATCTCAGCGTTCACTGTCCGGATTTCTAGATCCTTACTTACGAAAGGAAAGACTAATTACACAAATATCTTTGATCTAAAACTAATATATTACTTAAATTTAGAGAAACAATTGGGCGAAACATTTTGTACGAGGTAAATGATAAATAATACGAGAACGCTATTCATCATGTCAAATGACTTTCGTTTTTTGTACTTGAACAAAATAATGTATTTTGCATTTAAATTGAAGTACTTAATTGTAACGCGTTACTCTTCCCAGGGAAGATAAAAAAAATCAAATGTTAAGTGGTTTAGGTTTCTGCATATGTAAAACACAAATATTATATTTACAGTGTAACCTGCGCGCATAATTTACATTTGAATCATCGTTAGATGAATGCTGTTTAGATAATATAATATTATTAATGTTGTAATACTGCAATCTGCTACAACATTACTTTTTATTGAATTGTTCAGGTAGACAAGATGTATATTGGCTACAGGGTTTGTTCATTTGAGCAGGTCTTCATGCGCAGGTTCAGACGAATTATTTACACCATTCATAGCAAAGACACGTAGTGTGGATGAAAATAAAATACCACAAACAAACCCTGGCTTTTGTACGCACAATAATATCCATACATTACTTTAATGCAGTATATTTTTTAAACGCACCTAGCCACAAATACCAACATTGCGTACATACTTAACCGCATTTAAAACAAAACTCCTGAATAATTAATTAATTGGTTTTGATCTAGAATCTACATGTGTACGATTGATTAAGTGTAGACCTGTACAATGTCTGTCTATTCATCAAAAAACTATATTTAGAAGGCTAACTATAGTAGTTTAATAACTTATGTTCCCGACGTCGCGTCATGAACAGATTTTAAGCAAATTTTGTAAAACAAAATTGAGCGAGCCGCGTCACGACAAAACCAACATAGTGTGTTTGCGACCAGCATGGATCCAGATTACAGACCAGCCTGCGCATCCGCGCAGTCTAATCAGGATCCATGCTGTTCGCTAACCAACTCATTACAAGTAGAGAAACTGATAGCGAACAGCATGGATCCTGATCAGACTGCGCGGATGCGCAGGCTGGTCTGGATCCTTGCTGGTCGCAAACCCATTATGTTGGTTTTGTCGTGACGCGGCTCAAATTTACTTGATTTCTTTTTTTAGTTTGAATGGTGAAATTTCAAGTTATTTAACATTTAGGAAGGGCCTGTGTATGCTTAAAACTCGTAGTTCTGTATTTCCGTCTCGCTATCCTACAGTTTTACAAAGCAACCACATTAATTGATCAATATATTCCACATTTGTTGATTAGGAGCTTGAGTGAAGTTCAAGGTTGTCGATGCTATAAATAGAACTTAACATATTCCTAGGTCTACAATAACTAAAGGAAATCTGTTTTAAATCTACAAACTTTTATATATTACAGCTAGATCCAGATAGATCTACCTACATATATATAAAGTATCTTTAACATGAATTCACGAGTATATGTGTAAATTCAACGTATTGACGTCATATTGAAGTTTGAATGACGTCATATGAGCGTGAGCGTTGCAAATTATAAAATAATGCTACGAACACAAGAAAGCACGTTTATTTTACTCCCTGTGTTTGTTTTCTTTGTGTCCGTGCACAGCAGATCACTGGGAAATATGAAAGGAAATCACACTTTGGAATCGAGACACAGGCGTTCTCTTTCTCTCGGAAGTTTTAATCGCATGCAGGCAAACTGGAAATATTCAAAGAAAGAGGTTAAGAAAATGTTTGACGAATATTACAAATGTATTGAGGAGGCAAACAAGTCGGAAAATCGTATGAAAGAAGCCATTACCGCAGTTCTTGCACTTGAAGGTCAGCGAGTCGACCTGAAGTGCCCGTCTTGTCAAAGACCAGATCAGGATTCTGTCAAGGCTAAACTGTTTTGGCAGCGCGCGAGAAACGTGGACTCGACAACCATGCATGTGGACCCTTCAGCGGAAGGTTTCAAACTGAAGAAAGACATGACGCTAGTCATAAAAAACGTTGATGTTACTGACGCGGGACAATACTTCTGCGTGAAAGATGGCGATTCTGAAGTCATCTACCAGGTAGACGTCCTCTTCCGGGAACCACAACGAACTGTCTCTGAGAAAAATATGGAAACGTTACTTCCGGCTCAAAAGTTGATAGATCATAATCTTGAAGTAAGTAGCTCAGTTATTTTTCTTATCATGAATACAGATATCTAGATTCCAGATACGCTTATATCTTAAACATTATCTTAAAATTATTCTCAGACTGATGGTTGATGTGGATCTTGTCTGAAGTATTTGGTTAAAAATCATGTAGATGTAGACTACTGAACATTTGATTGAGATGTGATTTATATTTCAGTGTAAGGGAAACATCAATTTGGTGGCGTAGCATGGGTCCTGAAGAGGAAAAAATCCTGGCGGAGGGGATTTTTTTTTTCAGAAAAAGGGGGAATTATATACTGTTTATATACAAAATGTAGTGGGGAATGGGGACGAAATCGGGCCAAATTAGGCAGTAAAACCACTGATGATTGAATGCATTTTTTAAAAAACATATTTGTTTATAGGGCCTACATGTGTGTACATGTATATCTTGTTTAACATTCCACTATCATCCCCATTTCACATCTATAAAGTAATCGAGTTGATCATTTGATTTATTTGATGCATTCCACACACAATTTACAGACATGAATGAATGCATGAAACACTGAATTCTGATGGGACATCTTTGTAAATATAAAATAAGATATATATTTAGTGCAAATGACAATGTTTTGAAGAAATCAAACACTTTCAGCCTTTATTTTCTGTCGAAGAATGGTACACTCTTATTTTCTTAACATTCCGATAGATTCTATTACAAGTATTACATAAAAAAAATGCTTTAAACCTTGACTGTTTAGGTATTTACACACTGGTCAGATTGGGGAGAATGCGACCAGTGTGACAAACACGGAAAAAGACTGAAAATAGGGACGTGCATGGTACAGAAAATAGACATGGACAAGCCTATCGTTCCAGTAGACATTCCAATTATGAGTCTATATCCTAGAGGTACTGCTTGATTGTTTTTTTTTTGTTTTTGTTTTTTTTTTTTGTTTTTATAAATAATCAATGGAGTGTTAGAGCGCTTAGTAACTGACTAGGGAGAACATTGGATTTGTAGTACAGGACTAGCTAATTCAATACAAGGGCGAGGTAAAATTTCTTCATGGCAATTGATGTCGGACATTGAGTCTATGGGTCATTTGTTTTTGAAAGTTTTGTGGGATAAGCAGTCGATCACTTACGATGAAATTGATAATTATTGGTTTGTTATCCAGAAAATCCGGCTAGGGGTATCAACCACCGAGTCCTGACCAAATGAAAACTGTTAAAATCAGCGCAAAAACCAAACAAACAAACAAATTTGGCATTGGATTCTAACAGAGGATTTTTATAGTTTAAGAATTCGTGTAAATATTTCTTCAGCAAATATCTTATTAAAAATCGGTCAACTCTAGAAGCAATGACTTTCTCACATTCAACACAACCCGATAAATCTCGAAATGTTCCGAATATTGATGAGCTTGTGACAGAAATATATTTTCCTCTATACATAATTACGGGATATTTTATCGTTATATTTGCTTTTGTTTCACAATCCTATAAAGTGAAGTCTGTCAGGATAAATATAACGCGTTCGGGCATATTAACTAATGCAGTTTCTCTCGCACAACCACATATTAGTACTTACTTATTTGTTAATCATGTTTCATTCAATGTCACTCTATTGTTTTGAACTACCGGTATGTTTATACATTATGCTATGAATGCGCTTGTTATATTCATTACTTTTTGATTTCAGGAGTTCCTTGTCGTTCTACGGTATTGTCAAGACCTGTGGCACATCTGCCAGGAATTAAGGGAAGAAAAAGTGAAGTTTTGGACGGTGAGCAAGTTTAAACATGGTACATGGAAAATATTGAGCTTTAGAAACGGAAAGCTAAAAGCGAAAAAGTATTTTTTTTTTGCAAATACAAACTTGCATATTTAATGAAATAAGAGAATTTGTATGTCTCTTTCTTAGATTCTATTTATTCATTTGCATCAAGGGGATCCTGCCCTGCTTCATTCTTCTATTTTCTTTCACAACACCAAAAATAGGTACATGAATGTGAATTAATAATGACCTACAGTAGCCTAATTTATTCAGCGTGAACCGCTTAACATAGTATTTTTCAGAATTTTTTTTCCTATGATAAATTGGTAGCCTATTTTTATCGGCAACACTATTTAACTGGTAAAATCTGATCGATTCTGTATCTTTAGAAATAATTAATCGGGTTTTGTATTTGAAACATACCGGTACCGTTGGCCTAGTGGTTAAGGCGTCCGCCTTCGGATCGGGAGGTCGAAGGTTCGAGCCCCACGGGGAGCGTTAATTGAAGGATGAATGTTTCTCGTGGGACTCGTTCCGAAATGGCCGCTTCGTGAGCCGCGAGGTAGTTAAAATGAATGGTTACCGATTTCTATCCGCCTGGCGCCTGGCATAGTGGTAGGAATCGGGAGGTACATGGTATGCAAGCAAAATGTGTCTCATAAGTCAAAATGGCTGGCCCTTTCAGTAGGGGTGACACTATAATAAACAAGACCTTTACCTTTACCTTTATTTCTGTGGTTTCAGTTCATTCTTTTATACATTTAATTTTAGATGAAATATATTACATCAAAATCTTATTCATTGTCATACATGAAACATTTGAACTATTTCACAAAATCTTTCTAACAGTGTGCATATTTTTGTTGATGATTTTTACCGGTGTCGTATGAGATCTACAATACGGTAACATAAAATTTACATATGCACTGGTTGCGAATCAAAATTGCGGATCGCAAAGAATATCACCATTGCGAAAAATAAAGTGGGTTATGTTTCCTTGGTTTTTCATTAAAAATGATATTATTAAGGAATTTGTATACATGTACTAAAAACATTTATCACATACCCATGCTGCTTTTACTCCGTAAAAATGGTATTGCACGGCCGTGCATGTATTTTGACATGACGTTATTTGCGTTTTATAAACCATATGTAAAGACGCGCTGTATGTACGTTGCATTGCTGTATTAAGACGCGCCATATGTTAGCGTTACACTACAGGCGCGTCAAAGAAAAAATATTCTTTTGCACTTTAAACAGTCTTTATTTTGGGCATGCCATTATCGCAATGTCTCTGACAAGTTTAATAAGTTGAACTAATAACGAACATATTATCTTAACTTCAGGTATATGCTTTGTTGTATGTCCATCGACACCTCCTCCGATTCAAGTGACAGACAAGAACGGTAAAGTAATAGAAATCATTGAGGGTGGTTACCATCCGATTGATAAACGACCAGAATTGCCTCCCTTAGTTCAGAGAAAGGTTCTGTATAAGGCAACTGGAACACATGTTAAATTGACATGTCCCACCAAACAAAGAGGCAAGGTGAGATGGCAAAGAGGTGAAAGGCCTATAAATACAGCTACGATACGACGTCAAACTAGAGGAAGAGTTTTTGTTGACAAACTGAACCGTTTGCACATCCGAAAGTTACGTATACGTGACAGCGCCCCCTATCATTGCTGGGTTTGGCAACGGCATGTTGGAGCATTTAAATTGATAGGCTTTAAAAAGATGAATGATAATTTAAAACATTATATTACTTATGCAGGTCTGTTTTTAACGATTATTGCTTTCCCTATATATTGCGCGTGCAAACTTTGTCTGGCGAAACCGAAAGCAAAGAGGCGAAAAAGATGAACTCGGCAATGTTTAACTTCTCAAGTACATGTATGTTTTTAAAAACATATTTGATTGTATTGACATAACATACAAGTCAACCTTCATCCTGACCATGCTTTTATTGTTGGACCTTTGATTGCAGATTGTACTAAAATACATATATATTGAAACTGTAAAGAATCATTTACTAGTATGACGTTTGACTAATACTTGCAGAATAGCTTGCCACATAGATAAATCATGAAGCATATCCATACACACATAAACATCCAGTCAATAATCACAGTGGCGAATGCAAAAGTTATCAGATTTCGGTTACAAATATTTGGAAAGCAATCTGCGGTGACATTGTCTTCGCATTGTTTAAAATCGTCAGTCACTAAATGTTTATAGTTGGGACATATCCATACACTTCCTGTAATTAGAAATGATAATATTTTGTCACTATAGATGTCTTATAACAAACCAAAAGCCATGAAATAAAGAAGATACATGTACAATATTTTGCCTGGCCTAGTAGTTTATAGGCTCAAATTTGAGGGTTCGATTTTTTAAGGTCAGTAGTGTGTGTACTGGAATTAATCAGCAACCTCTGTTTTTAAAAGATTTATGTGGAAAAGTTAAGTTTATGCATAAGTTGTTTTAAACAAAGGTGCATGCCATATGTCTGAGCCATATGTTTTTTTCTCAAGATATTGGTTCTAGAATTTGCATCGTAATATATGACAGAATTGTAACATCAACCGTTATACGAGGACATGCTTACAATGCTAACATCACATAACGAATCATTTACCACAAATCAGCCACGAGAAGTTAAACATAAAACCAATCACACCACACACTGTTCCCGGTCCACACAGGCCGCTTTCGTCTCTGTCTTTACGACAAAACCCGCTGAATAACAAAGGGGACATGCCACTCACAATGAGGTATACAGGAACCATGTTCTCTAGTTTACAGTCGTCCAGATACACAGCACCTGAGATAGATGTAGAAACTAAATACTGTTATGTGACATGCTCACGTGAACATAATATACTGCACGTGTTCAGGAATTCTAGAAACTGAATTTCATCACAATATCGATGGTAAAATTCAATATTTTCTAAACATGTATTTATACCAACATTTATAAGAACACTTTAGTAAATTATTACAAAAGCCGAGTTTTGGATCTTGTCTAGAGTCGGTGGAAACATATCATTCGAACGCCTTACCCATGACAATCTTGGCCACTCCATATCCAACCAACAGGAGCACGAAACATATAATTGGACATAGTACAACTGAAATGATGAATTTAACATTTTAGTTATAATGTGAAACTGAAATCAAAAATGTATGAAAGTATTAACGTGCTGTGTATTCAAATGTATCTACATTATTCTCCACTATTTTTGCCTCTCGCTATTTTAGTGATCTTATTATCTCCTTAGCAATCATTCGTGATTTCTCGGTAACCTTGGTAACCATTAACTGATAGTAAAATTACATTAAAAAAATCAAAATACTATTTTATAGCTTAAAATATACCATTGTATCATAAGCAAGACCCTAAAAGACCTTTAAGGGTCCTTTGTGCCTCCTTAGTCCTTAGCACTGTTTAGTAGGATCCTTCGTATTGATAACGACCTGGTATAATAATTATATGTTTTATCTCCTGGAATTGAAACGCCTTTTCTAACAATGAAACAAGAAAACTTGCTAAAACACATACTTACTCAATGTAATGTTACAGTAGTCACTGACCTGTGCTCTCCCCTTTCCCATTAATACGTTTTACCCGAAAATAGATTGTCACACAACGTCTCTATAACATTTTTCAAAATTCATTTAGCTTATTTGTTAACATTTAACAATGATAACTGTGTAAGTGTTAATTGTCTTGTCCGGAAATCACGACAAATGACTATAAGTTTAATACAAATTTATTTATTAGCAGGATACGAACACTTACAGTACAACAAAAATTAGAGTAAATCAGTAAGCTGGGACATAATATAAAATCATACTACATGTAGTAGTAAGTATAAAAGTTTGGTTGTATACAAAACGAATTTTTAAAAAGAGTAACAAGAAAAAATCCTCGAAGCATAAAGAATAGACCTAAAACAAGTGATAACATCCACATCTATAGCTTAAGGTCTTCAGCTTACCCTTTTACATGACGCATCAGACTTTCAGAATCAGAAGTTCAACTTCACGAATTCACGACATCACCATTTCAACTTTTTGAATTGAACTTCGTAAATTCACATTTTGAAGTTCACGAATTTAAGATTTCATCTTCACGAAGTTGAATTCGTTTATTGAAGAGGTTGAAATCGTGAATTCAATAAGTTGAAATCGTTAAGTTCAAAACATGATTTCATGAAGTTGAATTCATGATATCGTGAATTCTGTATGTTGAAATTCACGATTGTGAAATTCACGAAGATGAACCCCGTCAATCTTTCGTAAAGAAGCATGACTGCTGTTACACTATATCCACGACTGTCGGGTTAATACCTCGTCTTCCCAATTACAAAACTTATCTGATTATGGAGTACCATTGTCCGTTAGGACTGTACTGTACAAAATAATATAGCGTGCAATTGGGGGAAAAATTAACTAAATTACAAACAGAATATCATATCTTATCACAAATAAACAAAAGTAATGTCAAAAAGTAATCTAAAATTTCTTCGTCTGTCGGTCTTAAATACTAACCTAACCGGTTTTTGGCTAAATACCGACCGGAGCTGTTTAAACGTGACCCTTTTAGTGTTGAAGAATAAATCACTGCTTGAACCGGTGCTGGGTGCGTAAGAGATGTAACACGCTCCTTGTCTCTCAAAGTCAGACTATAGGCATCTTTTGGTGTTTTATTGTTCAAAAAAAGATCTCCCCATTAAGATTCTTAATACTTGAGTTTAAAAATTTCTTCATTCCAATGATGGCAAAGTAGTTTTGCTTCATCATTATTGCGATCACTTGTTTTTGTATAACAAACTTCTGTTTATATAAACACGCTGCATTTTGGTACATACAACATAAAACAAAAAGCTTAATTGCTAAGGAAATACCAGTTAAAGCCCTTTATAAATTGAAATTTAATTAACTTTTATTCTTTAACAATTTGTTGACAGATCATGTAAACAACAGTATTTTACTCACATTTTGACTGGCTATTCCGTATGTCACACCACCGCTATGTGCACATTGTTTTTCAATTACGAAATAACAACTTCATCAATATATTTTTCAAAATTTGAAATATGAATGGCCGAAAAGCACGAAAGCTACCTTCACGTGTTTCTCGTTCAATAATATCACCAAGATTGCTTTGCATTTTAATGCTTGCTTTCATATAATCATGCTTGTTTTTATGATAGCGTGTATCGTGATGATGATAAAAATATTGATATATAAATATCAGTATGTTCCTAGACGATATTTTGTGACGGAAGCTTCTTGATTAATGATTAAAGTCACTTCCAAAGATATGGACATCACATAGGATTTTGATAACAACAGACGACAGTTTTCATATTTAATGCCGCCTATATTACCGGTATTTTCTTCTTGCTGTTCAATTTGTAGCAGCATTCACTTGCAAATATTTTAACAGTCTTATAACAGTACTTACCAGGGCCTTTCAAATTTCTATTTGAAAGACCATGACCAAACGGAGCTTTTCGGAGGTGAGTGATGCCAAGTAAAGTACAGATTGATATAATTGTTTGAGGCTGAGTACTACTAAATATACTCTTTTAATGTTTCATTCTTATTCCAAACATACTTAAAATGGCTCCTCTTATATTTGTTCAAATGCATTTTCAAATGCATTAGAATAGTTTAATTCTATAAAAGTTAAGATTTAAATAAAAATAAAAACTAGTAAGAAAATCCACGAATAAGAGAACGTGTACATAACTGATTAAAACAATTCATTAAATTTTGCGTCTGTCTTTGTGAATATTAAATCAATTGAGAATTCGAGATCATTTTAATGTGTGACATTTTGACATAGAAACAATGACATTTTCTGTGTTAAGGGATGTTTTTGGACCAACATAAAGTGCTTAATAAATACATAAACTGGACAGTGCATAAATGACTGATTGTTATGTTCTTAATATTTCACTTTTTCTAATTTATGGCGCGTTTGCTGTTTATGACTATGAATGTAATTGACTAACGTTATTTATAAGCGTATATAACCCGTGTTTAATTTAACATCTTATCTGTTTCATATCTTGCTCCGATGAGATGAACATTTCCTTTGAAAATACTCGTATATAATACTTTGATACTTATGTAAATTGCATGGATGTAAATTACCACCACTTTGTGCTTCAAATTTAACTCTTTTATAGCATGACTGGTGACATGTCCGGGGCCCGTATTTTGTTATAGTATTTTCAAAGCAGTACAGTTTAAACGTCCTTGTCTATCTGGATGGCAGACCAGGTACCCTTGTCTATTGTGGTGGTTTTAAGTTGACCATAATTATATGGAAAATTATTTTGTATGTATACTTATAAATTCATTTAACCTTTTTGGCAAATAAATAAATTAACACATTGTTTACACTCAACAACTTTATTTAATTTTTAGTGCAAAGTACACAGGACAGGACCGAGGCTTCGATGTAAAAACAGATTCATAAAATGCATTATCATGATTATAAAAAGATGGGATAATAAAATAAAAAAGAATTAGTGTAGAGTTATCTCATTAACAAAGAAATAAAATTTTGTTTAAAAGATGATAAAATGTTAAATATAGCACACGCATTTACATGCAAATTGTTTTGTGAAATATCCGAAGGTAATGCCCTTCTTTAATTGTCAATTCGGAGGTAAAATAACACTATTTCACACACGTATCTTGATATCTTAAGTAATGTTCAGAGTATGAATGTTACCGTTTCCTCTTTATGGCTTTAACAAATTCGAAATTAATGCGTCAAAAGTCGGAATACATTCTTAATGTCATCTGCTGTACAAAAATGCAAAGTTATATGCATATTTTTTTCTTATACAATTTATGCAAAGTTTATCGTTTCAGTTGTTAGCTGATGTTATATTATTATGCACAAATTCGTTACAAGTGGTTATTTTTTTAACTATTTGGTCATGAAGTTTACTTACTGTTTTTTTTTCTCTCATAATGACAGAATAACTACTCTTGGCACATGATTTATGGTGATAATATTTCACGTTATCTTCTTTCAATTAATCAAGTAACTGCAGTTATACAAATACTGTAAGTAAGATTTTAACTTTCATGTTAGACGACCCTTGTAGCAATAAAGCGATATTTCATTTCATCTGTTCTTATCAAAGTGCGCAGGGCTTTGTAAACAATACCAGATTTGGGACTGTACTGAAATACAAGGGTGGAATATTTATGTTTCTAAACACGGACGAGCGAAGAACACTCTCGCCACGTTATTATCCGACGTAATGTTACGGTGTTTAATTTTTCGCGACTGTCAATTTTTGTCAGCGGAGCACGCATGATGCATTTTACGTTTGTTTCTGTTTGAAAGGATATAATTCATCTTATATACACCATGATGGGCAAGCTATCGGTTTTATTTATATTTATCACAGGTAAGAGAACATTTCTCGTTGAATTACAAATACCAGTTTAATTATGGCGTTTATTTGACTTATGCATGATAATGAAATTAATTGAGTATTATTTTCAAATAAACATAAAAGCATGTGACAAAGTCAACAAAAATACGATTTATTCTGGTATTGTGCATATTTTGTATACAATTGTATACTTGATATAGTGTATAGGTCTATTCGTGTACAAATGGTGTTATATTTACATCAAATGAACGTGAATATAATGTTACATTAGATGCGGAATTAAATATTTTCATCTACTGAATCATAACAGCACGCAAAAATTATCATGAAATATATTACATATACACTTCTGATAAGTAATTAGAGCAGTATAAATGTTTAAATTAGTGGTGTCTTTGTCAACTTCTTATTAAACATAGGTTCACAATTTTTTAAGTGAAAGTTGAAGTACATGCGGCTTTTGTCTTTATGTAAACAGTATATATGGCTTCTGCAAAACCTATCATGTGTCTTTATTTATTTGTGTTTGATTTCTTTATGTTTTCACTTCTATTTTTTAAATAGCGTGATCTAACACAGATAAGTATGAAACCTCGACAATTTTTGAAAATTTTGTTACCACAGAAAGATATTTTCGTTGCTCTGCTTGATAGATTTAGCCTGTCACATTAAGACGGATGTTGCGATTAAGGTTGAGAGCCACTAATTGTTTGGCCTGTCCTTTAATTCGTATCACAACCATTCGGCACATTTGTCGTGAAAAAAAGAGAAAAAGGTTTTGGTAAAAACATTGATTACTTCGGGCGACCTTCTTGTCCAATAAGGAGCACGGTGCGCAAAACACACCGTCAGTGCTCGGGGAATATTAGTTCCAAGCATGTGTCTTGAACCAGGCACCTATTAAGCTTTTAACTTTCCTCTGCTGAATCTGTATAATATATTGCAAAAAAATCATTTTATAAGATAAAAATCTGTACTGTATATGTTATAAAATATAATTTTTTTTTATAAAATTTATATACATGTAGTGTATAGTAATGTTATTTATTCTCGGAAGAGTGTTAACATAGAATATTTGACATTCACATGAGCACTGTGCGTAAACAGAATAAAATTCTATAACGTTACTGCTATTAAAATATTATAACATATTTAATAAAATTAACACACTAACAAACTTTATACTCGATAGTATATAGTGCGTAACTCTAGATGCTTTCATGGACGAATAGCCTTATGGAATAAATGAAATAAACTCCTATAAAATTTAATTTAATGCTTTTTAGTGCATTACTGATTTATCCGTGAATTTATATTTGATAATTTTACAGTGAATAATCAAAATATAATTTCACACTTTTCAATGAAGAGACTTCCTTTTAAATAATAATAATAATAATAATAATAATAATAATAATAATAATAATAATAATAATAATAATAATAATAATAATACAGACTTTCATGAGGCCCTCAACAAGTAACAATGTATTTAAATACATTTTATGTTAATACATACAAGAGATTATCATTTTGTATACAGCGGTGTGTGATAATATCTCAAGCATAAGGTTTTAAAATGGTTCACAAATGTAGCAGACTTTATATAATCAGGAAGGCCGCTCCAAATACAAGATCCAGAATGAACAAAAGAAATTGTTCAGTATTTGGTCTAGAGGTGTAAAGTTGAAAATCAGATGTGCGAGTAAGAACATCTGACGATAAAATAAAATTATTCGATACATAGGAAGACGCAGATGCAGTGTCATAATCTTTGTCTAAAATTAGTCTTACAGCTCTCTTTTGAATTCATATTTATTTTCTTTTTACTATGTAACATAAGTTGCCGTGGAACATTTATTCAGACGAAGGCTATAAAGATACTCCACTTGTAAACTATACCTAGTTTCAACTTAGGCTGACCTCGACGGTAATACTTTTCTGTTTATCTTGTAAGGTGTACAAGTTCAGTGTACTCTATTTGCGCTTAAGAATAAGTATTTCTTTCATCAAAACAGAAGTAGTGGTAATAATTATGTCCATAATAAAAGTGGTCATTTTAATGGTAATGGTTATTATTATCATGATGAAGAAGACGATGATGATGGTGATGATGATGATGATTGTGATGATAGTGGTGATGGTTGTGATGATGATGATGATGATGGTGATGATTGTGATGATGATGATGATGATAGTGGTGGTGGTGATGACGACGATGATGATTATGATGATGATGATGATGATGATAACGATGATGGTGGTGGTGATGATGATGATGATGATGATGATGATGATGATGATGATAACGATGATAGTTGTGGTGGTGGTGATGATGATACTGGTGCTGGTGTCTATGATGATGATGATGATGATACTGGTGCTGGTGTCTATGATGATGATGATCGTAGTATTACGATGACCGGTTAATCAGCAATTATAAGTTTACGTACATTTGTTGTTACTTAAATATCTCTTGTTGTCTAAATGATTCAATAGACACGGTCACACCGTTGTTTTTTCCCCAGATGAACTCGACGTTTATTAAACAAACGCTATTGAGAACAATTTATGTGAAAAGATTAGTCTGAAATTAAGGTATTCTCATCGGGCGAAAAAAGTAGAGCAAATTGACTAACATACGTTTGTCATTAATTATATTTAGATACAAAATAAAAGTATTTTTCAAAAGAAACTGAAATACATATATAACTGGTAACATTTGCTGACCATTTTTTTTTGAGAAACACGTTTCTCATTTTCATTCTATGTATTGAGTTAATTGGCGTATAAGTCTTATTTCAATCTTTTATTGAAACATTCTAGATGGTTTGTTTAAGAGTTGATTCCGAAAGTAGGGGCGTATTCCATTAATATTGTAAAAATCATAACTGTTAATATTCATTATCTTTAAACAAACATTAAAGCTGCACGCCTCCAGATCCCGAAAATCAATGTTGAGAAAAATGTACTACAATTTTTAGAATGGTAAAATCATTTAAAATCCTATTAAAACTTATCATATGTTATGTGTGGTTTTAAAATGATTTTGCATTATTTTATCACCAATTTTTTTATTGCGAGACAAATGCAGTAAGAGCTGTTTTTGCATATGTTGACCACTTTTTGTAATATTCTTGGATTGTAAGTGCCAATGCAGTATGTAAATTATTATTTTTGTTCACCTCACAATATTTTACTTTAAAATACATTTTTAAAATTTTAATGAAAATTAACATGAATCTGGAGGCGTGCTGCTTTAATCTTTCCTTCCAAATAATAGGCAAATAGAAGTGGCTAAGTTAAGTGCATCGAAACACGAGGATATCTGATTTGTTAGCCCCCGAGTATAAATCAGATCGCCGAGTGTTTTGATGTTCTTTCTCTTTTGTATCATTGTCAAAAATAAAAACACGTTCCCTGATGTCACAATATGAAACCCCAGAAAAAAGGAACCAATGAACGAGCATCTGAATTATGATATTTCTATCGCTTTCCCTTTCTCCGTCGTCACAATATGTAAACCCCAGACAAAATGAACCAATCAATGGGCATGCTCTGAAGTGCGGGGAAACTTATACCTGCACTGTGCATGTATATGTATACGATTTAACTCGGACACATTTTCAACAGAAAGGTACCCAAACTATGATACAATCATTACTAGTTAAATTATGTGTTATATGATTTAACCTGCCCCCGATAGACATTTACAAAATTTAAAGACCTATCTATAGCAAAACAAGTTTATTATTTCAACCCCATGCTTCACAACCTAGAGATGTGCGGAATTACGGCACGAGTAACAAATCTTTTAATATCTACTTATAGCTCATAAAACATGTATACATCTGCTTCATTACGCGTTTTGTTATGAATATTGTTCTTTTCTCTAGTTTGTTTAATAACAAGTTACAATTTTTTACATTTAACCACTGTCTAGATATTTCTTTTTTAAGCCTAATAAAGAGATAAAATATAAAGTTTAGCAAACTTTATTACCCCGCCAATCAAAATGAAATCCTTTTGAAGGATACAATATTTCAATTTCTTTCATCTACACTATTTTGGCTTTAACAAATACTCGATATGCTTAAAGAGACTTTGCCCAAATAAGCAAGCACATTTTCAAAAACAAACAACTGGAAAGATAAAATCATTCAAGTATATCTATGAAAAGCCAAAGAAATTCTTAAATGTTTAATAACTGAACATAATTGCTATATTATCTTCATTTCTAACCGAGTTGGTGCTGTATTTGTATAAACTAATTAATGTAACATTTGTCGATATCACGTGCCTTCACAAAACCAACGTAATGCGTTTGCGACCAGCATGGATCCAGACCAGCATGCGCATCCGCGCAGTCTGATCAGGACCCTTGCTGTACACTTGTTATAGGGTTTGTAAACGAACAGCATGGATCCTGATCAGACTGCGTGGATGCGCAGGCTGGTGTTGATCCATGCTGGTCGCAAGCGCATTATGTTGGTTTTGTCATGGCGCGGCTCATTTGTCGATATCACGTGCCAAATAACTTTAATTGTTCATACTACTAAACTTTTAAAACTTTAACATAGCAAAATTCTTCAGGCGTGTTGCTTTACATAATCTGTATATAACAAATATTTAAACACTTGAGTGTTTTGAAAGTATTTTTTCTGTACACAAGATAATAAATCAAGTTTAATTTACAATTTATTTTTGCGTTCAGTTATTCCAATTACATGAAGCCAGATAACATACTTCGTGCACTTCAATGTTTTGGCACATGCTAACTCGAGTAAAGTCAACCACGGCATGACAATAATTTTTGTGGCATTAATAAGTGAAATACCCTGTTTCCTTAACCAGTTCGACATTTTTAGGTTCATGTGTTCATTCCTAGCTGTTTACTTTACAACACTATGCATACTAATACATGTATAATGATCATTTTATTCACTTCGATAAAAACATACATTTCTTGTGGGGAAAACACTGTATAATGTGTGGCGGTGTGGGGTGGGGGTGCTAAATATTATAGAAAATGTTTATTTACCAACAGGCTGACATTTATTTGAATTTGCATATGCGTATAACATTGTTGAAATTTTATGTTTTCAATTATATCGATTAGAGTACATATGTATATATTTTCTTTTCGTTCGAATGCCATAGTTTTAAAAGTTTGGCATTTCAAAGCTAACAAGACAAAGCTAAATACATTCCAAATGGTTTTATCGATATGATAACAACATTTCATTTTAGATTTTAACTGATACAAACCATAAAAGCGTATAGGAATCTAAACTATAGTGAAATACACAAAACAACAACACAAGACAAAAAACAACAAAAAAACAAACAAACAAACCAAGAAAGAGCACCCCAACTAAAACAACAACAACAAAAAACAACAATAACAACATCAACAACAAAAAACCCATTCAGTTTCATTTTTTTGTTTGTTTTTGTTTCAGTGACTGTTGCTGTGAGCAGCTCACCTCTCAACCAAGTTCAGATTGACACCCTCGCTAATACAATGAGTATAAAAGCTAAGAACTTGTACAACTTGAGGGATAATGAAAAGACACACACGGTCAGACTATACGTAAAGAACACCGGAAGTGAAGATATTCCTCCCACAGGTTGGCGATTGTACTTTCACAGCATGTACTTGATGTACCCGGATGTGTTTCCAAAGAACATGACAGTTGAACTTGAAGTAGAGCATATCACTGTTGGCATGGTACAAGGAGACTTGTACTATCTCGAGCCAAGCTCAGGGTTTGTCGGGATACATCCTGGTGAAGAAAGGGTATATGACATCGTAGCTAAATTCTGGATGATTTCCAGAACGGATTTTATGCCCCTCTGGTACGTTGTCTCCACAAATGGTGGCATAAAGCCACGTGTAGTGAAAACAATTGAAAGTCTTGATTTGGAATATGTTGAACCCTATGATGACGTCAGGCAGTGGAAAAGATTTGCTGCAGACAGATATAACCCATTCACAGCACAAAAAAGATTAGAAAGATACAAAACTACTGACACAAGAAAGGTATATGCATATTTTTTTTCTCTCTCCAGGATTATATTGATTCTTTGTCAAAACAAGAGTTAGTTAATGCATGCAACCCCCTCTGTTGAATGATACTCTGATTTTCATTGAACAATTGATAAGCAGCTTACTTCTTAAGCAATTAAAAGTGGATTGGTCTGAAAATGTGCAAATTTTCAAAAAGAAATTCAAATATTAATAAAACAATTGAATATTCTGAAAAATATTTCTTGGAACTAATGTTGATAAGAGTTCTAAGTGATTTGGTTTGAGCATTTATATGATTAAAAAGAATGTTTTGTTCAAGAACAATTGATTATCTGCTTTATGTAAATATTTTATATTGGATCCTGTATCACAGTCATACCAACAACATCCATTTATAATTGTTTTTGTGGTTTGTTGTCATGTATATTAATAAATAAACAACAACATGATTATTCATGGTTATACATTCATTCAATTTTGACAAATTCAAAAGCTTTTTATTATAATAAGCATGTCGTTTACTTAATATAATACCTATACTTTTAGTATTAACGTTGTTTTGCAGCCTTTTAGGAAGTTTTAACAAGTGAAATCAACTGGCGATGACACTCTTAACAAAACTGCTTGTAATACTGTGTTTATAAAATGAGGGAATTGAGAAGCCTGTTCGAAGAGGTTATTTAATGTATTTTATAGGTAGAGAAAATTGTTATACCCACACCCAAACATGTTGAAATCAACGAGGAGGTAACTATAGCTGAATTGAATGAGGAATGGTCAATCCACGTTGCCGATTCTAGATACAATCAAGTCGGTCTTTACCTCAGCGGTAATTAAAATTAAATTCTCTCCTTATAATCGGGTTATAACTACCCCATTGTTTTAGAATAAAGAAAGAATGAATGAAAGAAAGAAAGATAGAAAAAATAAAGAAAAATGAAATGCAGCTGTGGAAAAAGACACATATTAAGTTTTTAAATGGAAAGAAAAAGAAATATGTTTCAAGTAGACAGAGCTCGATTACATAAACTTGAAACTGCCGATTTTGAAAAAAGAAAAAGAATGTAGCTTAGTCTTTAATAGTAATGATCTTTTTCAAATGTGCAATATGGATTAGATGGATGGATGGATGGATGGATGGATGGATGGATGGGATGGATGGATAGATAGATAGATAGATAGATAGATAGATAGATAGATAGATAGATAGATAGATAGATAGATAGATAGATAGATAGATAGATAGATAGATAGATAGATAGATAGATAGACAGATAGACAGATAGATAGAATAGATAGATAGATAGATAGATAGATAGATAGATAAGAGAGCTCGATTACATAAACTGGAAACTGCCGATTTTGAAAAAAAGGATATAATTTACACTTTAGTAATTATCTTTGTTAAACCTCTAATTCAACCAGACTGAGTGAAATTTTTAATTTGTTACCGTGTTACATTGCTTTCTTTATGATCATTTTTCTGGAAATTATTTTTCTATATTTCAGATGTGCTACACCTGAAAAATGTGACATCAAGCTTACCTTCTAAGAATGTTATCATACTGGATATAACAGATAATCCATCCTCTGCCGAGTCATATACTTTACGAACAGATCCTAGAAATAACAAAATACATCTACGAAGCAAAGATGAGAAGGGAATATTCAATGCAGCAAACTCACTGTGGAGTATTGTAGACGGTTATAAAAGAAAGGACATTCCTGACATTACAATAACTGATGAACCAAGATTTCATTACAGGGGACTACATGTTGACGTGGCACGTAACTTTCATGGTTTGTCCGACATTAAAAGAATCATGAGAGCGATGGCAATGTACAAAATGAACAAACTGCACCTTCATTTGTCCGACGACGAAGGTTGGAGACTAGAAATACCCGGCCTTCCCGAACTTACTGAGGTATGAAAATATTACAATAAAACAAGGTTTACTGGCATTTGTACTAAAACTGTTTTCTTGATAACATGAATCAAAAAGTCTGTTTTGTATTGTTATTTTTGACGACAGAAAAAAATCTGGCATAAAGAGTTAGTTGTTCATCCCTATTACAAAGAGATATTTTCTATTAATCAAACACTATTAAAGCAAGTGAACATATGTTTCTATAAACAGAGACATGGGATCAAGGCCATCGCGAGTTAAGTATGATAATTTTTTCGTTGACTCTGTGTTAAAAGTTATTATTACATTTCGCCTTCATGGTTTTGACTTGGTTTGGTGCCTCTGGGTGCCCTACTGTGCAGAGGTAGCTAGGGTGTGTCGAGAGCTGCGTCCTGTGAACGTTGCCTTTGCCTTGTTGATCTTTATTCTCATGTTGTTTTTTTTACATAAATGTGTTGTCATGACGAGACTACTACTTTTTTCAGGTTGGAGGTCAACGTTGTCATGACTACAACAATAGAAAATGTATAATACCCCAATTTGGTTCTGGCCCTTTTAATACATCGTCAGGGTCAGGGTATTTTACAACAAGCGAATATAAAGAACTGCTTCAGTTTGCTAAAGAACGTCATATTGAAGTGATACCAGAATTTGATATGCCAGGTCACAGCCATGCTGCCATATTTTCGATGGAAGAACGTTATAGAAAATACCATGATGCAAATAATGAAATCGAGGCATTGAAATATAGACTGAGTGACCCGGAAGATATATCAGAATACATTTCTGTACAACAATGGCTCGATAATGCAATTAATCCATGTGTGGAGTCGACTTATAAGTTCATAGGAAAGTTGATGGATGAAGTTATCGCCCTTCACAAAGATATTCAGCCTCTTGAAATTTATCATTTTGGTGGAGATGAGGTCGCTAAACATGCCTGGGAGAAATCACCAAAATGTCTAAAATTTATTGATAAAAACCCTACATATAATGTCACAAAAGGTTTGTTACATATTTTGGTCGATGATTTTAATCACGTTTGGCTTTAGCACATGATTTTTTTTAAATATGTCAGTCTTAAGTTTTAGCGATTTCACATAGAATCGTGGATTCTGTAGTAGTGCCAAATTTTCAGTTCACTTCCCCAAAAGACCTATTGACTACAAAATTTGAAGTGTGTCACACTGAAAGTGCTGCACTTTGTGAAATCTCTGCCTAAACTACCGGTGTTTCGGCAAATAAGATCATATCATTTTTAAGCCATAACATACATCATACATTATAATTTTTGTCATAGCGTTTTATAGCATTTATTGAATTCCATTGATTTTCCATTATCTAGGTGTAAAGATATATTTTGTGGAAAGAGTAGTCACCCTTGCAGCGGAAAGGAATGTAAGTTTGGCTGGTTGGGAAGATGGTTTTGCTGATGGTGAACATGAACCAATAAAACCTGCTGACCTTGACACAGATACTAATTATGCTATTCCTTGGAACAGCATTTGGGAATGGGAAGGTGGTTCACAATCATATAAACTAGCGAATGCTGGCTTTAAGGTAAGGTTTTAGGCATTGTATAACTCATTCTCGGAATGCATTTCATCATAGAACTACTATGCATCAATCACCGAAGTCTTCGCTCTGATCACGCTGACTGGAGTTTGCATAAATTGATTTCAAAAGGATGTTTTCTAAATTAAAAGCGTCGCAAATTCATGCTTTTATGTCAAATACAAATACAGCATAAGCAAGTGCTAGATGAAGGTGTGGCTTGCATATACCACATCTGTCTCTGATAAGGCTCATCCAAAACCAAGCATGCATTACTTTCAATTTGACTCCTGCTGTCTCTATTTTATTTGCACATTTCTTTACTTCAAAGGTTATCTTAGCACAGGCAACGAATATTTATTTTGACCACCCACAAGAACCAGATCCCGAAGAGCGTGGCCTTTATTGGGCAACAAGGTTCACAGATACATACAAAGTTTTAAAGTTCATACCAGATTCACTTTATGATAACATCTTCGAGGAGAGAAGTGGAATAGCAACAACAAAAACTAAAATATGTGGTCCAAACTCAGAGAAGTGTGAGCAGTTGGAAAGAAAAGAAAATATAATCGGTATGATCAACATAATTTTACAAATTGACATTCATTCTAAAGAATATTTTTTATAGGATGGAGTTGATGATAAATAATATTAAGCTAAGTGTACAAAGAAAAAAAATTGTTAGTTGTTGATAATACACTGACCTGTACCTTGTAAAGCTGCCATACGAATGGAATAGACAGCAAATATGCCAATAGCTTAAAATTTAAATTTCATGTTAGATCATTCCAGGATAAATACAACATGTACAATGCAATAGATATGAAAACTAAGTCATATTACAGGCATGGAAGGCACAATGTTTAGCGAGACCATACGAACAAGTGAGAACGTAGACTACATGCTTTTTCCTCGATTAGTTGCCCTAGCAGAAAGGGCATGGCACAAGGCAGGGTTTGAGGACGAATCCATTTCTTTACCGGAAAGGGAGGATCGGTTTTCTCGTGAATGGGAGGATTTTGCTAATACTCTTGGATATAAAGAACTTCAAAGATTAGATAATCTCGGAATAAAGTATAGAGTTCCTCCCCCTGGCGCAAGGTTTGAAATATTTTTCTTCGGTATATTTGAGTGCAAGAATACGATAACATGTCCCTTACAATTATATAGGATTTGAAAAAGCCATCCAGCAAGCTGACAATATGTCGATGGTTTTACTCAGGTACCTATTTGTACCTGTAATGATGCACGTATGTGGCACATGAAATCTTCCTCCAGCAGTAAAGCTGGAAAGTCGCCATATTATCTCTGATGTGTTGGTGCAGCCTGAAAAAACGTTTTTTTTATAGATGTATATAATGGTTCTCCTTTACTGTTATCAGCCTAGAATCTTACTTATTATATATCAACAGTATAGAGAATTATGGAAACATTTTCTTTAATTAATTTTTGGCCTTGAATGGTTGTCTTGGTTGTATTGATAATATATTTGTATAAATTGACTAATGCTAGGTCAGCCTCGGAACCTAAGGTTTTGTTTGTACACGAATGTTATTGTTTGTAGAGTGAGTGATGATGGACAAGTGGAAATATCTACAGTTTATCCTGGACTTAAAGCTCAGTATAGCTACAACGACGGACACACGTGGTCAAATGTCTCCGCTGAAAACACTTTTGAATGGCAGATTCCGGAAAATTCAAGTCTTCATTTACGGACAATGTACGTTAATAATAATTTCATCACAATGTTTATAGTCTTTATTTTGTCCTGTATAGAAGATAAATCAAGGCTTGAGAACAATCTTTGCTGTTTTAATTTTATGAATAGTGAAATGATTACATCATTCGAAAGAAGTCTTACAACTTATCTTTTTGTTGGACAAAAAGTGTGTTTAAATCTCACATGACAGACACATGTTAAATCGCCTAAAATTCACTATTTGTATTAGATATTTGACATGTACGAGACAATTTAAACAAACACGTTTATATCAATAGATTTGCGAAAAATAGTTCTTCTTATCACTGACATAAAGAAATAGAAGTTATAAATCAAAAATTAGAATTATACCTCCACTGCTGAATGTTTACAAAACAAAGTTTTGTCATTAATTTGATAAAGTTTGCACTTTTAACATGAATAGGTTGTTGGCTACATATTCATTTTACCGATTTTCCCATTGTTTATTATCTTATTTGTAAATTATTTTTGTATGATGAAATATTTTGTCGGCCAGGAAGGCATAAAGCTGAAATTTCATTGGACCACATACTTAGATTATTTAGAACGTGCAAACATGTTTATCAACTTTTACCTTGAAATTCCAGTGCATTTTGTTATGTTATCTTAGGTCATTTAAACTTGTAATCTGTAAGAGACATTTGAGAAGTTAAATGGCGCAACTTTGTTTGTCTTTTATGCATTCAAATTGAGGTTTAAATCATTTCCGAAGTATTTTTTTTATTAAAACGTTGAACACGAATGACATTTTAGAAATGTGTCATTCCAATAAAAAAAAAACCCAGAGGCAACGGTTTGTTACTTGTTAGCGCGTGCTGTTTATTAAGTAGAGGCGGGGTGGGGGTGGTAGGGGCATTGGGAAGTACAAATGTATTACATTCCATTGACGTTGCCCTCCCTTGTATATCGTTGCTCTTATATTTGAAGTAACCTTGTAGATAAAATTAGTGTATCACATAGCTACTCAATTAATTTTTGCAATAACAAACTATTATTTTTAGGTTTTTTGTTTGGTTTTCACATGTGTTTGTACCCACATATCAAGTTTTGTTTGAATAAGTCAAGACAGTGAACTTGAAATTTGTACCATTGCTGACATTGATTTTCTTGCATATCAGACAGGATTATCTACCGTTTACACCGGGCTAGAAAACCCTGTCTTACACCCTGTCTTACACCCCCCATGTAAGACAAGTCGCGTGCTTTAAATGAGTCATTGCTGCGCGCCTTTTATGAATGAATTGCGTTGTTATGATGACGTCACTTAACCGTCATGAATGAAGTTGTACGTTCATACGCTACTATAATAAAAAAGTGCGTAATGAGAATATAGGTTTTCGTAATTTCTGTTCTGAAAATAATTGATATGTAATATGCAAGAAAAAGAATCAAACACTGGCTGTCGGTACAGACGGGAATATCTAGCTCTCGGGTAACTGTTTAGCGGAAACTCGGCAGAGCCTCGTTACCGCCGTAAACAGTCACCCTCGAGCTAGATATTCCGGTCTGTACCGGCAGCCAGTGTAAGATTCATATAGTATTCCCAGTTACTGATATCTTTTAAACTTGAAATTCTTCTTGAGTTTGTTGAGGAGAACAAATAATTTAAGACACAATTTACAGTGTACTAATTACATTGTATTTCGATATGCATAGCGACACTATCTTGGTGAAAATGAACAATTCAAACAAGGCCTGAAGAACAAAGCCATATCTTACTGAACAATTTTGCTTGATAATCAATGTTATATCACAATATTTTAACTAACTTAACGTTACTAATTAACAGATCAGCCGACGGTATGAGGCATAGCCGGGTAGTAGAATTATTTAAGGGTAAGTCTACTTAACAAGAATACAGTATTAACTTATTTATTCGTTGACAAATTTGTGAGAGCTTGAATATTCGGAAGTTTGAATGACAGGTTACATTAACTCCAAAACATTCTGATAATATTATTTTAAACGCCGTTATTTGTCTGATTTGGACACTTTTTTAAAAAAGCATGATTTAATGAAATTCTCAAACTGAAGTAGATCAAGCAGTCAACGCTTTAATAGCAAATTTGCAAAGTATCGAAAAGTTTTTTTCAAAGATCATGTTTACATGAAAGCACGGCAGGCAACTCAAAATATTGATTTTATCGTTTGTGTCTATGACAGTTGCAACATTTCCATTTGTCCTAGATGTGATGTGTATATCTTCAGCAAAAATATATAATAATAATAATAATATATAAGTGTCATAATCTATCGTATTGCTTTCATAGACATAGTCTATATCTTTTTTTACATAAAATTTCATTAGAAAACCTTTTAAAATACAACTTTTCAATGTGTTTACTGGTTGTTTATTTTACATTTAGATGAACCTCGAGACTGGTCAGATCAACCACTGATAGATTACATTGCTGACAATGTTAAAGTGCACGTTGATGTTATAAGTAATCTAGAGAAAACTGAAGATAATTATATAGCGTTACAGTTAAAGCTGCAAAATAGCGGAGATACAGATATCCCTAGAGGAACATGGAAGATATACTTCTACAGGTTTGTCTTGAAATAACATTGATTAGTTACACTAATGAGTCTGTTATAGGATGTGTTTGTATTAAATAAATATTATATTGATTATGGATATTTTTTAATTGTGACATTTGGATATCTTTAATTTTGACTTATATTCATTTCTTGTCAATATAATAGTTATCTGTTCCTATGGCCAATATCCTCGATACTTAGTTTCTTTAACTGTACCGCAACCGCCTGAGAACTGTTTAGACGTAAAGGTTTACTTACATTTAATTAATTAAGCACATTTGACGAAACTTATAATAAATTATATAAATTTTTGATAATTGTTGTATTACAACATATATCTTCATAAAATGTATATATATATAATTATATAATTGTTATTATTTTGATACAGCCTGTATGGAGCTAAGGTAGAATCTTTGTCTTGTGGCTTAAGGCTTGGACATGAAAACGGTGGCTTGTATTATTTAACAGCAGAAGATAAAGGTTTCTCTGGTATCGCCGCACGAGAAACTCTAACATGCCAGTATCATAACAGATACTGGATGATTTCACGTTCAGACAATATGCCAAACTGGTATGTAACTTCTCTTGGAATGACAGCAAAGGTACTCAAAAGCACGGAAAGTGAAATCATAGACTATGTAGGAAAATTTGATACTCCTGCAAAATGGAAACGCGCAAAGAACGACCAATATGATCCGTACTCACCTGCAACAAGATACGATCTCTATAAATCCTCTGAAATCCAAACACAACACTACAAAATAGTACCAACGCCATTTAAAACAACTATGACGAATGACGAGGTGATTTCATTTACGTCAACTGATTGGGAGATTGTAAATTCGTCCAGATTCCCATCTGAAGTAGAATATCTAGCAGGTAACATAGATAATGTTGAATATTAACAACACATATTATTAATACACTTATACAAGATAGGAAAATTACATTACAATAAACACATGTCTGTTGTAAATGAAAAGGTCTTAGAAACATAACGACTTTTGATTTATTATGTTATGAAAGTCATTATTGAAACAGATAATTTCACAAAAACACAAACATATTTATTCTGAGACATTTCAAGGGGCTAGACTTTTTTGTTTAATAAGTCTAACGAGTAGTAGACGATTAGTAGTTTACAATCACTTTTACTTACTTTTCTTAGTTTGAAATTTAGATAATGTCAAGACTTGACATATGTTACCAAGTCATTATTTTCTTTTTTATTCAAAGTTTAGATATGAACTATCTTTTTCGTATAGAAATGATTTTTTGTTTATCTATTTATTTTTTTGCAAGTTATTTCATCACAAATGTGTTTTATTTGTTTCAGACAAGTTGAATATGTCCGTTGTATCCGCTGGTCAAAGCAAAATAGTAACTTTTGTTCAAGGGAGTCCGAGTGAAAATGGTCCAGAAGCTTATGATTTGGACATAAACCCGGGGACCAGTAAAATAACCATTACTGCAGGCAGTCCTGCAGGGGCTTTCTATGGTGTTCAATCATTAATAAGTCTTGTTGAAGGTAATGATGGTAACCTGGTACAGATGAACATAAAAGACAAACCAAGGTTAGTCAGTGTAATGTAGTTAATTCACTGGATAAGGCAAAATCGACTTTAAGGGGCATATAAGAAAAAAAGTTTGTTTCTTAAATATGGACAAGAATATACATAAATACTGTTATTCAGATGTTTTAGTGCACACAGTTGTCTCTGTATTAATTTTAGAATGTCTTTAAGCCACATTTCTTTATTATGGCTATATAGCCAGATGGATCATGTTGTCACAGAATGAGGCAACATAAGCGATTTTTATTGATGCTCCAGTTTCCATGATACACATAAAATATATTTAGGTTTCACCTAAAGTATGTCATTTTGCTATATATGCTATACCATATTATTTTAAAGCCATAAACCAAGAACCGTTGTCCATGATAACCACCCTATGAACACATCTGAAAAATTCTAAATTATAACAGTTCATGTTAAATGTTGAATTGTGCTTAAGCCGGTGCTATGGGGCGTGGACGGTAGTTTGCATGTGGCAGTACAGTCCGTGAACAGACTCAATCAAACCGAGCCTGCAACATTTTCAATTTTGCCATGTTGGGCTTTCTTTAGGGCTTCTGATTTTCTCTAGTTTATCGCCACATCAGCATTGTTTGTGCCGTGTGGAGGCTGTAAAAATTCGCCAAGTACATTCAATCAGAGATGTTATATTTCCGATCCTTAAAGATCGTTCAGCACGACATTATTGTTGTGCTTGTTGTAATTTAGTTTTTTATATTCGGCTATTTTCTTGTTGGGTGGTTCCAGTATTCCTCACTTGAATACTGTTGAATCACCCTTAGGATATGTGGCCTGCTTTTTAAATTTGTCTTTTGACGTCTTATCTGTGATATGCAGGCTTCATAACTTCTGATCCCCTTTCAAAATTCCATTTTATTTAGTTCCGCTCATTGTTTACTTTTAAGGCACACGCATTTTTTTTTACTTCGAGACCATATGCCGCTTTTTATGTAATGGCACTTACGTGTCACATTGAAAGTTCCATGATAACCGCCATATGAACACATCTGCGGATGTTTCAAATTCAAAATTATACCAGTTCACGTTCATGTTGAATTCTGCTTAAACCGGTGCTTTGGGGCGTGGACGGTAGTTTGAACTTGACAGCACCGCCCATGAACAGGCTCAATAAAACCGAGCCTGCAACTTTTTCAATTTTGCCGAGTTGGGCTTTCTTTAGGGATTCTGATTTTCTCTATTTCAGAAAGGTCTAATGTTATTTTTTTAGATCAAAAATGCCTTAGTCTCGTTAGTTCCAAATTGAAAGCATCGTTAAAATGGTTAAAGCTAATGCTGATTTTAAATTATGATTAATTAAATGCCATACTTTAGAAAAACAGACATAGACTCGAATATGAGCACTTAAATTTGTATATATTTAATAATAAACATTGACAGTGTATTTTTCAACACAGGTTCCAGTATCGAGGAGTTATGCCGGACACGTCACGGAATTTCAAGCAGAAGGATTGGATTTTAAAATTCATTGATATTATGTCAATGTATAAACTAAACAAGCTTCACTTACATCTGACTGATGACGAGGGTTGGAGACTTGAAATACCATCTATACCCGAGCTAACACAGGTAAACAAACCTGTGTATACTAGTTTCACTTATTATATTGGCACGCTTTCTGACTGGTATCGAAATTGTACCGCTGATCAGTTAGTGCAGTTAAGCTTTTTGGTTATAAAAGTGCTTGTTATCAATTCCAAAGTTTTCCTGGGACATCTGTTTCTCTGTTTGATAAATTCTGAAAATTTAAAGAGCATTAAAACAAATGAAATAGAAAAAATACATGGCGATTTTATTTCCTTACTACTGAATACAAAATGTATACGTGTTTCACTAAAATTTATTTCAGACGTGCAGTGTCATCTTTGGACATATTCTAAAAAATATTTAAGACAACAAAAATTATCTATTATTTTGAAAATTAAAAAAAAAATCAGCATTTTTTAAAATTTACATCTATATTTAACCAGTTAAAACATTTTTTTGTAAAAGTAAACTGCAAACAGACAAAAATAATTAAGAAAATGTATTAACAACGTATGACGAGTATCATTTAAGAGCAATTCAAATTTGTTAAATATTCCATTAATTTTGGGTCATTTTGATTATGGGATATCATACTAAACTGAGAGGCAGTATTTGCAAATTGTTAATCAATTATCTTATCTTACAATAACCATTTACTATATATCACATTTTTTATCGTTTATTATATAATATTTTAAGATGGGTAGCAAAAGATGTCACAGTGATTATGACGGTATTTGCACAATCCCACAGCTTGGTTCAGGCCCAGATAATAATACACATGGATCCGGCTTTTACACTGTCCAGGATTACAAAGACATATTAAAATACGCCAACGATAGACACATACAAGTTATACCTGAGATAGAGACGCCAGGACATGCCACAGCCGCCATTGTTGCCATGGAATATAGAGAGTCAAAGATCCTCGAGATGAAGAAACATGGAAACAAAATTGTACCAAAATCATACCTGCTCAGTAAACATACAAACAAAAATGAAATTTTCAGTCCGCAAAAGTGGACCAGAAATGCGATGGATCCATGTTTAAATACAACATATGACTTTGTAGAAACGGTTGTTGATGATCTGATAGAATTGCACCGAGATGTTCAGCCTCTCACGGTGATACATCTTGGAGGTGACGAGGTCCCAAGTGGTGCATGGGATGATTCGAAAGCTTGCCTTGATATGCTTCATAAAGGGCAGACGATAAAGTGAGTGTTCTGTACTAATACATTGCTTATTGCTTTTGTATTTATAGTTCCGTTTTATTTGATTTAATATCTATATGATTTCTAACTTGATATCTCGCCATTAGATGAACTAAATATTATTACTGTTTAAAATGAAATTGGTATTGTATCATACAACTAATGTGGTTCCAATGGTGAGTTAACTCTTAGGATTATCTTCAGTATTTTTCGTCAGAATATTAGAATTTTACTTCTACCCTTTAGGGTCTTAGATAGTAGTTAGTGAAGGATAGGTTTTTGTATCGTTCTTAGTTCGGGCTTATGTTTTAACTTGTAGATCATTTTGTAAGTTTTAAGAATAAAAAAAACAATAAAGTTTCAATATTGGACCCAATGTTATATTGCTGATTGTTCGTATGAAATGCATTGTAATTGGCTACTTTTACAGTACTGAAGAACTGAGAAGGATGTTTTCTAAACGTGCTGCAGACATTATTGCTGCTAAAGGGCTCAAACTGGCATCATGGGATGATGGTATCTATGCCGACAATATACCCAATCCCATCACTGATTATACATCGTAAGTTTTTTCTTTAATTTTAGCAGTCATATTGATAAATTATCTTCACAGCTGAGTGATATTATAATAAATAGATGCTATGTTAGTTACCTTGTTGAACGGGAAATGACTACATCTAAAAACTGAAAACTATAAAATTCTGAATATTTTTAATGATGACCATCTTTGATTTTTTGCGGCCATATTAGATTATTGCGGTCATCATTAACAATTGCGACCATGTTATATTCGCATAACCCGGATTCCAGGCTTAAATAAAAAAAAAACATTTTAAAGCAACAACAGTGCCATAAGTTTTATGCTTTTTCGGCTTTTAATGCGCATATTTCTTCAGACTTATAGTAGGTTAAAGCTGATATAAATTGTAACATACATGTAACGGTATCGAGGTATCATACAGATTAAGATATTTACAAAAAACGTGGAACTAAAGATCTTTTTGTTTGGAAAAAAAAATCATTTTAAAGGAGCTTTCTATTTATTCTGTACCAAAAAACTCCCCCTTTCCACGAATTCTAAGTCGGTTCACGTTTTGGAGTAAAGGTAGTATTCATTTAGCTGTTAAGAGAGCGTACTTCTTAAGTAAAAATACTGTATTATTCAATGCGAAAGACGGAAACTAAAGTTGAAGGAACCATGCTTAAAATGATGTGAATAAAGCATGATAAGACTCTTTAATGAATTGTCATTACATTTCAGGGATGTATATGTATACACATGGGATAATCGTGGGACCAAAGCCAAACGAGTATCTGAATTCGCCAATGCAGGATACAAGGTATCAATAAATTGTCAGATGATAGCAAGTAAATGGTAGCCAATAACAATTTCCGTTCATAAGTCATATTTTTTAAGATATCAATCATTTAAAACGCATTCATGCGTTCAATGCAATTTCATATAAAGACATATCTCTATTACAAATCAACATATTTTATTGCACGATTTATTCCAATTCTTGGAAGATAATTCTCATCTAAGGAGGTCACATACACGGTTTATACAAAGGATACTGTTAAACTTATTTGAAACACAATTTCATATATTATCTGTACTATTCCAAAAAACACCTTTTGAGTCAAAGAGTGATCATAGTACTTAAGTAATGGTAATATAATGACTAAATAATAATGGTTATACAGTTGTTTTGTTTGACAAAACTGACCTGAGACTGATTAATCTTCGGAAGTTTATTCGTAAATTTCCGTTATTCTTTTGGGTTTTAATGATAGTATAGTTCTCGATATCAAAGCCTGATGGCTTAGTACAGAGTATTATTATTATTGTATTCGCATAATTGCAAGTTCGAATCTTTTACAAACCCTTTATTGTAGATTCCTTTAATTGATTATTTCTTTTTTAAAGCATATGCAACGTAAATTGATAAATCCTTTGTTAAATTTCTAGCATTTACTTTTTTAACTTTGTCATAACTTTGATATTTTTTATTTCATGAATTTCAGTATGTTAATTCGTAAAATGAGTGATGCACAAAAAAATAGTGGTCAAGTTTTGCAAAATGTAATAAAGAATTGTTGAAGAAAAAAACCCACAACATTTTATGATTCGAACCTACAACTTTAAATTTGACACTGAAGGAAGACAAGTATTATATTGAAAATTTAAGTTATACATATACCGTTGGAATCTTTATTTTTATACTTCGTAATCCGGTAATTACCGTCAAAAGGTCATTGAATATTCAAATGTTTCCGGTCAATATTGTCAAACAATACACACTTGATCCAAAAACTGAGTCCTTGTAGTTTGAGGGATTAACCGATTAATCACATCTCTTGTTGTCTAAAATGTACAAAGAGGAAACACTTAAAGAAATGGATCATCATGTTGTCTTGAGTAAACATAAGATAAAACAATGTTATATAGTAACAGTAATACTAATAAATATGTGAGAGTAAATATGTGATATTGTCCTGTGTATGCTGTGCGTTGAGTAGCCTGTGTGTATACACATATGTCAATAACTGCCAACATAAGAGTGTTATATATATACAGGTTGTTCTCCCATTAGCCACACATTTGTATTTTGATCACCCCCAAGAACCAGATCCGGAGGAAAGAGGTCTACAATGGGCGACAAGATTTACTGACACTGAAAAAGTCTTTGGTTTGATGCCAGATGATATATATGCCAATTTTAACGTAGATCGATTTGGAAATAAAGTTGATTTGAACGAAATATGTGAAAATAAAGATTGTCCCACTGTGGACGAAACTGAAAATATTCTTGGTAAGTATTAAAAGTCGGTTGTAAATTCGTATCTTCATCACTTTGGTCAAAGAAAACACTAATCTTTTTTAATGATGTGAAAATAAATAAAACTCGCGCATCATTTTGTAATGACGCCAATGTCAATGAAAACACTCGTTTTGTTTGTACTGATGGTAAGCTACAAACAAACATACTTTTTGTGCCCCCACTTTAGTGGCGGGCATTTAGATTTACCCTTGTCCGTCCGTCCGTCCTTCCATCCGTCCGCACTGTTTGTCCGTCCGTCTTTCCGTCCGTCCGTTCTCTTTCGTGTCGCACGTAACTCAAAAGGTATTTGACCTAGAGTCATGAAACTTTACAGGAATGTTGATCAGCATGTGTAGTTGTGCACCTGGGTATTTTCGTCTGGATATTTTTAGTATTTTTAGAGTTATTGCCCTTGACTTAGTAAAATTTTGCAATTTTCAACTTGTGTCGCATGTAACTCAAAAAGTATTTGACCTAGAGTCATAAAACTTTACAGGAATGTTGATCAGCATGTGTAGTTGTGCACCTGGGTATTTTCGTCTGGATTTATTTAGTATTTTTAGAGTTATTGCCCTTGACTTAGTAAAATTTTGCAATTTTCAACTTGTGTCGCATGTAACTCAAAAATGATTTGACATAGAGTCATGAAACTTTACAAGAATGTTGATCAGCATGTGAAGTTGTGCACCTGGGTATTTTCGTCTGGATTTATTTAGTATTTTTAGAGTTATTGCCCTTGACTTAGAAAATTTTGCAATTTTCTAATTGTGTCGCATGTAACTCAAAAATGATTTGACATAGAGTCATTAACCCTTAAGGGAAGGTCGCTCAGCATATATTTTTTTGCACCTTGGGGTTTCGCTTGTGGATTTATCCAGTATTTGTAGAGTTATTTCCCTTGACTTAGTGAAAACCGTTTCATTATGTTGTTATTTGTTCCTTGAGTGCTTGAGTTAGAATCAACCAACTTTACAGGAATAATGATTCACATCATTGTGAAGCTATGCACCTGGGACTTTGCATGTGGATTTTTTTTTCAGTTTTGTTAGAGTTATTGCCTTTGGCTTACAGTAGTATAAATTTGCAATTTTCAACATTTTCATGCATAGCTCAAAAAGTATTTCACTTGTAGGCCTGAAAGTTTACAAGAATGTTGTTCAGCGTGTGTACTTATGCACCTTGGGTTTGCTTGTGGATTTATTCAGTATTTGTAAAGTTCTTGCCCTTTACTTAGTAAGAGATTTTTAGTTTTCAAAAAATATTTGACCTAGAGACATAAGATTGACAGAACAGTGGCGCGGTGGGGGCACCCGTGTCCTATGGACACATTTCTAGTTTGATACTAGTATTGCATCAGCATCAAATTAATAACGAATGTAAACATTTGGAACATGGTTAAATCCAATAACAAAATAAAAGGAAGGTAGAAATAAACGATTATTCTCAACCAATCCATCATGACTAAGTTGTATCTGTGGATTACAAACACATACTTAAAATTTGCATTTTTCATCTAAACTAAATAGGATATAATTTTAATTGGTCTGAAAATTTTATTTCAATTTAAATAGGGTTACAAGCCTGTATGTTCTCAGAAACAATGCGAACTGAGGAACAATTTCATGGCATGGCTTTCCCAAGATTACTCGCACTTGCTGAAAGAGCTTGGCACAAGGCATCATGGGAAAACAAAACTGACGTTGATGACAGAAATGTTGAACGTGATCAAGATTGGAAAATGTTCTCGGATAATCTCGGATACAAAGAGCTTTCTCGTCTGGACAAATATTCTACATTTTATAGAATACCACCACCAGGGGCGAGGTTAGTTTAACATATCTTGTGATAATTGCACGCAATGTAGAAGTACGTAGGATGACAAATGAGAATTCATTATCTTTGATAACCGAAAACATGCAGTTCTCTCTTGATAGTTTAAAAGTTATCTTTTCTTGCTAGAATTATAATCATACTTAAAATATTATTCTGTTTTATTTCTTTTTAGGATTGACGATGGAACTCTGAAAGTAAATACGAAATATGCAAATCTTCTTGTTGAAGTCAGCAAAGATAATGGCAAAACGTGGAATGTTTACAAGGAAGCTAAAATAGACCCTGGGACAAAGGTTCTTTTGCGCTCAAGGTAAAAAAGATACTGTATATGAGATATATACGAGCATCGTGAAACTGAAAGCCTATCTTAATAACTTCCCTATGTTAATTTGTGGTACAAAGAGCATCGTTTTCATACTTGCTGCAAGATAAGTCTGTTCATAATTGGCAGTAATGAAGTTAGTGGTACAACATATAATAGTACATGACTATAAATGAGTATTTAACAAAAACATCATATCAAAAGAACTGTTAAGGCTTTGATATCTAATGTCCATATAGTACATAAATATGTTTTGTACCAAGAAGATTTGTTTAGGTTTGTTTGTTTTGTATGGTTTTACGGCTTAGGTCATATAGCGCCAAAAGGTTTTCTTCGAATGTTAAAAACTTAAAGCAACACCGGGATTCAAAACCATTATCACCTGGTAGAGCTAAGAGATACATAAACTCTAGTAATTCGAATTTTACGATCACGCCGGGAGAAACGGTGGCTGTCTGAAACCTTAAAAGCAACTCCCCAGTCACAAGGAGCGTTTGTGTAGGTATCGATCTATGTCAAAATGATGAGCAATGAACATTGTCATAATTGCATACTAGTTAGTATTTCATTTTATTTTCAGGTCAAAGACTTCTGACATTACCAGCAGACATATTGAAGTATCTACACCAACTGTTTCCGGTGCTGCTCAATTATGCCAACATCTAAGTCTGATTGTGTTGGTCTTGTACACCTTATCTCATCTCTTGACAAAGTGATCCATGTTTATAAAATGTTAAATGTTGTTTGTTATGAAAGTCAGAATATATGTGTATATACTCTAAAGATGTTATTTAAAACTTGTCACCGTGATAAAAGATCACAGTGATAAAACATCATATTTGCGCTCCAATGGCAAGATCATTGTTACAACTTTATTTTCATAATCGTGTAGTTAACTCTGTTTTATCGTTACTATGGTAATGTTACGAGGGTAATATACCCACATGTTTAATGTGTTGTTTGTTGGAATTTCTTATGTATTTGTCGTTATATATCCCCTGTACTTTTGTAAATTTGTTATATATGTACATGTCCTATATCATATATGTCAGCACACGCATTTGAAAAAAGTTACGCTTACATTATAATTACAACTTTTATATTACTTCTATATATGTCATATGATTGTACAGTTTAATTCATGTGTTAAACTTTGTTACAATAATAGTTTTCTAATCCATTTTTAAAGGATTTTTATTGACTCTTTGGAGTTGGTAGACTTTTAGGAATGCTTTAGTGGTGTAATTGCGGACGAATCTTGTGACAATCAAAATAGTGCCAGCCTGATAACTTTTCATAGAATTGTCTAAAGTGTAGTGTGAATAGATTGTGTGCAAAACAGAATCGCCATATTTAAGTTGTAGCTTGCATGACGGAATAAAACTTTTATTCTTTTTGTTTTGTTTTGTTACCATATTTAAGATGTTTAAATTGAAACATTAACTAGTTGAATATGTTGTTCACATTAAACTGAAAACAACAACAAAATAAAAAAAAAAACTACAAAAAAAAAAAAAAACAAAAAAAAAAAAAAAAAAAAAAAAACAAACAATTAAAAAAAAAAAACAAAAAAAAAAAAAAAAACCAACAAAAAATAAAAAAACGAAACAGTGTCATAGAGTCTACTAGCCACATGTTTAAGATGTTTGGGTTATTATCGTCCCGGGGAATACTTGTAGTCACTCACGGGTATCTTTATATATACTAGTCCAACCAAATAAACAAGTATTCACTGGAATCCGAAAATACTGCATGTCTCAGTAAATTAAAGGCACCAAAAGACGTCGTAAAACAATTTACGAAAAGCGGCTCTTGATACTAAGAAATCAGCATATCAGGGTCTTGATACACGAGATACTTACAAAGTAGTGCGCGCGACTAAGTTACTCGTGGCCGCGACATAGAATCTCGTGCGCACTACTTAGTAATTATTTAGATTATTTAGTCGTGGCACGAGTTACTATGTGGTAAGAATAAGGTAATTAAGTCGTGCGCACAAGATAATCAGAGTAAAATTATCTCGTGTGCATGACTAAGTAACTCGTGGCCACGACATAATATCTCGTGCGCACCACTTAATTATCTCGTGTGCACGACACTTAGTACCTTGTGACCACGACATAGTATCTCGTTGCCACGACATAATATCTGGTACACACGAGATAAATAAAAACGCACAACTGTCACCTCTGTACCACCGTACTTTTTGCAGCTTGGAAATATTTGTTTAATTCTTCAAATGGTGGGAAAGTAAGAATTTTTGATTGGTTGATTACATCTTCGAACAATAGCAACACATCGGCTATTTCCGTCAGTTTTCGGATAAGCTTTGATTAGGAATAATCGGCGAGGTGCTTAGAAATTAAAGGAGCAGCAATATTTCGGTACACGGTTCACTCGGTCATATTATAGTGCTTGGTGATATTGTAGCTATAGTGTCGATGATGAATTGATGGTTTGGACAAAAAATACTTGATACTTAAAGAAATCTAAATCTTAAGATGACATGGCTTTGTTACTACTGGATCTATTCCATCTACGTATAATTTCAGTTTGAAGTCAGTCAATGATCAAAAAAGGATTTTTGAATAAAGTAAAGGAATATAATTACACAACTTGACTATGGATTTAACATATTTATTTAAGCTCGATTGCGAAACAAGATCTTACAACTTATATTAATCACTTTCGAGTCCGCTTCCTGGAACCAACCTGTACTGGTGTCATATGAAGAATCATGGTCATGACCCGATTAGGGCTTGAACCCATGATCACTGGGTTGAGAGGTAGACACCTTAACCACTAGGTCACCGTTCCCCATTAAACTTGACTATATAGAGTTGTAGTTTTTGGCAAGTGCCTTTCTCTTATCTGCCACCTATTCACATTTCAAGTCAATACCTTAGATAGGTTTCTATTGCTCTGGACAGAGACTGTGGGAAAGAAGGACGGACGTGCCATTATTTTGGATTAATGAGTTTTTTCTTTGATCTCTATGTGGCATTTTACCATTTAGACCGACGATTTATGTGATTTCCTCATTTTTATAAAATCTAAGATCACGGACGGAATGAAGCTTATAAACGAATTGGATATTGATCCGGACTACAGACGGACGGGCAAATACCCGAGCGTTCCATCCATATTTTTCATGAAACCCCCAAAAACACATTTTTTCCAAATATAAAACGGTTTGTCCATATATCTTTTTTTCTATTGTTATCAACATGTTTAATATATAATTGGCACGTTTTTGACGTCATTTTATTGCGTCAAAATTTAAAGAACATTTGTACGTGAGAAAATATGACGTCATAAGCTAAATGAAGGGCTTCTGTCTCGGGGTTAAGGCTAAAAAAATTTGGAATACCCAGCTAATTACAGTAAGACGTTACTTTTCAATTTTGGAAATTTCCGACCATTTTTTGTTTTGTTTTCTATCTTGCAAATGAAACATTTAATTAATTTTATTTAAAGTTTTTAATGTACTGCATATGATTATTTAAATGAACTTTGTTTAGGTGGGTAAAAATTTAAAATATAGATTCTACACAAGAATAAAAAAGATATTTAAAAAAAAAAAGTGATTCAGTGTGATTTAGTTATCTCACCAACCAGTACAAGCATAGTATGTAGACGAAATCACAAATTGTTTTAAACTAACCAACAAAGAAAATAAAAATGATATTCTGTATGAAAAAGCGATCATGTAAGATCCGATAATACCATGTCTTCTCGCTACAGAAACATATTGAGACAAGAGCCATATTGACATTACCCCAACCCCAAACCAAATGTATGTTAAATGTGTTTGCTTGTTGGAAAATATACACTATGTGTTAGCAAGCAGAAAGTTTCATTTAAAAGAAAAAATAGTATTGAAAACAATTAGAAATGCGCTTTTTTTTTTCAATTTCCAAGCCTATCTTTTGGATAGTTTCGACAAAAATAGATGATACTCAGATATAATCTTCATTTTTACTCCTGGATCTATGCCATCTACGTATAATTTAAGTATTAAGTCAGTCAATTATCAAGAGGATGTTTGAATAAAATATAGGTAAATAATTATGCAATTTGACTATGGTTTAAACATAGCCTATTTATTTAGGCCCAATTGCGAAACAAGTTCTTGCAACTTTAAGCTGCGGTCTCACTTACTCCCGGCAGAGCCAAGGACCATCCCGGTAAGTTACCGGGATGGTCCGGGACGATCCGGGGTGAAATTAATTTTTGCGGTCACACTTACCCCGGCAGCACTACGGTAATTCCCAACTAACCATCCAGGATGTGCTCCGGATCATCCAGGCAGAGCCCAGGTGAAGCTATGGTTTATGCAGGTGCTTCCCCGGTCGTTCCCGAAAGACGCCGGAAGAGCCCCGGTTGACTCAGGCAGAGCCCCGGTCGATCCTGTCTTGCATAAGGATTTTTCAGAAAATCATCATGAATTCTGGAACATTACATATTATATTTGATAAAAATTATGTATCAATGTAATCATTTTCACGCGTTTTTAATCCACCGGGGTTGTAATGCCATCATTTTGGATTTATGAGTTCTTTCTTTGATCTCTATATATCATTTTACCACTAAGACCGGCAATTTGTGTGATTACCTTATTTTTTAAAAAAAAAAAACCTAAGATTACTGACGGAATGAAGCTGATAGACGGACTTGAGACGTTCGTCCATTACTTAAAAACCACCAGCATAAACCGTCTGTTTAATGAGGCTTGTCAATTGTCACTTGTCTATATTGAAAATTGCCACAACAATACCAAAAGAAGCCTAAAATGTTGAAATGGACAGACTGTCGGACAGATAGTCAAAGACTATTACAATATTTCCACCGCGAAATCGATGTTTACTTGTATACTAGTAATAATATGAAGTAAAATGATACATAAAAATGGTAACCTAGCAATTATCGAGCAGTGAAATCGCATAGGTGACTGATTTTCATCATAGGATATTTTATTTTAGTCGAATACCTGTGTTTTCTCAAGTCACGATCGGTTGATGCGTATACATATTTGAGTTGGTTGCTATTCATCATGGACGGATTAAAAAAGATTTTTCTGGTTGTTTGTAGGTATTATTTTATATATTTTATCTTTTAACTGTTGTTATAATATACAAACTGTGTTATGGTGTGATATATATACAGTTATTCGAGTATATGTAGATATTTTTTTTAAAAACAGTCAATATTTCATTTTAAAGTTATTTTTCTTCTTCATGCCATAGAGGATATTGAATGAGTGTAAGTTCAATACTGAATTTATTGCACAAGTTGAATAAAATTATATTCGCATAATATTATTTTATTCAACGAGTTCAATAAATTCAGTAATGAACTTATACGAATTTAATATTCTATTTATCACATACCCAAAATAAAGACAGTTATAGACAAATGAGAGTCATTTTTCATTGACGCGCCTATAGTATAACGCTAACATTTAGCGCGGCTTTACACTATGTTTTGCATTACGATAATGACGTCACGTCAAAATATATGCACGGCCGTGCAATAACATATTTACAAGGTTGCAAAATCGGCACGGGTATGTGATAAACCGTTTTATTGTATACTTTGGCACTAACAGATTAAACTTGTATGCAAAAAAGCAACACTAAAATTGTCCCTTTAAATCGCATTTTATTTATAAAAACTTTTTTTATTTTACAATGCGTACATTCTTCCAATATTTGACGATTATTGTCTTTTTGGGTAAAGATAACCAAATCTTCATAAAAATACACATGTTACAAAATCGTACTATTAAAAATACTTTCAAAAGACTGACCTGGTAAACTAACAGACCGATGTAATTATAATGTATCATATACAATGTACTTCTATTCAATACAAAAAAAACATACAGATCCGACAAACATGACCAAGATTTTAAGTTAATCTACAAAAAAAATCTATCATCTCCGCTGAACTTTAAGACGATTTTGCGTTACCAAAAAAAAAATAAAATAAAATAAAGATAGATTTTGTACAACAGTATGAAAATGTAAAAAATATTATGTATAGTATAAAATCATATAGTACTTTACTACAACCCTTTACATACAAATATGAACGCTTTCTAATGGATAATTCTTCAGCTATACATGTATATAAATCACGAGTGTATGTCGCTCATATCATAAAACTTGTTTTCATCGATCTTGTATTTTACTACATCTTTTTTGTATTTAAACCGGCTTACCAGCTGTGGATCAATACATTTGATTTGTTATCACAATTCAGTGATTTGATCATTTAATGATAGTATATTTTATAACATCTGTCTCACATGATGGCTTTCATTTCCATATTATGATACGGTGGTAGAATACAATATGATTTTGTTAAGCCATAAATGACTTAAATATCGCTTGACTTCCCAAATCTACTAAGCTTACTACCAACTGCCCTAAGCATTTTTACTAACATACTGTAAACATATTAAACACTATTTAGGTATATATATTATTTGTATTTCAGGCATAGCACATGTATCTTTCGCCTACGTGAGTATGATTTTTGTTTTTAATTAGATTTCAAGCAATATTTTGACTTACATAATTATATATAAGCTATGTGGGGAAAAGCTAGCCTTATTCTAGCTGTTATGGCGTTTTTCTTACGAAACCCTCACATTTCTTACTATTTAGTAGAATTCAATTAATTAATATTTCTACATGTGTGTTTTCTATATTGTATTAATTAATTTGCATAATATTGATGTATGTACTATTCTTTGCACATGTTTAAGTATTGTTGGTTAAAACAATAAATAGAAACCTTATAGTATGGTATGGCCATTAAACACAATTTGATAATTTGTTATTCCTCGCGCGGCTGTTCATAAAAATAACTATAACTGTGAGCAACATATGCGAAACACAATTCAGTAAATTGATAAATGAGGTTTTGGAGTTCACCATTTTCGTGTTAAATGTTGAATTCTGCTTAAGCCGGTGCTAGGGGGCGTGGACGGTAACTGGCACTTTCCAGTACCGTCCATTAACAGGCTCAATCAAACCGAGCCTGCAACATTTTCAGTTTTGTTGTGTTGGACTTTCTTTAGGGATTCTGTTTTACTCTATTTTGGAAACTATAACAGGACACCAACTATAAAAAAAGCTTTTGAAAAAATGAAATGAAAGACTATCTTGGACATAATGGGCCTTTAATAAAGATAGCTGCATAGTCCTTACACTGTAGGTTTAATATTTTGAAACTTTTGTTAGCTCGACTACAGTAGAGGCGCGAAGTATGAACAAATATATGTAGACATTTCACATTGATGAATCATGAATAAACTTTTATGCAATAGGCCCTACGTTTGTTTATGGCCTACTAGCCTGGGTTCCAGTCTGTCGTTTTATTGTGTGCTTCTGTTTGGTAAATCGACATTTATCAAAAAACACGAACGAGTATGAAATAGCGCGTATGTTATGAATAAGCAAAAAAAATATCAACGCCTTAATCCCATGCTACGACACAACTCTCGTTGTTTGCCTCGATCCTGTCCGGTGCCCCCTCGGGTAACCGTGCCCGGTGCTGTTCATTTACATCTAAGATAGATCTAACTTTTAGTATTACCTGTTATATAAATATATGACGTATTGTTCAGCAGATACATAATTTTGTTGATCATTTCAGAATTGTATTCAAAAGTCTTGTGCTGTTGGATCATGCACGACAGCAAGTGAGTGTCCAGCTAATGGCACGAATGGATGTGAGGTATGTTATTTTTATACATGTACATCATAAATATACAATTAAGTGTTGTGGCTTGCTGAGGGAATATACGGGAAGATTTAGCCCCAAATGAGAATCATGACAAGAGGCGCTGGCCGAGGATTATATATATCTCAGATTCTTCTTTATGTATTTTCAGCAACCAATATAACGAATCTTTATAAAACTGCAAGTTTGTAACGTTGCTTTTCATTGGAAAATGAATGTAGGACAGAAGCCCCCCCCCGGAAAAAAAGCCCCCCCCCCATTAAAAAATGACAAGGTGGACTAAAGCCCCCCCCATTAAATTTACACTTAGGACAAAAGTTCCTCCCTTATCAAAAATGCAGGTAGGACAAAAGCCCCCCCCCCTCCGTCCATCAAACAAAAGACCTCCTAAGGTTTATAGACCTGACTGATTACTATCTTTTTTCACACGCCCTAGCTGTATTCGGGAAGTTGGGTTATACTGCAAATAAATCTAAACAAAGTATGCGCCTTTAACTTTTGTTTCCTTGATAAGTGTTGATAAGCAATTCTCTGAAAATGTTCATTCACATTTGTACTGTACAATATATAATAAACATAAAATCATTCATATATTCAATGAATTATATACAAATTACACAATAAATTAAATTAGAACATTTGTACCTTTAAATTTGAATCTTAATGTAAATTATCTTTTAAAACAATAATTATTTCTTTTATTTGTTAAACTAAACATACCGATTTTGACTTGTCTCAATATATCAAGTTCCGCATTTAAAAACAAAAAAACAATTGTTTGATTGACTTTCCTACCTGTATTTTTGATGGGGCCTTTTTGTCCAACGTGTAAATTTCATGGGGCGGGGGCTTTTGTCCACAATGTCATTTTTAGGTGGGTGGAGACTTTCGTCCAGGGGTGGGGGGGGGGGCTTTTTGTTCGTATCCCGTTCAAAATCTGTATAACTTAAAATAAAAATTATGCTTTTTTATTTACTTGATAAAACAGACTTTGAAGAAATAAACATTGAAAAAAGTCTTCCCTCCTATGCAATACAATTAGACGTTAGTTCAAATATTTTTTTTTGTAAAAGACAGTACATATACACCAAATGCATAAGTACATAAGAAAATAATGCAGATATTTAATCTCATTGAAATTACTGTAGTTCTTGGTCGGAAAATGGCTATGTTTTTTCTTATCAGACAGACATAACTATATTCTGTATAAACACTAAGTTTCATTTAAATAAAAATGCACAAAAGTCATATTTGATTCTTCTACTGACACCAATATACGGCTTCATTTTCATAGACGTGATTTTTAAAAAGTCGTGACCTATCAAGTATTTATGTTATCGCCTCTAATTTCAGGAAAAAAATGTTTAAAAAAATGGATTTAAATTATGGAATGGTTTTCTAGTATGTAAAAACGCACAAAAAATGCACCAAGCAAGAAACTTGGTGCATTTTCGTAAATATTACGGAAACATGCAAATAACAAGCATTAAGTCGTCCGTTGTAACACTTTTGAAATAAGCAATAAAAACAGCGTTTTATCGTCAGCTTATAATATACATATTGGTTTACAAAGTAAACCTACGCATGCAAATATGTTGTAATTAAACACGAATAACCACCGATTTAAAAGCAACAAAAATATACATTCATGTACTCTTTTTAAAATATGAACATCGACAGAATAATATAATGACACGATCTCGTTACATATATACCCTAAATGGCGTAAATTCCAGTTACGCACGAATTTAAGATTCTGCAAAAGTAACAGATTATTAAAAACTCGACAGTATAGACTTTCGAAGTATGGAAATAATACCGGTAAAAAAATGTTCATAATTGTTTTGGTATGTATTTGAGATGAGTTGTTTGTTATCTAGGTATCATCTGTTGCCGGTGTGGTGTCACAGTCCTGCTCTCAAACAAAATGCGTATCAAGCTGGTTGAATGTTTCCGGAAGTATAATCGCAAAAGATTGTTGTTTCACTGATAAATGTAACGTCGAATCGAGTAAGTTCAAAACCCCGTGTTATAGCTTTACTCTTCAATTTGCAAATAATTATTATAAAAGTATCTTGATCTGGTTATTGTATACTGCTTGAGTACATTTTGCTAGATCAGAATCGAGATTGCCAAGAATAATCCGGTGTTATAAAAACATAAGACACTATAAGATTCATAAGTTTCAGATGAAGACCCTCGTAAAATAATTGTTATACATGTATGTCGTACATTTGCTGCTAAGGACACGTTAAACTGTAAATTATCAACATAAAATAACAAGAATAAAGATCAACAAGGCAAAGGCAACGTTCACAGGACGCCGCCTCCGGACACACCCAAGCAGGACACACAGAAGGCACCAAACAAGCACCCGGAGCGGACACAAGGGCGAAAGGAGCGGGATAAGGTTCAGATCAAGACCCTCTTACAATCAGTATTACATCGTTAAGGACATGTTAAACATAAGTCCCACATCAAGACTGTTATTTCGTATATTTGCTGTTAAGGATATGTTCAACAGTAAATTATCAACATAAATCTCAGATCAAGATTATTAAATCGTATATTTAGTGTTAAGGATATGTTCAACAGTAAATTATCCGCAAAAGTTCCAGCAACTTTATATCTGCTAACACCATAATTCCAGTATATACATCATGTTGTTGATCATTTTAGAATTTAAATTTGTATACCATGGAGTTGTGCTTTTTATGTTTCAATCAATGGTTTCACATTATGACAAACTGATGCAGAAGAGTAATTTTACTTCTTGTACAACAATATAAGAGTATTTACGATATATGCAAATCAACAGGATAATAAACTGGTCGGTTTTCATCCACTTTAATGTGTAATCATTTATTGTAAAGAATCACCGTGAATAGACATTCCAATATGACATTGACTCTTATTTTGTTACATAATTGTTAGGTATAAAATTCAAGAAGCGTCATTTTATTTCGTTTAATTACAGTGACTTCAACAGTAGATGAACCCAATGTGGTAAGTTGTTTAACTAAAGTTGTCGGATTTTTTACCAAAAGAATGTCGGAATTACTTTCAATCTACTGCGTTTTAATGTTTCTTTTCATAAGAATACTAAGTCTTTTATTCCTTAAGTTTTTTTTATTGTTTTCACATATCCAATACTTTGCGAGATAAAAATCAGCGAATTTACAGATTTGAACAAAATATACCTTTGAAACGTGTTTATTATTACATGTTCCTATATATATGTTATATGGTCGAGTATAAAAGCTAGTAGACTTATATAACCGAGCTGCTTGGCGATGTTGATTAGTAAAGATCCACTTCAACAATGCCATATAATTTATAAAATTTCGTTGGCAATAATTACCAAGTTAAAATATTATTGTAAAAGAACATGGTATCATATATAACGATTATAATATCTGTACTCTGGTCCTGGCACCAGTTAAGAAATGATATCATAATGTATATATTGCTGAAATGGGCCGGTGACTAATATCATTGTCATTCTCAACTGATAAGTCTTTGGTGAACCTGGAACTTAGAAAAAATGCAGACGACATTAATATTCATTTCCTGTTCAGGACCAGTGTTACGGCATACAGTGTGATTCTGAAGGTTGTCTACAGAAAGCAATTAGAGAAAAGAAAGCCAGGTTGTGTCGTCGATCTCCAAATGGTTCTTGCATGGTATACTTTATTTTACAATAATTTTCTCTTTGCTTTTTTTACAATATTTTTTTCTTTTCAAATACACTGTAAGATAACTCTACTTTTTGCGAAATATATACAACCCATGCTTAGTTTTATGGCTATTTTTCAAAAAAAATTGTAAAATATATACATGTTCATGTATAATTTTTAAGTAAGAAACAATACAAAATATTTCTAAAAATTGTTATAATATTTCTAAATGTTTGTTTGATTGAGTTTTACGTCACACCGACACAGTATAGGTACGACTTAAGTAGAACCACCGACGTTCTGTAAGCTAGCTGGATAGCTTCTTCACAATAAAGAATCCAAAGTCCCTGTCGAGATTCGAACCCGCAGCGGTGAGGGGCAAGTCGTTTGAAGTCAATGACCCTTACCACTCAGCCACATAATATTTCATAATAATACAACATGATAAATATTGTAAAGCGGACTTTCTTCATTTCAACATGTGTTACTTTCCTCTATCTACCAAGTATAAAAGTTGTGAAATTTAATGTTCAGTATTAACTTATTCACCCTCAGTTTTCAAGAATTGATGGTGATCAGTTTTATGAGTCAGCTCTTTGTGTGGAAGACACCGGAGATGTCACCTGCGTTAACGGCGCCAATTATAACTTTCCAGAAGGCATGTCAATGACAGTCCATTGCTGTAAAGGGGAACTCTGTAATGACGGTAAATTTAAAGTTGTCATTAATTTTCTTTTTGTTTTTAATTGTATGTATAATTCAGCATAAAATTCATGCCTTTTCGACAAATCACAATGTGCTGCCTTTGAATACTTATAATTTTAACACAAACAGTCGGACATTAGTTGGGAAAGAGTGAGATATCAGTTTCAATGCATTGAATTTTTGAAATAAGTAACAATTTGACTAATTACAGGTGTTCAAGAAAAACAACCAGGCGTTGTGAGTATGATCTTTTTGTCATCTTATTATTCAGATAAATAATTCAGTTACAATGCAGGTGCTTTTTTCGGTTTTAAAAATGCGTCTTAATTTGCACTTTCCAGTACAGTCCATGAACAGACTCAATAAAACCGAGCCTGCACTATTTTCAATTATGCCGTGTTAGGCTTTCTTCAGGTGTTCTGTTTTTTCTCTATTATATTTTGGCACGATACAAGTCAGTATACTCGTATATTTCTATATTCGTGAAATAATCTGATCAAGTTCGATGACTGGTTATCTTTAATTTTTCATAATATTTTAGAAACCTACAAGACTTACTATAATTTTCACTGTATATTCTCATTGTCCATTAATAAAAATGTATAATTGTGTTTAGCAATGAAACGCTTGACAGAATTGATAAAAAATACTTTCCTCTAGATTTAGTATGATTATATAATTTACTGATGTTGCACGGATTATGTTCGTTCCTTATGCCAGAAAGGATATATATTTAAAATATAGCTAATTTTCTTAAAGCAGCACATTTTCAGATGTGTCTTAATTTTCAAGAACCCAAGACTTCTTCTAAAGAGTCTAAATATTGTAATGTGTTTATGAAATTAAACTTAGCCTTTTAAAAGGCACATTAAATAAAAACAAAATAGTGTACCTTGCAAAATACAACTATTTCTTTAACTCTTTAGTGATAAAAAGTAATTCTATGGGATTAAAAAATTCAGTCGAAATGCACATGTCATTATAATAAACTAATTATTTATTTACTTACACCCAGTTTCACCTGTGTTAATATGAATATTAAATTTTGTACATTTATTTATCTATAAATCACAGAAGAGTATACTGATCCCCTTATCTATTTTATATGCCTTAAAGAAAAAAGCCTTTGTATAAGACATATCTTTAAAAAAAATTGACAGGTTATATGATATATATATATAATGGATCTTAAAGAGTTACTTACTTTTAAACTACCTTGTAAAACACATAAAACATACAATACATCGACGCTAAATAATCAGGTGAAGAATAAATATACATATTATCTCTATATCTTTCGAACAAAGAAAATAAAACATACTTTTTAAAAATAAATAAAAGCGGTTTACCCGAATGAATCGCCGGCTTTCCAAAGCAGAATTTAAATGAAAAGAAAAAAACAACATATGTCTTATAAATAAAAGTAAGTTCTTAAGAAAGTCTTAAGTTTAAACAGTATAGACTAGTAGTCTAGATAAAGAGGAGAAAAGATCAATATGAAATATATTAATAACTTAAAAAAAAACAATACGAACTATGTTGTAATCATGTATTGTCTTAATTTAAACAGGCATATAAATTATATGAATAATGGGGGGTGGGGGGGGGGTCAATATACTCTTCCGAAATTAATGAATTTTGGTTGACTTAGGATTCATTTTATGTATAAGGAAATATGCCGCCACTCAAAGTGATGTATATAATTTCTGTGTATTTAAAGGAGTATTGTTACACTATCAACTGTAACGGTACAGACTGCATTGACGAGGCTGTGGCTAATAACGTATACACCATTTGTCCACAGACCGAATTCGGCTGTATGGTAATGTATATTTCTTATTATTTAAAATGATTGATATTTTAAAAATGTTTGGTTGGTGGCACATAGGCCAAAAAAAACCAAACAAAAAAAGTTTTCCTTAAACAGTTCTTTCTTTCTTTGTAGAATCTAACATTACTTGTGTATTTAAAAGATAATAATTTGGTTTAGTGATAATGTAATCTGAAGTCATCAATCTAAAATGATGTTAATTAGAAAAAAAGAGAAACACAATTGATATGATTTCGGAGTAGATAGGTTAAGATTAAGGCAAATGTTTCTATATAAATGTTTATATAATGTATATATAGAACGGTTTTTGTTTTAGGCAAGATTGCAAATACAAAAATATTTAATTATCAAGACTTCACTGCGTTTGAATCAACGAATCGGAACTGTAGTCTTAAGCAAAACGAACATGATGAAAACTTGGAAAGATAAGTTGTCGTGATGTTTGCCTTGCAGTAGCAGACAAAAATTAAAAACAAAAAGAAAACTGTTAAAATGACATTTTTCTGAATATAAGTTAACGGCATGAATCGGTATTGATCAGTCACGATTAATTGATTCGATGTAGGTGTTACATGTTATTTATATTGTATTATTATCACACATGTATATTGTATTATGTACATGTATATAAAATAACTATGCGATGACTTCTTAAAACACTTCCTGGAACTTAACAGTATGGAAAGGAACTAAAATAAGTGTTATGCTTGTTTTCCAATTCATATATATTGTAATGTAAAATGATACATGCCTGTAAATTTGCTAAATGTTTAAATATGTATCGTTTGAGGAAACATCAAGATAAATATTATGATCCGAGTAAGTCACGAAAATACGATCGCTGGGTAGACAGACAGACAGACAGACAGACAGACAGACACCTTGACCATTAGATACACCATGTATATAGTATGAAGAATCATGTGGGGAAAATGATTAAGGGTACATGATTTACTTTACAGACGTCCTATGTGGCGGGAATGACCTCCACTACGTGCTCCCCATTAGCATGCACGGCTATGAATTTAGACACGGTTAAAATTGAATGCTGTAAAGGAGACCTTTGCAATGGGCCACCAGGTATGACAACAAAAGATTAATTTATTAACGGAACTAAGATTTATATATACCAAAATTACGCTCATGATCTTGAATAATAATGACTCATGCATATTTAGGGAACATTTTTATTTCAATAATAGCATACATGTGCTTGTAAACAGCTGGAGAGGTCCATGTACAATACAATATCTTTATGAATTAATAGGCCACCAGCCCCAAAACGAAACAACATAGTATACAAATAATAAGTTAAAATATGTACAGAACAGTGTAAAAGTATTATATTTATGGTACAAAATTGTATTTATTAAGATTTAATGTGCTAGTAACATGCAAAATAAACCGTAATTTTAAAAAGAAAGAACATTCATACATTCATTTGGTAGTTTTTCACTGCGCATGAATACTTTGCATGCTCAATAATAAGAACAATATAGAGTTAATGATTGTAATATAGATGTATATCATCATATAAGGTGCATTTTGTACATGATGCATTTGACGTCAGGGATTGCAAGAGATTCTATAAAGTATACAATATATTTACATTTTACATATATCTTTGTGATTATATTACACAACATTAATTTTTGATATTGCTCGTTTGTTATGTCGCTTTTCATTGGATAATCGTGACGTTTATATACTGTATGTACATGACTGTGTTATTCACAGATAAGGGAGGTTCTCGTTAACCAGATTCTTGACAGGTTATATGGCCGTTGTTTGTTTATATAACCCTCGCTTATATTGTAACTGTAATTTTACAAAGAAAGAACTTTCATACATATGAGGTTTATAATGCACTAAGGAGCGGATATTTTATAAGTTAACGTTTCAAACTATAAATAACATTTCATTTTATAACAGTATAATGATCTCGCTTGTTAAAAAGTCCACGCTCCTCATCAGTGAGGCTTTAAAAAATAATTTCTGTAGCAATTCGGACTACTAATTCCATCCCAACATTTTGTATTCTCTAGGGACCAAGGTAAACAGTTTAAACTATGAATGTTATTTTTGCTAATGTATGTTAATCGAGATTTTGTTTGTTTCCATCAGGGTCAACTTCTGATCAGCCCAACTCTTCTGTAGCCTCTACAACTGACCCTACTTCTGGAGCTGACACGATCGGAAATGCGTCGTTTTTCATATGCTCGATTTTCTCATTTTTTTTTATCTTACCTTCTGTATTCTAAAGATACATAAGTACATTTTGTGAAATGTAAATAGAAACTGTAAATGTAAAACAATTTGGTATTTTTTTCACTGCGCAGGAATACTTTGCATGCTCAATGATAAAACTATATAGAGGTAATGATTGTATTGTTTGTTTGTTTCATTTTACGCCTTTTTCAACAGTATTTCAGTCATATAGGCGGGTAGTTTCCTAACCATCGTTCCTGGAGAGTTACACCAGTACTAGACTACCTTCCTCCACGCTAAACTACCAAAGCATCTCCCGGGGATCGAACCCACGCCAGAGAGGTAACTGCATTAGAAGTCATCGACTCTAACCCCTCGACCACGGAGGCGGTTTAATGATTGTAATATAGATGTATATCATCATATAAGGTACATTTTGTACATGATGCATTTGACGTCAGAGATTGCAGGAGATTCTATAAAGTATACTATACATTTACATTTTACATATATCTTTGTGATTATTTTACACTACAATAATTTTGAATGTTGCACGTTTGTTATGTCGCTTTTCATTGGATAACGGGTGACGTTTATATACTCTGTACATGACTGTGTTATAATTTCATTTTTCTAACAGATAAAGGCGGTTTACTGTATTAAAAAATTGTTATGGGAACATATAACATGTCAAAAATCTGAAACAAAATCATGTACTCTTGAAATCGTATGTATAAACTAATTCACAAGTACATGTATATTAAATAACATTTTGATATAATTATGTTTGTTTGTCTTTAAAACATTGATATCTTTCATGTTTCATGTCTTTGTTGATTGTTTACAAACATAATTCTGTTTACACCGGTTATTTCCATATGTAATAAAGATATATTTACCTTGAGTTTCTGTCATGATTTTTTGGTACTTACTTTGTTAACAGACTATTCAAGAACTGGGTTTCCTTTTTAATGAATAGTATCGATTGATTTTCGCACTTAACGATTATCCCTTATTAAGGTCAATAAATTTAACTATTAGCAAGTAATGTCAAGATAAGCCTTTTGATTAATGTTCTGTTCGCAATAATACCTCGTTTTCATAGTATAAATAACCATAAATAATTCTCCAAATACTAGTAAAAGTAAGTAAATACTAGTACAGTATGAATTTGTAAGTTACAACAACTATAAAAGGCACGGCTACATTCAAAGCTGCTGAAAAAAGACCATGCCTTGCAAATGATAACTTTGAAGTGATTCTGTGCAATTAATATAATGTCCCATTTGATGAAATCAAGATATTTAAAAGCTCCAATAAAATTCCCACAACTTCATTTACGAACACTAGTTATCAATCCTTCTTTACCTTATATACATGTAAATATGGTTTAACTATTTTCCGTAATGTCCCTACAAAAACTTCAGTCTGACATTTTACTAAACTGCGTACTAGTATTGTTTTGAACATCTATGATTGCCCCCCTCAACCACTCTTTTACAAAAGTATAAGCATTTTCAACGTCTCCCTCCATCTCCTTTCGTTTTTCAAATGCATACTTTTAAATAATAAATTCGGAGTATTGCTGCCTAAGCGAATACAAATACATGCATGTTAGACTGTATGTTTTCTCAACATTGCCTTTCCTGATGGATCATCATGATATATGCAATTTGTCAGATAATTTATCCGATACTTTCTTACATTGATCACTGCCTATAGCAACATGTACAAAGACTTAAAACTTGTTCCAAAGGGACAATACAGTGTGTAATTTTCAACACATTCCCTTCAGTACTTATTGAGATACCAGCTTACAGCGAAAACTTAACTGAAGTGTGTCCCTGGTGTCCAAGTGAGTACAAAATTTCTCCCTATTCTTTGAATAGTCAACTTTCAAAGAAAAGGCGTTCAAACTTTCAAGCATCAAGAAATAATGATTGAAATCTTATATGTCGCTTTTTTCAAAATCAAACGTACTAAAACACAAAAGTGACATACCTTTGTCGAAAAAAACAAAACTTTGAAATGGAACATACTGCTAAACTTGGCAGTGGACACTCTTATTAAGTTTCAATAAATTCAATCAAGTGGTTGCTGAGAAATAGTCCGGACAGTTGTAACAATAAATGATTCCTTCTTTTGTGAAACAAAGACTGATGGTACATTTGTCGGTCATTTTCTTAACTTACACTAAAATTCATTTTAATCATGTTGGTTGTATCAGAAGTGTATCAGTTTAATTTATCTGAGAGAGAGAAACAATGCTGATACATGTACACTCCGATGGAAAACCCCAATCTCCTAGTCATTAATCTCTCCTAATCAGTACAGAGATCTGCCAAGGGAGGTAATCACTGTCAGGAGTTTGCTAAAGCACCTTATTTATTTTTTAACTCCTGTACAAATATGCAGAACATATGACCTCCTTTAAGTAAATAAATAGTATAACAAATTACCATTAAACAGTTGAATCAGTAATACAAATAAGAAAACAAAGTCAACTTTCAAAAAGACATTTATTACTGTTCTTCAAAGAACACTATCACATAAAGCTTAGCACATTGTTATTTTACCACAAATCAGTTGGTTATACCAATTATAAGCCAATTAGCTCAGCCAGAAACATATACATATAAATATATAATATACAAGATTCCTGGCCCAGCACACAGAAACATATGTTAAAGGAATGATGAAAGATTATGCTTAAAGTACAACAAAAGGGGATGGCATAAATATCAGTTGTAGACAAAACTAGAAATCAGCTCACACATATTTTCCTTTAATATTTTTTTTTTGTGTTAAAAATGCAGGTGGTGGTGGAAGCATAGTATATGGATAGAGCATCAGACTCCTTATCCATCCATTGTGGGTTCATAATGGAAATTAAACATACATTGTGGGTTCATAATGGAAAACAAACATACATTGTGGGTTCATAATGGAAAACAAACATACATTGTGGGTTTGTAATGGAAAACAAACAAGACATTTTGGGTTCATAATGGAAAACAAACATACTGTGGGTTCATAATGGAAATTAAACAGATATTGTGGGTTCAAAATGGAAAACAAACATACTGTGGGTTCATAATGGAAAACAATGTTCCATAATTAACAATTATTAGTAGATTATTTAATGATGTTTAACAGTAAAATACGAATAGAGTCACATCTGTTAAACAGTGATATACAAATACTAGTAAAAGATTTTTTTATTATTTTATCTTACAGCATGTTTAAACAGTTATAAAGGAATCATGACAATGGACATGATACAGTGCATGAAATAAATCCTGTCCTCCCCACATGCAGAATAAAATATGTAATATTCAAAGAACAAAGAATGCTGCACCAATTTGCCTACAAACACTTAAAGCCTCTTTAAACAAAAATAACTGAATTATAGATAAAACTATTTAGGAAGTTTCTGAGATTTCAAAAAGGGGACATTTTTAAATTTTGTATGTAGTTATAATTAATCAAACTTAGCAGTGAACAATGGTTAGTCAGAAAAAGCATTTTATATATAAATTATCATTTTGATAACTACACAGTTTTAAAACAATCATTTTATAAATTATCATTTTGATAACTACACAGTTTTAAAACAAAGTTGGAAAAGCATTTTCATAAATTATCATTTTGATAACTACACAGTTTTAAAACATACATTAATATATTATAGTTTACGAAATCTAACAAGATATCATTTTGAAAAAAAAAACAAACAAAAAAACTTGAGTTTCATATCACACCAATAATTTAAGCTATAGTGTAACTTTCTAGTTATTTTTTTGTAATTGGTAAAAAAAGACCCCAGACAACCATCTAAGCATACAAGAGATTTTGGTAAAACCATCAAGTTTAATACTACATTAAGATATAAATGAGGCAAAGCATGTATGCAAGTTACCAATATTAACATCAAAGACAAACTGAACTGTTTGAATGAAAAGGTGTGTCTTCATAGTATGTACTGTTTTCATGAATTACCAACAAACATTATAGATAAACAATTGAATGTAAATCGTAACAAATGTAAGTTGTCAATGACAAATTTTAATGCTCCTGTTTAAAAAATAATAAAAGTTACCAGATATGTTGAGCAAGACGGTTTAAAGGTAACTGAATATTATTGACAAACAAGAAAAAGAAAAAAAATGACAGAAAAACACAGAAAATTAACAGATAAAATGTGTGTTACCAAAGTGATCTCTAGAAATTTCTGATAAAAATTGTGTGTAACCATGGCAACCTTAAGGAATTACAGATAAACACTGTGTGTTACCATGGCAACCTTAAGAAATTACAGATTAATATTATGTGTTACCATGGTGACCTTAACAAATTACAGATAAACATTATGCGTTACCATGGTGACCTTAAGAAATTACAGATAAACATTATGTTTTACCATGGTAACCTTAAGAAATTACAGATAAACATCATGTGTTACCATGGTGACCTTAAGAAATTACAGATAAAAATATGTCTTACCATGGCAACCTTAAGAAATTAGATAAACATTGTGAGTTAACATGGAAACCTTAAGAAAGTACAGAGCAATGTGTATGTAACCATGATACACACATAAGTGAAGGAACTGAAACTTTGTATGAATGTATCACAATAACTTAAAGAGATGCATTAAAACAATTGCCACTTCCCCAATATAGTGTCTTTAATAGCATCAACATATTGTGCAGGTACCCAGTAGATCCAGTAACGGGAAGCTTCTGTGGGACCAAGTTGTAAAGCCTGGAATCAAGAAAAGATTTAGACAATATAAATCAAATGTAAATCCCAACTATCAATAATCTGCTTTATCATATACCTGTGTTGCTTTCGCTACAGTACTCAAAAAGAAATGGTATTGCATGGCCGTGCATATATTTTGATGTGACATCATTTGCGCATAGAAAGATGGTGTAAAAGATGGGCTAAATTGTAGTGTTATACTATTGGCGTGTCAATGAAAAATGATTATTTTTCACTTCAAACTATAGGTGCATCAATGAAAAATGATTCTTTTTCACTTCAAATGGTCTTTTTGGGTATGTGATAAAAAGAATATGAGCTGTGACATGACATTTCCAACATAGTGGTCAAATTTGACATTTTTTTTTTAGTTTTTTAAAGATTCTCAAAATGCAATCTTTTCTAAATCATTGTCTCTTAATTATATACTCTTATCAGTTAGTTTCCGTTAAATTAAACAATGTATCCACTTTCTGTAATATCTTCCTTATTCTATTCGCAATAAAGTGTTAATTCTGGTTTATATAATGTATGTCAGTCCATACATGTCACTATATATATGGATAAAGATAAATACTTAAAAAACATCTTGACACTGGAAATAAAATAACAATCGAAAGAATAAATGTGATTATTATTTAATTATTTAAAGTAAGTAAGCCCTGAAAGTGTTCCTCATTGCAAGGACAATATATCAAGTGTCAAGATGAAATAAGATTTGTCAACTCATGAATTTCTTTGAAATTCTCTTACTTATAGACTTAAAATACAATTGAGCGAGTGTCTGTCAGGGGCTTAAGGTTAAAAAAAGAGTTTTACTGCGGAATAACGCCATCATTGCGGTGTAAAAAAATATTAGTGCAGTTATTGTCATTGAATCGAGAAATATACTTAAAGAACAAGATACACAATACATCTATAAGGCAATTAACGGAATCATAAATTAATACGTAGGCCAAAACAAATCAGAAAAGCTATGTTCACAACACTATGATTGGAATGTTCTGGGTTATATATCACTAAATAGAAAGCAAGACTCTCATTTATAAGCTTTAGCTATTAAAAAGATTTGAAATAGTATTTCTTGAATATCAAACTGGTATTTCCGTTAATTTTACTCATGCCAGATATTTCATCTGTCATGGGGATGCCAGATGAGTCGCGTGCTATACAATCGCATGCTTAGGATGGCGGTATTTTGCCGTTGTGAATTTGTAATTTCATACCCTGCTGTACGAAAATAGTTACGGGTGTAATGACATTAAATTCCATGTAAAATTGTTTAAAGGTCAAGAATTTAAAATATAACAGAATATGGTAGAATATGAAAGAAAAAATATCTAACATATGTTTGCGTTTCGGATTGGAATATCCGTCCCTCGGGAACCTGCCGATGGGCGAGTTCCCTGGGGACGGATATTTTTATCTGAACCGCAACATATGACAGCTATTATTAATCTCAAATAACAACCCAAACTGTTGACAAAAAAAAATTTACGCTTAATATCTTATCGTTAAGCATCAGTAATTTCTGAAACGGTAGCTTAGTGGGCTTTGAATTAGAGAGGTAATCGATTCTTAATTTATCAAACATATTTCATACAATATCTCCTTTTCTGATTATCATTTTAAAACATCAATACGATAAAGATAACAACAACGTTAAATTAAAATTAACAGGTTTTACCATAAAAGCAGAATACAAAACCTTTATCTTATCAAATCGTCCACCGCAATTGTAAATTATTCGCTGTATAGTCAAATGTATGGTCGAACAATAAAATTCAAATTATGTGTATTTCAGACATGAAATATGCTAAAAAATGTAAATATATGCGGGATTAAACCGAATAAATAGGCAAAAACGAATGGACCAAAAACGAACCGAACTGTGATGCGTTGTTTATCTTTATACAAATAAAGAGATATTTGAATGTACAAGTATATCTATCGATGTTTACCATGTTCAATTATATCTATCGATGTTTACCACTTCTGTTCACTGACGATATTATCAGTTTGCAATTGACATATTTACATCGATTTAACACTTATTCTGGCAAAAATTTTAAAAATGATAGATCAGATTATTTTTCGCTGAAAACTGCACAGTGGTGATTGGAAAAGCACGCGTCATATCATTAAGGAATATTGGCGTCAACTTTGACGTCGTGTTTGTACGATTACGTCATTTGACCACTATGTTGGAAATGTCATGTCACGGCTCATATTATATTTGTGTTGGTTCAATACTGAATTTATTGAAAGAGTTGAATAAATTCAGTATTGAACCTACATTCATTCAATATACTCTATATACATGTATGTGTAAAATTATATCGCAAGATAAAAATGTTGTTTTACTTATAATTTCTATATCAAATATAAACACCTGCTTTGCTCCTTTTAATGTTTGCAATCACATTGTTTTTACATCAAGGTGCCAAAACATTTACATTAGGGTGGCAATTGGAATAACTTAAGTATTTTCTTACATGTTTAAAAGGTATATGGATCATATTATGTATCATATAAAAAGTAAACCCCTTACCAACATGTGATAATCTTCATTGTCTACTAAAGGTTCACTGACAACAGCTTTAATGGAATTCATTGGAAGTTTCTCTGTTCTTTCTGAAATGTGGAAATATAACGAGTGTAAAATTGACATGTAGTGTAGTTCTACATCCACTCCTTTATGCTTAGTGTAACATTCGTAAACCTCTAAGATTTATTTACACGTAGGTGAGACACACACCGGCAATATCAGACCAGCGTAAAAATGCAGTTAATACCAGAGTCTAACCTGTATTATGTTCAGTTTTAAAGTGTAAAAGTTAGATACAAAAAGACAATGACAGCTAAAGTAAAGATGACATATGAGCTGCATCATGACAAAACCAACACAGTGGGTTTGCGAACAGCATGGATCTAGACCAGCCTGCGCATCCGCGCAGTCTGATCAGGATCCATGCTGTTCGCTATCAGTTTCTTTACTTGTAAGTGTCATGTTTGAGAACAGCATGAAGCCTAATCAGCTTGCAAAAATCGCCTGTCAGTCAGATGGTCACAAACCAATGTTGGTTGTCATGATGGTCAATAAATTATAATCTATATGTAGTGTTACTTCACCACTGACACAAGATACAGTAAGATAGTCCTATTTTGTTGATAATTGTCCAGCTATAAAAATACTCAGTTTATAAGTCAGATGTATAAACATTGCTCACATGACATCTTGTTGAGTAGGACAGTTTGTAAAATCAGACACTTGAAAGAATTGGACAATTTGTAGAATGTCACAATTGGTCGAAATTTATATTATGCTGAAACTTGTTGAAAATTAAAATTTTGTAAAAAAACAAATGAAAGACTAAATACAAGACAGGTAAAATTATATGACATTCTTTATCTACCATGTTTAAACACTCAGCTATATTGAATGCAATTCCAGGCAGAAAATCTATCCAATCTCTATTCTCAAAATTATTCATGATATTAAGCTGACTTTGTTTTTTGGGGATATGGGGATAAATTTACAGCGTTCATGTGGATTGTGAGTTTGTAGACTGTTAAGGCCAGTAGGCTCGAAATTCTACTGGCAAATCAGTTGAAAATGCTTTGTTTACAATTTCAAGTGTCATAGTGTAAAAACTTATGATCAATTGTTGAAGTCTCAGTAACAATATACTGACCAATCCGACCAATGTCATATTCCACAAACTGTTGTTATTGACGAGATGTCTTTTGATGAAATGACATGCACCGAGAAACATAAAGTACAAATTACCTTTAGTTCCAAGCCAAAGTTGATCTAGTTCTAGTTTAAATGTAAGTCTCACTTTACCACCGGCTTTATTATACATTCCTGTGAGAGGAAAATGTGGCAATGGTTCCTTTGAATTTTTAACTCCTGGAAGTGCATCATCAGGTTTACCATACTTATCTAACACTTTCTTATGTTGCTGCAATAATAAATAAAGTCAAACTGAGTATTACAATTTTACATTTTCTATCTAGTTTCTGTGGTAATTTTTGTTTTGTTTTAAGTGACATCGACACTATTTATGCTGATATAGGAAATTTATGTGCAACTTTACAAGTGAACGTGTCCATTTTTGCAAAACTTTAGACTCATGTGGACACCTGGATAGAAACACTATTTGCAATCTGTAAGGAATCTTACACTGTCAGCTATGTTCAAACCTAAAACTTTGAGTGACAAGTAATTCAAAGACAGGAAATCAACCAGTTAGTAGCAAATGCCTCTGGTATTACATATTCAACTCAATATAGATACTGGTCAACTACATTTTCAGATAAAAGGTAAAAGTATTACTTGGATATAAATATGTATATATACCATAAAACATCTCTGCTTTTGCTGACAGAAACATCATTGCAATACAACCAAACACCAACTTAAAACATTTGCTTTGCTACAGTCAATGTTGCATACTTATAGTTTGAGAAAGTCTGCAAATGCTGTACAGAAATTAATAGACTTTTGCCTGAAGCATGTGTAAGGAAACTGTTAACTGTTATATTATTGAAGTAATTTTTAAAACTCAATGTTGCATTAAAAAATTTTCTGAGACAGTTTGCTTTGAATTTGATGAGGTCATTTTTGGTTTTATACCATACAAAAATGAGTATTTACTCAATTTCAAGGCATCCTAAATGCATTTAAGCAGTTAATTTGGCCTCCAGTTGCCATGATTAAATTGAGGCTGAATTCAGCAACTAAAAACAGAAAAGCATTATATTGTTTACTTTTAAAGTACTGAGAGGTTCTTTCGATGTGGCAGCTTTTTCTTCCTCCTGTAGTTCTTTCGCTGTTGGAGTGTTTGTGACTTGTAAAACATCATTCATTGTTGAACCTACTACCATTACCTTGGCACCTTTGGTAACTTTCAGATCTCTTAATGTACTTTGATCTTTTGCTAAACCTGTTGTCAAAGTATTATATTACATGTATATAAATAAATATATGAATATATAATTGTGAATTCTAAAATGCAAAATGGTTAAAGCTAAAGCTGCATCCTTCAAAAGGAAAAATAAAATAGTTAGACAAATTGCTTTTGAGATATTTATTAAAAGCTATAAAACTAATGAACTAGAAGTTAATTTTTATACTGCTTTCTCGTAAAAACTCTAAGAAGAGGGACATACAACAAGCCCTTACTTATTCTAACACATATAACTAGGTTAAAATTGTTGAAATGAACAGAATTGATTAATAAACATATTTGGCATTTGAAATTTGAAACTAAAACAATCTTTATTTGATACACATTAGTACATGTAAAAAGTTAACTGAAATAAATCAAATCTCATTCACTAGGAAAACATCTGATTAAAAATATTTTTTTATTATTTTATTATACATGATGTATGTCAGAAAAATAACATACTATCAATATGTTCATTGAAATTTGGAAAAATAATCAATTCTAGTATATTTTACAAGAGCCTTACCTTTAAACATTATTTTCTGCATTGCTGATGGCACTCCTGTAAGGATCAAGAACAGTTTATAATACAAATTATTTTCTTTATATCCATGTACACAATCTCTCTTTTGCATTTTATATGCTTCATTTTCTTTCTGCTAAGACTTATTCTTATGAAGTATATATTTTAACCAGAAAAATGTATACAAAGAAAGTTACTAGTTGTTGTTAGTGTTTGGGAGACTTTTACAAAAAAGCTACTTTATGATTTGCAGCAAACACAAGACTGTTTTGATTGACTGACTGTAACAAATACACGATTGGTTTATTAACTTAAAAAATGTTCACTACAAATTCATAACTGAACAATGATTTAAACATTTAGGTAAGTGTCTAAAGAGATTTGAGCCGCGCCATGACAAAACCAACATAATGGGTTTGCGACCAGTATGGATCCAGACCAGCCTGTGCATCCACGCAGTCTGATCAGGATCCATGCTGTTCGCTTACAAACCCTATAACAAGTAGAGAAACTGATAGCGAGCAGCATGGATCCTGATCAGACTGCGCGGATGCACAGGCTGGTCTGGATCCATGCTGGTCGCAAACGCACTATGTTGGTTTTGTTGTGACGGGGCTCATTTGAAGACTTACACAGAATATTGAGTTAACAAATTGATGGTGTACATGTGTAGGACTGCAGGCATAAACTGTTAAAAATATTCTCTAGTTATTTAGTCAAACAAGCTGTTAGAGGTAATGGTTCCCATAAATGACCTACTATGGCTGAGAAGATTTCTTGTGCAAAGGTCAGGGGTGAGTAAGACTGCTCAATTATTCTCTTGAAACAGCTAAAAATCAACCCTGCAACACACAGTTATTTACTTACCTGTAAATATCATATCAAAAATTCAGCACTTTTTACCTATATTTACCTGTTAGACTTTGTATATGACTTTTTAAATCCAACACTGTTTTATCCATAGGAAATGTCAAATCATATTTCTGTTTATTATAAATCACTTTAAATGTTACTGTTTCACTACTGACACTATCACAATTTTCTGCAAATAAACAAACAAATCCATTATTAAAGTGTTTCTTGAAAATAAAGCAAGAAAAATAAATAAGTAGACAATTCTCTTAGCAATGAAGACATAAATTTTTACGACTGGTTACTTTGTGGAAAAATCTGTTTATATCTGATATCAAATAAATCTATTATTTAGACAGAACCACCAATCTTCTGTAAGCTAGCTGGACAGCTTCAGAATCCAAAGTCCCTGTAGGGATTCAAACCCACAATAGTGAGGGTCAAGTGGTTTGAAGTCAACAAGGGTAACCACTTGCCCATGGATGCCCCTCTTGGTCTTGAAAACCTGCTATTACTATTCAGCTGCTAAGCATTGCCAAAACTACTGTGAATCTCCTTAAACATCTGTGTTCCATGCTAAAAAAATACTCTTCATAGTTCAGTACCTGTTTGAGCTGATTCTTTCTCATCACCACCTGGGTCTGAAACTGGTTTATCTGTTGTGGCAAGTTTTTCATTGTCTGTAGATTCTATAGGTTTATCCTCTTGTTTTACATCTGTTTTTTCTCCAGATCCATTGTTCTGTGTATCACATCCCTCTGCCTCACACTTTTCACTACTCACAATATTCTCGGACATTTCTTCTACAAGGCAAACACAAGAATATCAGTAATGTTCATGGATAATTCCAGAGGTTGTATTGAAAAGGCTCACGTCATGTTCTCATTGCCAGAACAATCTATTTGACCTAGATCCTATCAACTTGAAACTCTCTCCAAGGGGTAAGATCTTAAAAATTTATAAATCAATTCAATCATATATCTAACAAATCAGCGTTTTCTCTAACACAAGTTTTCTGTATTCCTAACACAAGTTTTGGTCCCATGACTGCCATTTTACAGTCATAGTGCATCCCAAGGATCCTCAAAACTCACCAGCCATTTTATAAGAAATTTCCATTCTATTAGTATTAAGGTAATTTGGGCAAATGTCAACCATTACAAGACATTTGAGGGGGCAAATGTCTGTCATAGCAATTTAAGGGAGCAGACATCCTAGCATCATTGTTTTACTACTGCAATATTTCAATAGTGATATTGAAATTATGTTTAAACTTTCTCAAAGTGAGTGCTGGATCAATGCTCAGCATAGACCAATGCTCAGCGCAAACATAATGGTTTGAAAAATGTCTTACTAAATAAAGCATTTTAAGACTTGAAACACATTTGACTTTCACTTTATTATATAAGTCCTTTCATCTGAAATTTTACGGCTCACTAGACTTCCTGTTTGGTCATGTGTCTCTACCATAGCAGACAAAATGAGAGTAACTCAAATAAAACAACATTCAGGCACAGCTTTAAGAGAATTTACAATATCATTTTAACAATTTTTTACATTTGTCAGTGAATTTTTTCTTTAAATTGTGAATGGGTCCAGTACCATGACATTTGTCAAAAAAAAATCCAAATTGTGAATTTTTTTCTTAAAAATGAAAATTTATATAGACCTTTATCATCAGTACATGGAATTATCCAAATGACCCTTTTTCAGATATTTCATCAAGAATTTACTGCTCTTTGAGGGCTCCTGTCCCTAGATTTGCCACTTAAATGCCACCCTTTTCAATGGTGGAGTATTTAGACAATTTTCCACCAATAATGCCACCAAAACGCCACCCAAATCATGAAAATGGTGAAAAATTTGAGCAGGACTGATGGTATATAATTTTCCAGTTAATTCCACCTTTTTTACACTTAATGCCACCAATGAGTGGAAAGTTGGTGGAGTATTTAGACAAACTTTCACCATTATGCCACCTTAGGGTGGCAAACTCATTTTCCACTACATGCCACTTGTTTCCACTAATTGCCACCATCATGGTGGAAAGATGGTGGAGTATTTAGACAAATTTCCACCATTATGCCACCATTGAGTGGCAAACTCATTTTCCACCAAATGCCACTTATTTCCACCTTTTGCCACCATTAGGGTGGAAAGTTGGTGGAGTATTTAGACACTTTTCCACCATTTTTCCACCACAAAGTGGCAAATTCAGTTTCCACTAAATGCCACCTATTTTCACCCTTTCAGAAATTTTCCACCTTGTGGGTGGCAATAGCTGGAAACTGCTTAAAAGTCACCCTGTACCCTAAAAGAGAAACAAACAAATTTTAAAAATAATCCTTTTTAATGTCTCCATATGAAATAATTGTATCAAAAAATAGCAACACATTAGTCCATTTATTATCTTCAGTTTATCTTTCTATTCCTGGACGGTTTGAGGAGGTGCAGAATCACCCTATGGATCTCAGTCCTTTGGGTTGTCAGCCACTTTTCCAGCGCACAATCTAAAACAAAAACATATTATGAATAATTATTACAATAATGGAAAACATTAGCTTATATTAATTTTTTACATGACTATTGGATATTTCTATATTCAAGTTGAGTGCATAGATATGATTAAAACCTTAACAAAACAGCATTGCAGATGTGGAAGAATCAAACTTTTCTTATTTATTAATACTCCAAGGCAGAAAATATACGCAGAATCAAAAATGATATTTTCATTCAGTTCATTAGTTACCTTTTTCAAGAACTTGAGTTTTGCCTTGTCTGCACAAGCGGGTCTGGCGTCAGACTCTCTGTTCCATTTTCTCATACCAAACAATGAGCCGCCTTTAATCTCCTCTATATTGAATAGCATTCTGAAGAGCCTTGTTGTACCTTTCTCATGTGAGGCATAGTGCCTCAGTTCTGCCATCACTTGGTCCTAAAATATAATTATCAATATCCAATAAGTAAAGACAGAAAATGAAACATGGTATATGTATACAACTCCAAAATTTTAAAATAAGAAAGAAATTAAGAAATACAACACGTCAACATCAGTGCAGGTTAAGTAATTTAATAATCTTCCAGTTTCAGTTCTTAACGAACCTTCATCAGGATAAATATTTGACAAAATTTTCAAACTTAGGTGTACAAAAACTCTAAAATTTGTAAAACTAAATGTAAATGCAAATTAAAGTGTCATAAAGAGTTTGAATAAAAGTAGGTTTGTAAATAGTGCATAATAGCTATATTTATGAAGAACTGAAAAGTGTCTTATTGGGTACTGTGACACTTCTTTCCTATCAATTCTAAAATAACTTTGAATTAACAAGATACTTTGTAAAGCCACTGAAGAACAAGTATGTTGCTACAGGCTGCTCCTCATTGCTTTGTGTCTGCAAAAGAATAATTCTTATTTAATGCTGTTTCTGTTATGAACTGTCATTCTCCTAACAGCTTGTTACTCTAGACTGTCTAGTTATGGTTTATAATATATCTACTGCACTATGAAAGCTGAATTACAACAATGAAGGAATGAAGCTTACTATTAAAACAGTTACTGTTGATCTGCTTCACATGTGACACACAAGGAAATATGTTTATCGCATGAAAGTTGTAGTAATAGGTACCTGGTTATCTATAGTTTGATTGATGATAAATTGTACATATTAATGATATTGTACTTACTGATTAATTTCTATAATTATTTTCTCAAACATACTGTATTTATGAAATGATGAAGCTCTTCCTACATTCTTTGCATTCCTACATTTTTTATAATATATGTAAATTCAGCTTTCTTTTTTTAGTCCAGTTACAACCATAACAAATTTAAAACATAATTTTATACAATACCACTTCATATTTTTACTGTTAAAAAACTTAATAGTTTCTGCAAAAATAATAATAAATGTTATATGTAAAAGTTGCTTACCTGAAACTTTGACTTGGAATGATTCTGCTGTTTATCTCCTTGTCTAATGTTATAATCTACACATTCACACTTCAGTTAAAACTTCTCATTTCTATTTGCCACACTAATAAGACTTTTAATGTATTCTTTGAGAAATCAAAAATATGCACCCTTACATTTTAAACAAAATAATATCTCCAGAATTGCTACAATACCAATCATTTCCTTTGTGTTTGCAAGCTTTAACTGACCTCAATTCCTTTGAATTCAAACTTTACTAACGTACAACTGGAAAATTCCATTATAATTTTAAACTGTGAGGGATTATTCAAAAACCATAGCACCCATCATTTTATTTTTACATTCATTTGAATGTATAAACTATGTCTAATACCTAAATAGATTGAGTAGAAATAAGTTTTTGAAAGATAATTTAGCATGCTATTTTAACACAGATTCTACATATAACATGTATAATGTTGCCTCTCCCAAAATAATCAAATGGAACAGTCTGGTCAGCTTGAGTAAACTATTAACCCCCATGCAGAGATTACTAGATAAGAGGGCAGTAGTTTTATCAGATCTGTGTTGTATGCCTTGTTGTTAAATCTTAGAGGATGCAGTATTTACTAGCTAGTATTTACTTATCCTGATTATAAGAAATTATCAGGAATTATTAGCTATTTACTTTTCACACAATTATTTTTACAATAGATTTAAAGCCTCTGAAAGGCATACTATATTGTGTATGTATAATAAGCAAGCACAGTGCTTCATTATCTTGAAGGCTGATCTATTTTTATGTATATTTATTAAATAGCATTTAAATATTATTGTTAACAAGTTTGATTCATGTTTGTTTCTTCTTTAAAATACATAACTCTCTCCTGCAAAGTTATGGAGTTATTGCCCTTTGTAAGTTTTAATCTGCAAAGCATAGTACAAAAAATGTTTGATACAATAATTTTAAACTCCACATATAACTAAATCTCATTGATGAGAAGTACAAGGCCTAGGAACCATAACTCTTTATTGCATGATTTGGGGTTTATTGCCATTTTGTACTTCTCCATGCTTAATTTTTGTTCTGAAAGTTACAAGCTTAAAAAGTATTGGAGATATTAATTTGAAACTTCACAGATATAGATCTTTGTGAGTCATGTGCTGTGTTTAAGAACCATAACTCTTTTGCATACTTTTGGAGTTATTGCCCTTTGCATTTTTCACTTTAATTATTGTAAGCATTGCATGAAAAGTGTAAGTTAACTCACCAGATATCAGTTTAAAATAATATTAAAGAGACCAATCTTAATTAGAAGAAAAGACCAAAGTCAAACTTTATTCAAGATTGACATTAAATATCATAGCAGATTTCAACAACAAACTTTATGCAGAAAAATGCATTTTCTGGTCATTGAAGAACATTTCAACTATTTAATGTACAGATTGCAACTAAAAAAGCTAAGTACACTTTTACAGCCGTAATTTTATTTTACAAGCATAGAATGGAACATAGCATTTTTGACTTAAAGTCAAACTTTACATCCCTAAAGAAAAGTACTGAAAAAAAGGAAGAAAAAATGGAAAATAAAGTAACCCCATACTTTTCTAATTTTTCTTGCTCTTAATTAATTATGTGTGTTTTACGCCTTGAAAAGTGATTTTAAGTCCAATTTCAGTGTCTTTTCCTGCTACTTTACAGCTGGAATTATCATACCATTATGGGCAGTGATTTTGTATCAGAATTGTGTTCATGGCATTCTAGTATTGCATATAAAAGATTTTTAAGAAATACGAGTTTCTGATAAATTTTCAAACTGTTCAACTTTAATTTATTCTATTTTTGATAAAAAGTTCACTTGATGCTTTGATAAAACCTAGAAACAGATTTATTTCAGTTTGGAGCTTTAACTTAAATAAATCTTTTAAACCCTGCAATGCACAATCATTTCTCAGTTTTCCCTTTCCCTTTTCGACTAAAAGTTATTCACAAAATTTTAAGTTTTTTTCCACTAATTTGCCACCCAGAAAATAGTTAGAGTTTCACTTTTCCACTAAAAGCCACTCATTTTCCACCTTCAAAATAAACTAAGTTTCATTTTTCACCAATTTCCACCTTTTTGCCACCATGAAAAAAGTCTATGTTCAAATTTCCACTCAATGCCACCTATTTGCCACCAAAGGATAGTGGCGTTTGGTGGTAATTTTGCCACTGATTACAATTCTGCCAAGGGAGATAATCACAGTGAGGAGTTTGTGTATATCTATATCAGAATTGTTTGCAATGTACAACTTGATCAGAATATGATCTCAAAATTTGATCAGTTCACTGAAAAATGGATTCATTATTTGGTAACCATACAACTGAAAGACAAATCTGAATTCATTCAGCTTGAATAATCTTTGTCCACAAAGTTTAAATTATCAGAAATAGGCCCTACTGCCGCAAAATTCCCATTAATCTGGGTTTTATCTTATTGAAAGACCCTGGTTTACCACTTTGGGCATTTTCTCAATTAAACTGTAATAAAACAAATTTGTGAATCAAAGTGGAAGCAATTCAACTTTCGGTTTGAATATCGGCAGTAAGATGATGTTTAAATTTTTAACAATATATCAACACAAAGACAATTGAGACTTTTATCACTTATATTAGAAAAAATCAGGAAAAAGATAAAATTGTAAGATTAATTTATGAAGATTGTGATTTTTTGCAGAATTATGAATGGGTCAGCTCTGCCCTAGAACGTACTTAGCCCTATTCCAACTTGGCACGGGTCAACTCCGCCCACTTTTCAATTTATTTATAGATTGGTTTGTTTGACCACTCTTTATTGTTGGAACTTGGAACCCCATATTTATATATGGACTTATTTGCAAATGTGGAAAGATGTTTTCATACATTTTTATTAACCGATACATTTAATTGGTAATGAGAGTTTTCAATGATTTTGGTAATAAAAACTTATTACAATCCATGCTTGTGACATTGCAAAATACATTGAATGTTAATAAATGCATTACATGTGATGTTTTATATATATATATATATATATGTAAGATAAAGAACATTAAAATATTTTATATAATGAGTAAACGCGTTTTTATTTCATATTTTATTGAAGATTACTTTACAAACAAAAAGCATCAAAGGGAACTCTTTATTTTTAAAGTGGGCAGAGTTGACCTGTGCCGAGTTGGTATAGGGCTGAGTTGACTCTTTACAAAAATGAGTCCGTTATTCCGTGCCACTTATATAAGGAAAAAATCATTGATTGCACATGAACAGACACATGAATATACTTTCATTCAATATGTTAACGTCAATTATTGTTTTTTCATAACATCTGTTAAAATTTTACAACAAATAAAATTTTTTGATACAGCAGAAACTGAATGATCTATACTGTATATTTTTTTAAAAATTATTTGGGTCCTGATTTACAATTGATAACTAATTATACTTTAGTGTCCGATGACATATTACAAATAACTTAATTTCACTTGCATAACATATTTTAAGTTAAAAAATCTCTAAAAGGATTAAATATCCGCATTAATACAAAGCACGCAAATATGAATTAGTCAGCTGATTTTGCGGTTCATGCGGTTTCGATTTAGCAGAATTATCTATGCCGCCTAGAATTTGCCAACTTTGTCTAAATTACAACGTTTCCATTATCAATAATTGATATTGTTAAAAGGCACTGTAACAAAGTAAAACAGTGATTATTTTAACTTTCTTTGAGTTAAAACAACGTTGATTTTACACGTAACACGAGAAACGAACCTTTTGACGCCATTTTGAATGTTGACAAAGGCTATTTTTATCTTCTTGCAAAGAGAGTGCGCAAATTGCGCTTATGAGGCTATAGAGTACTAAATACAGGGTAAATGTATAGAACCTGTATTAGTAGATTAACGACTTTAATGTGGTTTCATTACGATTGGGATCATCAGAAATATCTGGCTTAAAAAGCACAAAAATATATTTTCATACTTGACTAAGTTATATTTCCTTTGAAATTTCTTATTACATGTATGATTAATATGTGCGTCAATTGGTATGTATACATGTACACGTTTATCATATACGTACCCGTGCCGCTTTTGCGACTTAGTAAAATGGTATAGGTACGTTGCATGTAATTGTTAAGAAATCTGTTAATAGTAAGATTTGCTGATAAGACATGCAGGTAACCTTTCAATGGTTGGCAAAAATATGGCTACTCATAAAATGCAAAACATAGTAATTTTATATTGAAATAACAAAGTTTTCTTTTCTGAAACAGTTTAATATCTAATAAATTATATCATAAGAAAGATCAATAAACTCTAATTTTACACATTAAAACAAATATTTTCAAAACATTTTCCCTTTTCCTTGGTAAAGGTTTATACCCGTGCTATTAAACTTTAAAATACAGTTGAAAAATAGTCAACCTTATATTTTTTATGGACAAAAAATGAAAATACGCTATATTTAAAAAATATTAATTAAACGAACTTTCAAAGAATGTTACAATCTAAAAATTGACTCACAAATACAATTTACTTTAATTTAAAATTCCAACTGCTATATAATCACGGAATTTAATTACATTATTAAAGTTCGTGATATAATGTATATCAATATTGACTCCTTTTGCCAATTATCAGTAAATCTGCTTAATTCTGGTAGCATGTGCTTGTTATGTTATCAGTCAACTTATCTATTGCACTGACATGCATGTATTTTGACTAGGTGTGACACAAACATAGCGGAAAGACACCCTAAAGAGGCTCGCATAATACAATTCTTCTTCAATTCGGTCAATAAATTCAGTTTGAAACCAGCATTTTTTCAATATCCTCTACACATAGATATCAATTTTGCACCGGGGTGATTAAACTTTGATCCTTTTTAATTCCATATTATATGGATGTCTATTTCAAATTTGAACTTATCGCGTAAGCATATAAAAATTTAATAATATTAAGTGCCCATGACGTTATATGCACAAGTTTAACTATTTTCCCGTCAGTCATGTCAATAACAAACTTATACAGTCTGTGGTTTTCAACAGTTGTTGTTTTTTACGGCTTTCGAGGGAACGTCCTTCACGTCAGTTCCCGCCACATTCTACACTTTTAAGGATTCAAATGAAATCTGTTGGTGCCGCCCTCCGCATCCAGACTGCATAGACTAACGGTTTGCTCTGCATTGAGCCCTGTCCTATTTTTGAGTTGGGTCCTCCTGGGCTCCTTGCAACTGGTTCTTGTTTCCGGGTCGTGTGGTTGCTTTCAGTGAACGCCACTTTTCCTTGTTGATCTTGTCTATCCTATTTTATGCTCACAGCGGAGTTGTTTGTGCCGTGTGGCGGCTGTAAAAAATCTCTCCGTACATGCAATCAATGTTGTTATATTAACATCCTCAAGCGATTGTTCGACGTTCGGTGTTGGTAACCCCCTCTGTTTTCAGCCTGCATAGGCTAATGGTTTGCTCTGTTTGCTCTGTCCTACTTTTTTTTTTTGGGGGGGGGGGGGTTCTCCTGGGCCCAATGCCACTGGTTCTTGTTGCTGGGTCATGTGGGGGTTGCGTTCAGTGAACGCCGCCTTTCCTTGTTGATCTTGTCTATCATATCTGATCTATAGATCTAGTGAACGGTGAGATAAGGATACACATATTCTAATATTGATTACATGAAATGTGAGCTCTGTTAGAAGTGAACAGTACATATTTGCCTTTTAATTTGATGAAGACTTTCATCGGTATCTGTGAATATTTATATTTTATCAAAAGCAATCCAAATATTTTTAAAACGCCTACGAAAATAGATAAGGAAACAATAGTAAAAAATTCCTGTTCATGCTAATGATTTAAATTTTTCTGATTTATTTACTCATTTTAAAGAATTATATAGCGTGGTAACGAATGACAGAGATCAAGTTACGAATCCAATATATACACAACAGACAATTGTTACATAATAACACTATTATTAATGAAAGAGGGCGAATTCTCCGTTTCCGCAATGGAGATCAAGGAGCATGTAGTTAAAAATCTTTTTTTGCAAAATATCTCCGTTGTGCGAACAAAGTTCCCATTTTGAACCAATTTATTATATATTATTATTACTAATAAACTTAAACTTATACTGATTCAATTAAATTATTTAAAACCTACATTATTCTGGTCCTGAAAAAACTAAAATATAAAACCATTACGCCAAAAATGTATCCATTTCCCCGTCATGTAATCCTTTTTTTCAATATATTCCAAAATAAAGGAAAGTAAAAAGGCTATTACTTATTTTTCTCAATTTGAATTATTTATTTCACGATTTTAAGTTATCTTTAAATATTAGATCTACTCAATATGTCAATTTTTATTTTCCATTGCGCCAAAATTATGTCCATTTCGCCATCCATTTAGAATCTGATATATAAGTATTCTACCTAATTAATCAGACATGTACATTGTATGTTAAAAATATTACCAATACCAACTTTTTATATAGCGATTTTTTTTTGTTTTAGAGATAAAACAGTAAATTGTTTGCTATTTTTTTTTCTTTTTTAAATCTCTGTTTTGCAAAGAATCATCAACGCAACGGAGTTATGAAAGGTATTACAACTATGCAATGAATGCTTATAATATTAAAAAATATTTTAGTTGATTCTGTTATTTCAAAATATGACTTTATTTACCTTATACTAATGCAAACTCAATAAAATGTACATTGTTTGCTAGTTTAAAAATAATAAATTTCCATTTCGCAAAATTTCTTCTATGCAAAGGAGTTATGAAAGGTAGTACAACCATACAATGAATGCTTAATTGCTTATGATAAAAATATTTTTAGTTGATTCTGTAATTTCAAATATGACTTTAATATTTAGCATATACGAATGCAAATTCAATAAAAAGGTACATTGTTTGCTAGTTTTGTAAAAAAATCTCCGTTGCGCAAAAAATCATTGGCGCAACGGAGATATGAACGGTATAACAACAATACAATGCTTATAATAAATAAAATATTGCTTTTAGATGATTTCTATAATTTCAAAATATTACTTTATTCATTACATACTATTGCAAATTTTAACAAAATGCATTGCTAATCGTATTTTATTGTAATACTTTAAATCTTGCACTCTGTTCAGGCCTCGACATTAGCGGTTATCCGTTGGTTCGAGACCACCTGATTTTGGCAAGGACCACCTTATTTTATAAGCCACTGGTCCGTCGGACCACTTGAATTTTATGACAGTGCTATGCTCATTTTGGAGATTGGCGATTTGATAAAAAAAGAGTTATATATTTGGTGTTTAAAATCATTTGTCCGATGTACATGCATATAGTTAATTAATCTCTGATTTGTTAATAAATTCTTAAGTCATCAGTAACTTTCATGTTATCTCGCTAAAATTGTGTTTATTCAAACTAAAAGAGTAAAGAATTTTTTATATTAATTTAGGTAATAAAAATCATTAAAATGATGCTAGTACTGCATCAGTTTCTTCAATTATGATATTGTATGGGATATCGGATAAACTTTTCAGTTCAGATACTTGTATAGTGGCATTAATCGAAAGGAAAAAAAATTAGTAATTCTTGGCTTCTTATCTTTATTTTAAAAATAAGAGATCCATTTCTTTCACAGTTAAAATTACTTTAAAAGGTTAAAAATGCTTCATATCAAAAATGAATATCAACAAACAAACAACAGGGAGGTAAAACTTCTGTATTATAAATCTGTCATAAAAAATACAAAAAAATACACCAAACTATAGTTAACATGCATATAATGTTGATATAATTTTCTATCCTTAAGACATTTCACAAAGACAATAATAAGATAATTTAATAGTTTTATTAAAATGTTAATCTATAAAAGATAATTATTATAAGATGTACCAGGTAATGAATATTTGAATAACAGTAAGAAAATATGGCAGACACAAACGGTTTATAACTATTCCCTAACTTTAGCGAAAAGTTTAACATAAATATATTTTTAATGAGATAAAAAGCAAAAAACAAATAACTTTACAATAGAATACCTACTGACTAGCTTTCCTTATTTTCTGATTAGATGAAAATATATATATGTCTATAAAAATCTGATTTCTTTAGTTGTTAATAATGCATCTCTGTCTCCAATTTTAAGCATACTTTTTTCTAAATCTGCAGTTATTTTTATAAAAAAAGAGTAAAAGAGTTCATAAACAATAAATTAAAACAATTGACCACCTGACTTACAGAAGGACCATCTAGTGGTCCGGCTTAACGCCTGCTAAAAAAAGTAAGTGTCGAGGTCTGCCTTTGCCATTGCGTATTTTAGTGGTACCGTATACTTTGTGGCGTTCAACCTAGGAATATACCGTTTATCGGATACCGAATACTGGAAATAGTTACTTTTATTGCGTTTGGAGAGAAAATGGCAAATGTTGCCGACAATGAACTGAATTTTCTTCCATACATTTATGATATAATTAAATGGTAAGATTAATAAAGTAAAATTAAAGGTTGTTAAAAATCCATAGTTGTTAGTCCGATACTTGTTAAATGATGTCGTCCTTTTATGTTTGAAATCCTTGCCAATTCGTCCCGTTTCCCATTCGCAAACAGGACGTTTCGCCCCGAAAGCAAAAATAAGCACAAATACAAAACTCGGCCCTATGACGGTTCAAGCTATTTTCGCGAGACGTTTCGTAAATAAAGACTATTTAGTATTATTATTTACTTGCATCATCATCATGTCATTGAATGTAATTAAATGAATGTATTGGTAGCAAATTATCGTGACCAGAAAGATACCAGAATATGACAAGAATACCAAATATGAACATTATTTTGATACTCTATACATGTATATTAAAAAAAACAATACTTTTTAAATACTATTTATACTTTATTTTTTCAAGTCACAAATATTCACTAAGGTAGGATGGTCCCCTATGGTACCACTGTTCTTATTATTTCCAGCAAATTGTATAAATAAAAAGAACTTGAATTTACTATTTTATTAAATTGTGTTTAAGTGTCGTATCTTGACTTTAAAATACACTTGTCATTCATAGAATAACTCAATGATTTAAAATAGAATCATCTACAGTTAGTTCGCCATGTTTTGAATGGGAGCTTAAACAGAGAGCACTATGGTACCGTGGTATGTAAATTGATGGCCCTTTTTGACTTTAGTATATTTTTTTTTCAACAGAATATGACGTCACTACAGTTTCAGCAGACGACCTTCACTTGTCGGAACATGAAATTATCAGTTTAACTGACAAATATGGGGTAAATAAAGAAGTATTTTCAACACATGCGGGCAGCTTTGGATTTTTTTATCAATGACAGAAATTTATTTGAAATGAAAATATTTTTAACAATTTCTATCCAAATTAAAAAAGGTACACTTCCAGTTTCACTTTCATGGTGGAAACAGTATTTGGTGGCATTCAGTGGGTAAAGACACAAATTTTCTGCTTACACCGGAATAGGAAAAGACGCGGTACCTGCGGGGAGTACTATACATGTTAATGATAATGTAAATATTTGACCCTACGCCAAAATTTTATGAAAATGATATTCATATTCGGTGTTCTCTTCATATTCGCGAATGTGAATTCATATTTGGGATCTAGTCATACCAGGCCAGACTTATGATTGGTTAAAAAAGCTTTAATTGTTGCAAATTCTTGGCCTCACCCTTCTCGGCTACATTTCAAACTATTAAACCCATGCACCATTTTTACTCTATTTTGAAAAGATTAGGTCATCTTTAAATCATGGTAAATGATAACTTAATGGTGTTACACTCTAGTTTTTTTCATGTTTCAGTTAGAATAACTGTTAAACTTTTGGAAAAAGACATCTCCTTTCCAAAATTATCTTGATGTGTCTTTGACAAGTCTAATTAGTTAAACTAACACCAGACCATTCCTTGACTTTATCTCTTTATTTCATGATATTTTTATTTTTTTTTGAAACTGTATTTTGTCAACAAAACCAAGTGAAAATTATAACACTTTCCGAACATTAAGGCTTGAAGATGTGTGAAAATGGCAACACTGCGAGTTGATGGTGTTCAAGGGGGTTGTCTTTAAATTAAGACTTGTTGCTGTATTAATTGTTTGTTTGTTTTTAAATTGTAATTTGTATGAAAGAGTCTTTGTTATTATTTTGTCATATTTTCATCATGTCTTCAAACTGTTATTTAAGCCTTTGCAAAAATGTGATTATTTTCACTTATGAACTTCTATTTTATGTATACTGGCATGCAAGCAGTTCCCGTACAAAAATCGTAGTTACTTAAACATTATTTTTTTATTACGCTCACTCACCAAAATTTAAATGTTACACATCAATATTCGGCTCGTCACACAAATCATGGAAATTCCATCATGTTCTTAACATAGAATAACCCTTAGTTATGAGGCCTCATATGGGGTACCAAAATTATCCATTATTTTGTATGAAGAGAAGTAGTTCCCGTACATAAAATTTAACCCATTATAATTATACAATTTTATTATATCAGACCTATTTTTCAATTATAATTGTTGAACAGACCATTTTCTAAGAGATAAATAGATGTAATTCAGGAAATAGAGCGTAGACTAAACGCTGGTATCTATTACCCGGTACCGTTACCCCAACGCATTCTCATACAATGGCATGCTTGTATGCATGGTATTTTACGCATGAAAGCCATAAAATTATTTTATATAGTAATATTGGTCAAAATTCTGATAATTAAACATGTTTTTATCACATTGCCTTCTTATCTGTAAACAGGTGGTATTAGTGGAAAACCCTTTAACATGCCTCACGTGTAAGTATGTTTGCGCATGCGCGCAAGGACGGAATCCCTCAGATAAAACAAGGTCACGTTTTGACAACGCACAGGTGAAAGTGATTTAAAATGAGACTTTTTATACGTACTGCCGAACTGACACTTACATTTTGTCTCGTTTATGTATCTGCTTGATTTGAAATGAATTTTTGAAGAATGCATGTAAAAATCAAGCGTTTAAATGAAAAATACGGGTACTGCTTCTGTACGGGAACTGCTCGCATGCCAGTATATTTAAAATAGAAAGTAAGGGTTTATTTGTTTTCTACTTAAAACTTAAAAGATCAACTCAGAATCTTGACCGTTGAAACATTTTTAAAATTACATCTCAAGGCTGGCAAAAATGGTTAAATCCTACAAAAAGAAAACTAAATACAGTACTACCAGTATTACTTTGCATGATTCAATTATTTATGAACTGACCTAAAGCTGGTCATGCAGTTGGCCCAGTGATTAGGGCTAAGGCTCATGATTTAAAGCATTAGCTTGCAGTGTCAGGGCCCAAAAAAACCCTTCTTTGTAGAGGCCGAATATAAGCTGTTTCCCCAACCAAACTAGCCTTTTTCCCCCCCAGTTTGGTCCTCAAAATTCCCCAGTTTTTTTAAATTTCCCATAGAATTTAGGACAAAATTAAATGATGGTGTTGAATTAAGGTCTTTTACTGCCTTATTAGTATTTCCCAGTGCTGTTTGCTTTTCTATTTTGAAGAGCTTGTTAAAAGTTTGTGTTAAATTTGAGAACCCTTTTCCCAAAGTATGCCAAAATCACGCATATTTCCCCAATAAAAAGGCTGAGGCCACTTCCCCAAAAATGGTGTTTTGACCCTGAGTGTTTTTTTTCCACCAAAATATTTGGCAAAATTCGGCCCCATTCCCCCCTCAAAAAAGTTCCCCCCCCCCTCCTCAAAGCCGAAATTTTTCCCCATACGGCAACCCAAATTTACCACAATGAATATTTTTTTTGCAGCTAATTCCTGAAAATGTTTTATTTTATATGATGGTTTTACCAAAGTTTTTTTAATTTTCAGTATAGAGAGAGACTCACGTGATGTTAATCAGAAGATGCTCGATTTTCGTAACCAGCTTTTGAAAGCTCGAGAATGTGTTGAGAAGATGCCAGGTATTCAGTACAGTAGACAAGATCAGCTGAAACAAATTGATATATTACAACAACAACTTACCACAAAAACCCAGCTTATACATAAATACAAGTCCATGCATACATTTGATCTCGCTGGACAAACACCTATGCAGCAATAGTTGACATTGAGTATTTTGTGCAAAAGTAGTTTTTGTTTTATGTAAACAGTCTTTGAACATATTCTTTGTGGGCTTAGAAAGAAAAAACAAATTAACAAAACAACAAATAGTGTATCTCACAGAGGAGTTTTAAACTTACATGATATTTAGATTTCTTTGTATGGACATAACTTTGTATGTAATTCTAAGTTAAGGATAATCAGGAGTGTTGAGCAATGGAAGAAGAAAGCGATATTCACCCAATATTCACAAAAGACCCAGAGGAATGGATGCAGTATGTATATAAGAAGGTATGCACTTTTACCTTTATAATTAACATGTCTATTAATAATAATAATTAAATAGCAGATTTAGGGAGTTATTACTTTTTCTTTAGACTTTTTTTATTGGAATTATTAAATATTATGATAAAATGCCATAGAGTGAAACAATAAAGTAACCAGTAAAACTAACAACAGTGTACTTGTTATACAAACTGTTCTAAATTTGTAGAACTTGTGTACTTGTTATATTGTATAATATATAAACTTTTTCCAGTTTATTGTATGAGTAATTATAATAATAAAGTAGAAATAATATAGAAGGTTACTTCTCAAATTATCAATATTTTATACAGGAACCTCCTTAGTCCTTTCTAATCATCAATTTATGTATAATCTAAATAAATGTAAATACTTTTTAGTATAATGATAATATTTTCTGGATCCCAACATTATAGATATATAATATGTGTTTTGTTTGATATATTGCAGGTGAGTATTTTATTAGATGATGGAGCTGAATGCTGCGGTTATGTGTACACGATAGATCCCGTCTCCGAGACTTTTGTTCTAGTTAACTTCTCCAACGATAAAACCAGTCTACAACTTGTCCTCAAACATGCTGTTACATCTATAACTGTCCTTAGTGAAGATGTTGAACTGTATAAACAAAAACTGGATAACTTGTTCAGGTTTAAAAGTCAGGAGAGTCTATCAGAAGAAGATTTGAAACGGAGACAGAATATTGTTAAATCCTGGTTGTTGAAAAACAGGCTACCAGTAGAGATAAACGGAGAGTTGTTAAATGTTGCCGAAGCTCTGGTGATACAGCCACCATATGGATCAGAAAACTGTGTCAGTACCAATGAAATTATCCTCGGGAAAATTCAGGGACTGATTAAAAACATGCCTGCTGATCAAGATGAATGGTAAACAGATAATAAAAACATTCTCATTCAATGATGTACAAAAGTCTTACTGTATTATTCAGTGATGTACAAAAGTCTTACTGTGTTATTCACTGATGTACAAAAGTCTTACTATGTTATTCACTGATGTACAAAAGTCTTACTATGTTATTCACTGATGTACAAAAGTCTTACTGTGCTATTCACTGATGTACAAAAGTCTTACTGTGTTATTCACTGATGTACAAAAGTCTTACTGTGTTCTTCACTGATGTACAAAAGTCTTACTGTATTATTCACTGATGTACAAAAGTCTTACTGTGTTATTAATTCATTGATGTACAAAAGACTTACTGTATTATTCACTGATGTACAAAAGCCTTACTGTATTATTCACTGATGTACAAAAGTCTTACTGTATTATTCACTGATGTACAAAAGTCTATTTGTTATATTCAATGATGTACAAAAGACTTACAATGTATTATTCAATGATGTACAAAAGACTTACTGTATTAGTCACTGATGTACAAAAGTCTTACTGTATTATTCACTGATGTACAAAAGACTTACACTGTATTATTCAATGATGTACAAAAGACTTACTGTATTATTCACTGATTATACAAAAGTCTTACTGTATTATTCACTGATTATACAAAAGTCTTACTGTATTATTCACTGATGTACAAAAGTCTTATTGTTTAATTCAATGATGTACAAAAGACTTACTGTATATCTCTGTATAACAGAATACAAATAGGTTGAACTCAATAATGTTGGAAAAGAAGTGTTGTTGTATTATTTTCAGTTTGTCATTTTGAATATTCAATACGGCTAGCATGTCTGATTTGGTATATATAAAATAAAATCATGTACATGTACCTTTTTGATGGTATCGTTGACATACATGTAAAAGACAAGAATTCTGTCTAAATTTCTTTTTTTTAATATAAAAGTAAGATGATTTTAGTCAGGAAATTTTATCATATTGCAAGATTTTTACCTTTGCTATCAATAAAACTTATTAGATTTGACAGATTTACTTTTCCTACAGTAAAGCAAATGCATTATAGAAATAGTCACTACAATTATTTCAAGTATTTGACAGGGAAAATGGAAATGCTGTACATACAAATAAGAAAAAAAATTCTTGTTTAACATTTTAATTGATGTAAGTTTATATTTTGTCATTTTAATTTCATTGCTAATGCATGTGTATTTTAACAGTTTCTTGTAGGACATTTGTTACATTTGGTAATAATGGTATATTATTTCATGACTTGAGGAACATAGGTGCTTGCTTACCATTAAATGATTGAAAAGACTATTACAGCACTTACAGTTATACACTTATAAAAGTGTCACAAAATAACAATGCCTAAAAGCAATAAAAAGTACTCTTTTTAAAACCTTAAAGTGCATAAGGATATTCTGAGAGCATAATTATAAGGCTCTCTCCTAAACCAATTAGGAATTTGCTTAAAAGTTAAGTAAGGTCCATTCAGATTATCATTTTGATATTTTGACTTTGAGTCAGAATGTCAATTAAAATAGTGAAATGTTATTAAGAAGGATTATGTTTGCAATACTTAAGTGATTGTTTTTGATTTGACATGTTTACCTTTGTGTTCATATTTATGTACAAGAATATACTATACATGTGCTTTTCTTTAAAACTACATTTATCATACATAAATTACTTTGTTTATCAGTTTGGCCATTTGTGTTAAGATTAAAGGAGCTCCTCTGAGATCAAAAAACCTAAAAATAAAATTTGAAATTTCAGCATAGTTCAAAGGAAACACTTAAAATGGAAAAATCTGCAAAAGAAAAAAAAAGAATTTAGATTTAATCTCGATTTTTGTGCAATACTTAGCCCAATTTGAATGGAAAGGATTGTAACCTTTTCCAATTTTGGGTCATTATTTTCACAATATAAAATATTAATGTGGAAGAATGGCATGAGGGAATGATCTAAAAACTTGCACCAGGCATACATCAAATGGTACACAAATCTCAGAAAAATATTTTCAGTCACCTTGTTTGAAAAAACCTCAGTGGAGTCCCTTTACACTGCAGTAGTACCAATTTTCATTTCATTTTAACTTTTTTTTGTACTTTATGAAAAATATTAAATAAAAATAAAAAGATGACAAGAACATGTTTGGTAAAACCTGTTGCCATTAGCCCAGCTTCTTGTCAATAAAAAAAATTCCAAAAAAGTTTTACCTATTTACCTAGTGAGCAGAAAAATTGCTAAAAATATTAGATTGTTAATACAGTTATATAACTTTACAGAGTTGTCACCTTTGTTTTTGTGAAGAAAAAAAGTGTCATTGCTATTTGATAAAGTTGAATTTTTTTCAACTTACCAGTTAAATATAAATGCAAGATCTTGACCTTGAACTCAGTAACCCTAAACTCCATCCAAATTTAGAGGATCACACAAGGTATGTTCCTTATAAATATGAGACATTGGTTAAATAATATATATAGTCCATCATCTTACATAGCTAAATATATTAATACACAAAAGATTGTAATATCTAAATTTCACAATGAAATATCATCACAATTGGCAGTCAAACAGTATATAAACAGTACATAACAAATTGTATCTAATCTGCAATCACCTGGAAAAAATATATATCTACGGTAACTGATTTTAATTCACAAATCATGTTTTTAACTTTAACAGGGGAGAATTTCTGGTGACTTAAGAAAAAATAATAAAGAATACAATTTTAACAATTACATAATACGATATATGCAAGATTCATCAATTCTTGTACATGCACATGTATATATCTATATATATTTTACATAATTTGATTCAAATATTGTGTTCTTAGTTCAAAACTTTTTAAGACATACAATGATAACTTCTGAATAACTACTTTGTTATCATTGTTTAAAAGCTCAGTAAATTTTAATACATTAGCATTTCTCCAAAAATATTCTTTTATATATCGTTTGCGTAACTCAATATACAGAGGACACTCTAGTAAAAAATGAAATTCATCCTCTAATGTTTTACAGATTAAACATTTACGGTCTGAATATGGGATTTTTGAAGGTTTGTGCCACCTGCCTGTTTCTATTTCTAATCTATGCGCCGAAACCCTAAGCCTTGATAATGCAATTCTTAATTTGGTGTTTTTGATAATATCCAAATACGGCTGAAATTTAAATTTTGCATATAAATTATATGTTCTTGCTCTAGATGACCCTTGTAGTTGACTATTCCAATTTTGAATAAAACCATCAGTAAGTCTGCTTTTAAAATATTCCAAAAATAAAGTTTTATTTCCTACTCCCTGAAACAACCATGCATAACTAAAACCTAAATTTTCTAACAACTCTTTAATAGATTTAGCCCAAGAATTCTTTTGGGGATGCAAATCTAAATCATTCAACATTAAGCAATATACCTTTTTAATATACTTATTTTCATCACTTTCCATAATTTTAAACCAATAGCGTACAACATTTACTAACTGTTTATAAAATAAAGTTGTGCGCCCCAGTTTACCATATATAAAATTATTTTGTGTTTGAGGCCTAACTCCTAGTAAATGTTTGCAAAATTGTAAGTGAACTCGTTCTATTTTTTCTAAATTATAGAAACCCCACACCTCACTACCATAACTTAAAATGGGTAAAATAAGTTTATCAAATAGATTTAAACAATGACTTATTGTAAGACAAGGGAATTTCACTAGATACGATTTTAATTTGAATATACCCTTTAAAGCTTGACCACTTAATGTTTCACATGTTGATTGAAAAGAACCACCAGTACTAAATACAATACCTAAATACGAAAAAGAATTAACTACTTCAATAGCATAATTTTGATATATGAATTCTAAGTTTTGTCTATTTCTCCCGCCTTTTCTAAAAATCATAATTTTTGTTTTATTCACGTTTACTGTTAATTTCCATCTAGTACAATAAATATCTAACAAATCTAAACCTTTTTGTTAACCTGACTCTGATTCTGAAAGAATTACAATATCATCTGTATAAAGCAGTAGAAATATTTTTAAACAACCTAACTCAACTCCTTCGAATCCATTTATAGAGAAATGTTCCTCATTGTCATTCAAATACATGGAAAATAAAAAAGGTGATAAACATTCCCCTTGACGTACCCCAAGCATACAAACAAAATCTTCACTAACATTAATGTCATATTTAACACGTGACTTAAAACTCTTATACATGGATTGTAAAATATTTAAAATATTCCCTCTCACTCCCAATTTAATCAATTTAAACCACAGAATGTCTCTAACAACATAATCAAAGGCTTTTGTAAAATCCACAAATGCAACATATAACTTTTTATTTAAATTTAATAGATGATTTATAATACCATTTAAAACAAAAATATTGTCAATGGTTCCCATGTGCTTTCTAAAGCCTGCCTGTGCCTCAATATAAACATTATAATTTTCAGCCCATTTACATAGTCTGTTATTTAACACTTTTCGAAAATAATTTCCCAAATGTACTAAGTAAAGTAATTCCTCTATAATTTCCTACTTCATTAACGTCTCCTTTTTTATGCAATGGAATAATAAACCCTTCTGTCCAGACCTCTGGAAAATAACCTGTAGAAAATAACTTATTAAACAATAAAAATACTCCTTTAACAAATATATCATTCTGCGAACCGTACTTAAAAAATTCAGTTAAAACATAATCTGGGCCTGCAGATTTACCTATATTTAATTCTCTACATGCTTTCACTATTTCTAAATACGACAATTCAACATTTAATTCTGAGAACATACACTGGAGTTCATTATTCAAATAACGTTCATTAAAATATAAAATGTCCTCGTCTGGCTGAAAAAATACAGAGTCCGAATCATTGATAGCTTTAAAATATTGTACAAAGTTATCAGCTGTCAATGTATTTGATTTATTATTATTTAAATCTGTACTTTTTAACAAATTCCAATAGGCCTTTGCATTAATAAATCTCAAATTTTCTATTTTCTTTGTTTGGTCACAATCATATATATATTTCTTTTTTCTCAATATACTTTTATATACTCGCTTCTAGCACTCACCATATTTTTTCTGGATTCATCACATTTATTTTTCCTAAAATCATTTAAACTTATATAAAACGCAACTTGTTTTTGTTTACAGTCACTATCATACCATATTTTTTTATCTTGAGTATCTGTAACTTTAACATTTTTTTGAAAAATTTTCTTTTTAAACAGTGGTGAACATACTTCATCAATAATACAATAAAAATCTTGTAAACTTGAGTCAATTTCCTCATTTGTAGATGAAAATTCTAATTTTGTATTAAACTCCTGTAGTTTATTGATAATTTGATAATTATTTAATGAATCTAAAAATAACTCTTTTTTTCTCATTTTCCCATTTATATTTATGTGATACAGTATTGCTTTCTGCCTGAACATTAAGTTCTATGTTACAATTGGTAACATTGTGTGAAATTGTATAATTAACAACACAATGATCTGATAAAATATTTGGCTCTTGAACTTTAAATGAAGAAATATGCTGAAAAAAGTCACTTCTACATAACACCATATCTACAACACTACTACCAGCACTATTAACACACGTATAATTACCACAGTTCTTATCATCACCTAATCTGCCATTTACAATACGCATACCAGTGGCTTTACAAAAATTTAACAAATATTTGCCATGCTCATTAACCTTTTTATCTTGGCTGATTCTAGGTAATTCATTATCTGTTACATAATTCCAAGATAAAATATTTTCATCAAACAGATTATCATTTTCAACAAAATCTGACCTTCCACCAACACGTGCATTCAGGTCACCGTTAATTATGAAGTGACAATTATCATTGAACATATTTTCAAAATAAGACATATCATCAATTATCATATCAAAAATATTCTGTTCAGTTAACATTTCCCTGCTACTTCCTGAAGGTATGTTATATGCTAAACACAAAATAACATCTTTTTCAAAATTAAACACACATTTGTCTATTTGCAGCCATATAATAAAGGCTGTATATGAACAAGTGTAAAAATCTATAGTTAGCAATGGTGACCTTGACCATGTGACGACCAACTTTTAACCATCCAAGGTATGTTCCTTCCAAATATGAAAGGTATCTCTCCATAAAAAAGGTTGTAGATGTAAAACGTAAAACCAGTAATCTTGACTTTGATCTAAATGACCCCTGAAGACTGTCCTACACATGTCCAAAGAAACACATTGTTTATAAATAAAGTGTTAAAAACATTTTACACCAGTGACCTACACCCCAATGGTCACAAGTTAGAGGTAATTAAAGTATCCACCTACCAAACCTACATAGGGGACTTCTTAAAAAAAAAAAAAAACAAGACATGATTGGATACACAATTTGCGATTTTAACAACCTTACATGATCTTCTTATACAGAATTTGCTTTTATATACAGAATAAGTAATTGCAACATCTGGCAATAAGACAAGTTATAAGTTCATAGGTGCAAAGAATGCTGGATAGATACCTGTGTATGGGGCTTGTGTCTGGTGTCGTAAATTGTGAACTGTAGAACTTGCCAAAGACGTTGTATCCCATAATATATCTAAATTGCATTTCTTAATGTGGCCTGATTCTATCTGTCCGGAAATCGGTCAAAAATCCCACTTGTATAATTCATTTTTTACTTGGATCTCATCTGAGCATTTGCTGCACCATTATATCTTGGTTTCTTATTTAAAGTGCCCAGACATTTTTTCTGAAGTAAGAGCTTATGAAATTCTCAGAAAATATGCATTAAATATCACAATCTCTTTTTAAAATAGGTCATTGGGTTCACTGATCCTCGGTAAAAATTATTTTAGGAACGATTGTTTCTTTCCATTTTGTTGGGGTTCTTACGTCGCAACAACACAGCAGAGATCATATGGCGACTTTTCAGCTTTACTGGTAGGCATGAATGTGCATCCGAGTAGAACTAACGACGTTAGATAGCTTCCTCACTCACATGAATCAAACCCACAGCGGTGAGGGGCAAGAAGTTTAAGTCAACGACCTTATACTCGGCCACGGACGCCCCCACATTTGTGTTAAACTACTGTATTGCCCTAATGAATAAATTCAAAGATAAGATTTGGAAGGACAAGTAATTTAAAGACAGCATATACATTGTACTAACCGGTCCTTGTGTGTGATGCTATTTAACAGAGGTAAAAGTAAAATAAGAAAAAAACAACAAGAGTCATTGAATTTCAGTATCTAATTTCTTGTAAACAAAGCAAATTACAATAATAAAACATAAAAGCATAAATCTATAAATAAGAGTAATTGATACCCTTTGTACTATACTTAACGAAACATGCAAGTATTCCGACTGCAAACTATCTACAAATGCCCAATCAATACTGAACATGTGTTTTGACGCCATCTAGTTTGCTGGAATGTTTTTGTGTAATAATAAAATTACAGTCAAGACTGACTGATTATTTCATATTTTGACAAGATTTATACGCAGTCGGAGTACTGTTTCGTCTAGCATATATTTACAATATAGGGTTGGCAATTCAACAATAAACATATAATTATAAACATAGTAATAAACATAGTAATATAATCTAAATAAATGCCACAGCTGCCTTATAATTCTTTATGGATAAAATTGTGTCTATTTAATAAATATATTCATATATTGTATTTATAATATGTCCATACAAGGTGTTTGTAGTATATTACATAATTCATGATAATTTTAAAAAGCATTTAGTTCATGCATTTTACTTAGTACATAGAACTGAAATAAATCCATAGCAATGGAATTGCTTCTATTGTAATATAGGGCTATAATTCAGATTTAACTTTGGAAAAGTTTCTCATGTGCAACTCATGTGACTCAAAGCCTGCATAGATCATATGGTTCAATAACAATCGGAATATCTCGGCTATTATTCATTATTCGACGTTTGACGGAAAAAGCCGACAAGATACGATTGGTTCTATAAAGGATGTTCTATATGTATTTATGAATGGCAGTATGTAACTTGTAGTAGATTGTCAATGGTGCTCCTACTTTTTTCACACTAATAATACAGGAAATGTATTTAATATGTTCTTAATAACTCGTTAATATGGAGTTGAAACAATCTGAAATTAACATTCTTTCTGTAATGACACTAGGGATGGATCCCTTCCAAATGACATCATTAAACCAGAGTCACTGGTCTTTAGATAATTATTCCAAGAAGGTTTAATACCAGATTTAGTTAAAGTAAAGGCACTGAATATATAACATATAGTTTAAACATGTATTATACAACAAGCGGTAGGTGACAAAGTAATGGAATGTATGACTTTGATCCGAGGGTTTGTGTAACACTGATCAAACTTTCATCTAAAACGCATTGAGAGTTGAACTTATTAATATAAAGATATACTCCTTAAAGCTGCATACCTCCAGATGAGCCAACATTTTTCAAGAAAATCAAGCTTAAGAAAAAGTACAAAGCTGTTAAGATTCACAATTCAAGTAATAATTTACATGTTATGTGTCATTTATGACTTATTTTGCAGTATCTACCACCATATTAGTATTGCGTTACTAACGCAGGAAGGTCTATGTTTGCATATTTTGATCTCTTGCAATGTGTAAATTACTTTCTTTGTTCGTTTCACATTATTTTTATTTTTTTCAATTAATTTTCAAAATTGTCATGAAAATTATTATGAATCTGGACGCACGCTTCTTTAACGGCTATTGCACTAATTATTGTTAACTGTTTAAATATGTTTAAACAAAATAAATCAATGAAGTGAAATTAAAGGAATTGTTAAGTAAGAAAACGTAAATAAAATGAAAATTGCGATAATTATTATTAATATAAACACAAAGGCAATCATGAACAAAACACATTTGACCATGATTATTTAAATATTCCAATATGTCAAAGATATGATAACATATGATAATTTGTTTCATTGTAACTGAGAATTATCAATATCTGTTCTCGTGTTATCTAAAGAGAATTATTCGATGAACTTTACCAGCTTTCGTTTTTGGAACTGTTAAGTTCTGGGATATCAAAATGAATATTTAAAGCTACATCCAACAATATAGAGGCTGGACAGAGTACATTGACAAAGGGATAATAATTCCAGCAAAGTGAGAGTTAAAGTGACATTATGCCTATCCAAGGGTATATAGTGAGTGAACTGGTGAAGGTCAAAATAAGTTTTCATTTTGCCATAATCCCTTTTAATTTTATAATCAAGCTCACATAAACAATAAATAACGCACAGATCCAAACGAAATTTCTGTAAATATCCGTAAGAATTTACCTATAACGCTAAGTTTATAAAAAGATTGGGGCAGTCTTTTTATATTTTAGCCAGATTTATAATTTTCACCTCAACATTTTCCAATATCAACTGTTGGTCAAACACCATTTTGACAGTCAATCTTTTGAAATATCAAGTCAATTCAGCTCACCTTGACTATGAAAAAATGAGCATAATGTCACTTTAACTCTTTAATATGTTGGAATAAATAGTGATTTTGTTTTTACTGTAATGAAAAAATAAAAAAGATAAAACTCTAATATCCCTGAATGTTTAGTTAAAGATGGAATTTGCACAGATTATGTTGAATAAAAAGGATATTCAGTAGCGTAACAAAATATGCAAATAATTTGCAATGAAATATCATTAACAAACAGTGTAAATGGTGCATTGTCTTTCCATAGTAAAGAAATGGTAGCCCAGGACACTGTCAAGTTCTCGGATGGATAACATGGACGTTATTTAAAATCATGTAAATTTTTCTGATAAATTCTAGTAAACAGTAACATTACATTGTCTCACAGTCGAGCTTTTCTGAATTCACATTGCACGTGTTTGATGAGAAGAACTCTTTCAGCAGAACATTGTGTACTGGAGGAACTGTAAAATGACAAAAATAGGTTAGTTCAAACGATTTTGAGCATTCAAATCTATTTATAGTTCAAAACTTTCTTAGACAAAACTTCGCCGAGACGGACACAATGCGAAACGCGGATTGTGTCAACCCCTCGTACTCTTTGAACGTATTATTCCTGTTTTTATGTATACATTTTTTATAGCTTAAGATGACAGTAAATAAATAGTGACGTACTATTTTGCAAGGATGTGTTGTGACATCATAGAGCAATGTTTTTACCATATTAATTACAATGTATGTATTGTCGTATAATTAACCCGTTTAGATCTGTCAGTCAATTATTTCTAATTGGACTTTAAATCATACGTTGTACAACACAGTAAGGAACCCAGTTATTTTATGTTTTATCAGTATAAGGCCACATTGGAAATAAGATAAATATGATTGTTATTGTATGTTCTTAATGTGTAACCTTCTTTAAATAAAGATATTATTATTATATTATTATTAGTAGTATATATTACCTCATTTCTTGTAAACTGAGCTACATCTTCAGGCCCGCCAGTTTTCATCTGTTGCTCTTTGAAAATCTCTGACGAAAAAAAATGTAATAATCTGATAGATTATCTTTTGATTTCTTTTACGAATATGTCAACAGAATGTTTTTATACTTCAACATAGACTTATCATCCATAAAAAATTATTTTGTTGAAAAATTGAACTGATTGCTATGTCCTGTAATGAAAGCAACTGACATTCTGAAATGTTTTATATAGATATATCATTGTTTAAGTAAAGATAGGGGACATTCATTTTCATCAAACTGATGTTTCTAGAATTTGTTTACATTTTCAAATTACGAAAATGCTAATAGGTCTCAGATATCCATCGGTTTATTAGTTATAGACCGAATATCAACATTACAAACCGGTTCATGTGAATGGTTTAATATTCGGTCCGGAAAAAAATCATTAAAGATTATTTACATAACAAGAATTGGTTGAAATCTTTTTACAAATATTTGATATTCAAACACCTATTCCGTTTTATTGAATACAGCTTAACACAGTGTTATGAATATTTTTATTGTCTTCTTACCGTACATAACTGTGAGTTTACACATCATAATGATGAAATCTTCAAGGCTTACCGTACATAACTGTTAGTTTACACATTACAATGATGAAATCTTCAAGGCTTATCGTACATAACTGTTAGTTTACATATTACAATGTGAAATCTTCAAGGCTTACCATACATAACTGTTAGTTTACACATTACAATGATGACATCTTCAAGGCTTACCGTATATAACTGTTAGTTTACACATTACAATGATACAATATTCAAGGCTTACCGTACATAACTGTTAGTTTATACATTACAATGATAAAATCGTCAAGGCTTACCGTACATAACTGTTAGTTTACACATTACAATGATGAAATCTTCAAAGCTTACCGTACATAACTGTTAGTTTACACTACACAATGATGGAATCTTCAAAGTTTACCGTACCGTACATAACTGTTAGTTTACATATTAAAATGATGAAATCTTCAAGACTTACCATACATCACTGTTAGTTTACACATTACAATGTGAAATCTTCAAGGCTTACCATACATAACTGTTAGTTTACACATTACAATGATGAAATCTTCATGACTTACCATACAAAACTGTTAGTTTACACATTACAATGTGAAATCTTCAAGACTTACCATACATCACTGTTAGTCTACACATTACAATGATGAAATCTTCAAGGCTTACCATACATAACTGTTAGTTTACACATTATAATGATACAATATTCAAGGCTTACCGTACATAACTGTTAGTTTATACATTACAATAATAAAATCGTCAAGGCTTACCGTACAAAACTGTTAGTTTACACATTACAATGATGAAATCCTCAAGGCTTACCATACATAACTGTTAGTTTACACTACACAATGTTGGAATCTTCAAAGTTTACCGTACATAACTGTTAGTTTACATATTAAAATGATGAAATCTTCAAGACTTACCATACATCACTGTTAGTTTACACATTACAATGTGAAATCTTCAAGGCTTACCATACATAACTGTTAGTTTTGCACATTACAATGCTAAAATCTTCAAGGCTTACCGTACATAACTGTTAGTTTACACATTACAATGATACAATATTCAAGGCTTACCTAACATAACTGTTAGTTTATACATTACAATGATAAAATCGTCAAAGCTTACCGTACATAACTGTTACTTTACACATTACAATGATGAAATCTTCAAGGCTTACCGTACATAACTGTTAGTTTACACATTACAATGATCAAATCTTCAAGGCTTACCGTACATAACTGTTAGTTTTGCACATTAAAATGATGAAATCTGCAAGGCTTACCGTACATAACTGTTAGTTTACACATTACAATGATGAAATCTTCAAGGCTTACCGTACATAACTGTTAGTTTACACATTACAATGATGAAACCCTACATAACTGTTATTTTACACATTACAATGATGAAATCTTCAAGGCTTACCGTACATAACTGTTAGTTTACACATTACAATGATGAAATCTTCAAGGCTTACCGTACATAACTGTTAGTTTACACATTACAATGATGAAATCTTCAAGACTTACCATACATAACTGTTAGTTAACGCATCACAATGATGAAATATTCAATGCTAACAGTACATAACTGTTAGTTTACACATTACAATGATGAAATCTTTAAGGCTTACCATACATAACTGTTAGTTTACACATTACAATGATGAAATCTTAAAAGCTTACCGTACATGACTGTTAGTTTACACATTACAATGATGAAATCTTTAAGGCTTACCATACATAACTGTTAGTTTACACATTACAATGATGAAATCTTAAAGGCTTACCATACATAACTGTTAGTTTACACATTACAATGATGAAATCTTCAAGACTTACCATACATAACTGTTAGTTTACACATTACAATGATGAAATCTTCAAGACTTACCATACATAACTGTTAGTTTACACATTACAATGATGAAATCTTAAAGGCTTACCATACATAACTGTTAGTTTACACATTACAATGATGAAATCTTCAAGACTTACCATACATAACTGTTAGTTTACACATTACAATGATGAAATCTTCAAGACTTACCATACATAACTGTTAGTTTACACATTACAATGATGAAATCTTCAAGGCTCAGTCTTCGGTCCCTGCCACCGTAACGTCTGACGATAGATGTTAGCACCATTCTACTTACTGGGAACCCTAATAAAGACAGTGATACAAAAATAGTTTGCAAATAATTTATGATCAGTTATTTCAAAACAAGCTTCTCCCAACTAGGGTAACTTAATTATGTCTTTTAAGGTATGATTGATACTAATAATATTATCTATAATATGTAAATGGTGAATAAAAAGGTTAGAGTTTTTGTCAAATCTAAGGGTGATAAACTTGTCCGTTTAAAATGTCTACGCAAAGCTAGCTTGCATTTAACACAAGTTTAACAAACATGGCCATCCAACGTTTCCAATTTTGCCATGTTAAGTGACATTTATAGCTATTTGTTAGTGTGTTGAAGACACATTTTATCAGAAAAGAAAATCTGATTTTTTAAATGATTTCTTCTGATTTGTACAGCACCAGTTTTCTTTAAGCATTTTCAAAAGATAGACGAATACACGTATAGAAAAACTGAAAATGATATAAGAAAAAGAAAATCATAGACGTTATTAGAAGATATATAATTCAGCGAGATATGTAAATTATGAAATGAGCCGCGCCACGACAAAATCAACATAATGGGTTTGCGACCAGCATGGATCCAGACCAGCCTGCGCATTCGCGCAGTCTGATCAGGATCCATGCTGTTCGCTTACAAAGCCTATAACAAGTAGAGAAACTGATAGCGAACAGCATGGATCCTGATCAGACTGCGCGGATGCGCAGGCTGGTCTGGATCCATGCTAGTTGCAAACCCATTACGTTGGTTCTGTCGTGACGCGGCTCAAATAAAGAAGAATCGTACTATCGTTACCAAGTTTGTTGAATAATGACCCAAGTTCCAGGGTGTCTATTGTGTTGGAACGATTTGCATCAAATTGTTTGAATACAGTCTAAAATATAATTCAATACTTACAGTTAAAACACTACTAACATATATAAAAATAAATATTTTACTTGCTTTTTCGCAGACGACAGCAAATCTTAAAAAATGGATAATATAGGATAACACTGTTTAAAATAACAATATCCGCATCGTGCGCTTCAATTAATATATTTAATATTGATGTTAGCTTTCTTTTGCAAACACACCTTTCCAGATTTCAATTTTTTCACTTTTTCAATTACGCATATTCGAAGTTTCCTAGCTCCAAATCTGTAGTTTCGTATGTGAAAAAAAATCATGTGTATGGATTAGCGAAAAGTGTGCATTCTGTCATATTTCTGAGTATAAATATTCTTGTTAGTAAAACAAAGTTATAGAAGTTAATTTTAAGGATTATATTTTATATGTACGGCTTTTACACTTACCATTATGAAAACGCAGTGAGAAATGCACACTTTATTTTAAAAGCAATAGTTTAAGAATACCGTATATGCCTTGATTTCTTTTAAAAGTATCCTAGCCTCTTCCCAAGATAAAAACCCTGATCGATTTTTCTTGAACAAGTTAAGGAAAAATTATGAAAATTATTTTTTTTCGCTAGCGAATAAACAGCAAACTTGACAAATATATTAGAAAAAAGTTTTTTTTTATCTGCCCTGTTCTGTAATCGTGTAGGTAAAATGATAAAACAAACATATAAGTGCAAACATGTTCTTTATCAAACAAAAAATATTACATACACTTTTCGTGTTTAAATCAATCAAGCAACATAACAACATAACCAAAGTAAATATAAAGAAAGTCAATGTGATAACTTATCATATTCAAATCTGGAAAGATATCGTGATTTAAATTTATTCCTTTAACCCACACATATTTGATCAATACCAATAAACACATAAAAGCCCATTATGCCTTCTCAAAAGTATTTTTAGTGTATTTTTACAGATTCTATAAAGTTATATATTTGAGCCGCGTCACGACAAAACCGACATAATGGGTTTGCGACCAGCATGGATCCAGACCAGCCTGCGCATCCGCGCAGTCTGATCAGGATCCATGCTGTTCGCTTACCAACTTTATTACAAGTAGAGAAACTTATAGCGAACAGCATGGATCTTGATCAGACTGCGCGGATGCGCAGGCTGGTCTGGACCCAAGCTGGTCGCAAACCCACTATGTTGGTTTTGTCGTGACGCAGCTCATTTGTCAATTATTATCTTAACCATCTTTTCTGTTGCTTTTTGGCGATAAGTACAAATATAGTAATTAAGTACTTTGTATGGAAGTCAAAATACTATTTTGTTTACATTTTGCTACTTTTATGACAAATAATTTCACAATTAGAGCTACTTTCTTCCGCCGGTAACACGCATATGGCATGCTATTTAACCACTATTTAAACTACTTTATGAAACAATTTATTGCCCTTTCTAAATATATATATAAATTGCGTTTAAGAGATATTAATGAAATACAACAAATGTTAAAAGAAAAAAATGTATTAGCTCCAGAAAGAAGTCGCTGACATCAAAAGGATACATCCATCATCGTAACCAAACTTCTACATGCCTCTCTATTAAATGATATTGACTCTTTTAACTCTGAAAATATATCATAAAACGATGTATTTGTCACGACCACCCTTTTCGTTATATTTTTTGTTTGTGTTTTACGTCGCATATGGTTAATATGGCGACATTTCAGCTTTACTGGTGGAGGAAGACCTCATGTGTCCTTCCGTGCATTATTTCAAGCACGAACGGACACCTAAGTAGAACCGCCGACGATAGCTTCCTCACATGAAAGTATCCAAAGCCTTGCCGAAATTGTGTTTTTATTATAGAAAAGAGCAAATTCATATATTTGTTATGCGCGTTAAGTACATAAAAAAAATAGTTTGCTACATTGAAAAGAGTACTAAGAAATACAAGCAAAAAAGACCCATACATACAATATTGGATTTATTCTGCTATATGATTTACATTTTTCGGTTACATTTTACCAACTGGCATTTAGCGTTACCCCTGAAGACGTAATAAAATCGGATATTCTCAAATACTATCATATATAAAATTAGGAACTATTTCTATTTTGGAAATTTCAAATAAACTGTGTCTTAACCTTTTAATGTAGCCTCTATGAGGAACTGTCTGAGTTCTTTGTAGTCCATTTTGCCGTCTTCACCAGCATGTTTGGCAAACAAAAGTGCCATAGAGTCACGTGGTTCAGGAGTTGGCTGGAATATTATGAGAGATTTGTCACTTGTTAAATATAAATGTAAGTCAACAACACAGGCGACTTCGTGAATGAAAATTGAAATGTAAAGATCTGAAATCTTGAGTTTTTTTATTTCCCTCATTTCTTTTTTCTTTTATCAGATGCTTATTATAGCTTATTATAGTTAGTATTCTCTGTTCGAACGAAATTATCAAACCGTTTACCGAATCATCAAAGAAGGCATGTAAGTACAGATACAATCAATACAAAATGTACCGTAAATACATATTCTTGCTACAAAACCCGTAACCCTGTTATGCTTTTAATATTCATTTTATATAATTAATTTTTGTACTTACCACAGAAGGCCCATTGTCCTCATCCATGACTCTATAAAAACAAAAATTTTCGTTTTAAATACCAGCGTTATTCAACTTATAAATTTTCTTTGCCATCAAAACAGATTGTATTAAAAAGACCTTAAACATAAAACATTTGCTGTCATAAATGTAGGCTTTCTTAGAAAATAATGAAATGCTTCTAGATGCGTTAGATTTTTACATGTGAAAAATGTATATAACTAATAACGAAAAGTCAAAGTTTCTGCCATGCTTCTTTTTACCAGAAATAATAAAACAGAGTGGAAATATTCGTAAAGAACTTACTCTGACTCCACCTCTTTTTCTGTGTAAATTCTTAACATAAATTCCGCCTCCTCGTGTGGATGGAACGTGCTTGGAATGATGACGTAATAACCTGGCGGGAATTCAAACCTCAGAGTTACCTCTCGGTAAAATTGGTACTTGCCAGACCCACGTTTATGAATAAGTGCGGACTGCGGTAAAGCCTCGTCATCTAGAGGGCGCCTCCGTGAATTCCGGACCTAAAGGAAAGCCAAAATTCTTTAATGATAATGTATTAAGACATGTCCGATTATTCATCAACTGTTTGTATACATGTATATTGGTACATTTATATTGATTATGCTTTGATCATGAAAGCTTGCCGACTTCATTGCAAGTTATAAAGTATGCCATTGTCTGCTACTTGTCTTAAGGCAATTTCTTTCAGCAAAGTAAACTTATTTCTTTCAGCAAAGTAAACTTATTTCTTTCAGCAAAGTAAACTTATTTCTTTCAGCAAAGTAAACTTATTTCTTTGGACTATTTTTAGCATCCATCAGACACTATGTTTTCCATGTGTTCTTCAACACTTTCAGCTGAATGTGTTTCATTTTGATTAAGTCTCAGAGATGGTAAGTTCCTTAAAACAAACACATAATTTTGCAAGACGGCTTATTTGTTCTCTTTAGTATTATTACTTATTTCAAAATTGTATAACCTAATATAAAACTTTATATGATAAAACATGTGTGGTATGGCAGTTACCTCGTACACATCAAACCCTATTGCATATTTATTCATGTTCCTGTTTTCTTTTTCCATCAGTGATACAATCATTGTACATTTCTCTCTATTGTCGGTGGAATCTATATCTTTAAGATGAACCTGGAACTGTGGATTCTTCCAGTATAGTTCTAAAACAAAAACAATATAGGTACATTGTTTAAGTCAATGTGAATTCCCTGATTATTTGTTTATTGAAGTCTTCGGTTCGAGTGAATGCACATTTCAGTCGTGATCTGATTATTGAGTAGTTTATTTAACATATGTAAGTCTAATAGATTCATTCATTACAAGACAGTAACTGACTATCTTTCATGCACCAGATACATTTTCTAACAACGTCCAGACACGAATATTATAAAGAAAATGGTGTTTATAAATATTGAAAACGTTTAGCTAAATTACACCTAGATATATAAAAAAATACACTAATTTTTTAAAGAAAAAATCTCCAAAAGTTTTATTTACTTTTGTCAACAAGCCATTACATATCTAAACAGAGTTTAAACCCCATACAGGTCGTCAAAGAGAAGGTTTTACTTGACATGCAACTTGATGGAAGATAAAAGAAACAAGATATACAAGTGACAAAAAGCAATCATTACTTTCATATGGTCTATTCCCACAACCACCTGCTGTAACCCCTTTTATCCATGCGTCGTGGTAAAGTGTTACACTCCAATTCTTTTTATTCTGAAAATGAAAATATATTTGAAATATTCGATGAAAAAAAATGTATTGAACAATTGATATATATATATATATTCCATCTTCGAATAATCTCCGATAAACGCCCGATATAGATGTTTTAATTTGCCATTGGTGCCACTAAATATTTTAATATTTTTACACATGTATATATTTTGAGTATTTATACATGTATATATTAAACATACTGCCACAAATACAATTGTTTGTAAATAAAATCTTAGTTAGTATATTAAACTTAAACACTTCTCTTTTGTAATCTACAGGAATATAAGTAAGAAAAAAACCACAACAACTTAAAAACCACATAAGTAGAAAAGTTCACATGTCCTTAAGATTCATGCACGAGGCAGCAACTGAGTAAGTACTACCGATTTTATGTAAACTATTGCTAGATGACTTCCTTGTATGAAAGCCCTTGGCGGGATTTGAACCCACAGTTATGAGGGGCAAAAGCCAAGTTATGAGGGGCAAATAATTCAAAGAACACGTTGAGCTCTTAAGGAGCCAAAAACAATATTATAAAGCAAAAAATTACTTCTTTTCCTTTCTTTCTATCATTTTGCTTTTACATGCATTTCATTTTCTGAAAAAAGCTTAAAATCATGTCTGAGTAAATATAATTATGAGTAGGTACTAATTATCTTATAAATGCACGTGTATTATATATGAAGTTAGACTTTATTTCACTCTTACTGTGTCGGCTGCCAATTCCTGAGCTAAAGCGTCCGGTTGAAGATGGCACAATTGAACCTCATCAAAATTATCTATAAAGTCATCCAATGAAATCCTGTAAAACAAACATGACATTCTGATATAAAACTATAAATAATAAAAGAATGACAAAGCGATACAATTGTTTTTGCTACTAGAATTTGTTTTGAAAACTCATGAATTTCTTGTGCTTTGTAAAATCATGCTTTGATATCATGAACTCCGTCATAGTTTACTATGATTAAGATTTAACAAATACATCTTTTAAACTGCATGTAATTGCATTTACTGTAAAACTTAGAAGAGCAAAATAAGTACATTTATCAATATCGTAAGAGATTCATTGTGTTTTAATAAAAAATTGATATAAAAAGGCATCTTACCAGAATTCACCATCTTCTTCTATTACAATGTTTAATTTTCGTTTGATTTCCATAGGTAAGTTCCGAATTTCTGATGACCTAAAACAGATACAACTAGAAATGTGTCATCATGCCACGGATGCCCCCGCATGCAGCCAAAATTTCAGATGTTATAATATTTAGTTCCAAATTTGTTTGCACAAATTATTGTTTTCATTTTAAGTTCAAAGCCCTTAAAACTTTTCAATGTTAACACAAACCATTTTCATACAATGTTCAAGGCACTGAAATTATTCAGTCTTAACCTTTTGAAAATAGCATATTTCATATTTGTAGCCAAAATAATGGCTACATACATTTCAACAAAAGTATGAGTGCTGAAACTGAAAGTTCAAATTTTTTTCCAATATTCAAGAAAGATAAGTTTGTCCAAAATCATTGAACCACGACCAAATTCAAACTTAAACTGCTTATTCCTAAGATGTATCTATATTATTTTCAAAGTGAAAGGGACATAACTCTGCCAAAAAAATCATCAAACCATGACCAAATTCCAACTTGACCTGCCCATTCCTTTGACATATCCATATGTCAAATTTGAGTTGAATATGTAACACTGTTGGGTAAGATAATGAACAGAAACTGTAAATTTCATATTATTTTCAAAGTGAAAGGGGCATTTCTCTGCCAAAAATCATTGAACCATGACCAAATTCGAATTGGCCTGGGCATTTCAAAAACATATCCATATGTCAAATTTGAGTTGAATGTGTTGTACCGTTGGGGAGATAATAAACAGAAACTGAAAATTTCATATTATTTTCAAAGTTAAAGGAGCATAACTCTAAAACCATAATAAATCATCAAACCATGACCAAATTCGAACTTGACCTGTATTTTCTCATGACATATCCATATGTCAAATTTGAGTTGAATGTGTTGTACCGTTGGGGAGATAATGAACGGAAACTGAAAATTTCATATTATTTTCAAAGTAAAAGGGGCATAACTCTGCCAACAATCATCGAACCATGACCAAATTCAAATTTGACCTGTATTTTCTCATGACATATTTAATGTCATATTTGAGTTGAATGTGTTGTACCGTTGGGGAGATAATGAACGGAAACTGAAAATTTCATATTATTTTCAAAGTAAAAGGGGCATAACTCTGCCAAAAATCATCGAACCATGACCAAATTCGAACTTGGCCTGTATTTTCTCATGACATATCCATATGTCAAATTTGAGTTGAATGTGTTGTACCGTTGGGGAGATAATGAACGGAAACTGAAAATTTCATATTATTTTCAAAGTAAAAGGGGCATTACTCTGCCAAAAATCATCGAACCATGACCAACTTAAAATTTGACCTGTATTTTCTCATGACATATTTAATGTCAAATTTGAGTTGAATGTGTTGTACCGTTGGGGAGATAATGAACGGAAACTAAAAATTTCATATTATTTTCAAAGTAAAAGGGGCATAACTCTGCCAAAAATCATCGAACCATGACCAATTGAACTTGACCTGTATTTTCTCATGACATATCCATATGTCAAATTAGAAATGAATGTGTTGTACCGTTGGGGAGATAATGAACGGAAACTGAAAATTTCATATTATTTTCAAAGTAAAAGGGGCATAACTCTGCCAAAAATCATCGAACCATGACCAAATTCGAACTTGACCTGTATTTTCTCATGACATATCCATATGTCAAATTTGAGTTGAATATGTGCAACCGTTACTAAGATAATGAACGGAAACTGATGATGACGGAATGACAGAATGACGGAATGACGGAAGGACGGAATGACGGAATGACGGAAGGACGGAAGGACGGAACAGGGTAACACTATATGCCCCGGCCATTACATGGCGGGGGCATAAAAATACTGCTAATAATTCGAATTGTCATTAAGTGCCTGTAGTTTTAAATACTTAATTAAATAGCGGTCACATGCATGACATACTCGGAAGAGTATCTTATTAAAATCGTCTTGTATTTGGGAATCGAACTCAAGAGGCAAATGACATTAAATTACACCTAAGCCATGTAGGCAAACCGACTTAATCGCTAAAGTGAACATAAGCTATCCGCCTAGCTAGTATATGACAAAACGGAAGATTCCATAAAACTTTAATAACCAGTCTACACCAACACTTTATTTGGTCGTGGTTCGATTATTTTTGATAGAGTTATCCCTCTTGAACTTTGAAAAAAATCAATTTCCGTTCATTATCTCCTCAACAGTTGTACACATTCAATTCAAATTAAAAAAAAGAAAGAAAATAAACTTACGTATCAGACCAGGGACCATTCCATTCTTTCCTACCCCACGGATTTCTTACACGTAACAACTTAACTGACGACCCTCGCCATGGTACCTTTATATAAATGATAAACAATAGTTTCATATACTCGTAGATGTATATCTTTTTGTCTTACATGTATCAGCAGCGATTTGAACCCACAGTCGCAATGCATTAGTGGTTCGGAATAAGTGATATTATCCACTGGGCCATGGCGTCCTTTTTATATATGAAAACAGTGTCAGAATACTAGTATATATAACAGATCGCTAGTTACTTCAAGGAGACAGTGTTGCGTATGCATTATAACTTTACATAAACGTGAAAGTTATGTTATGTTTAAGTAAAATAAAGTAATATATGTATTTTGTTGTTTGTTTTTATAACCGGGACTATTGGGTAAAAAATGTGAATTAAGGTCATAAATCAAAGTATTACCACAGAGAGAGCGGTAATGCTGTATGCATGTCCCATATATAGACCGTTGCTCCTTTTCACTTCCGGTCTTGAAGCACCTTCTGGTAGCTGAAAACATAAAAATTCAGCGTTTTTTTTAAGTACTGTATTTATAGTACTGAAAGTTAACAGTATTATAGATTTGTTATAAAGATTCTTAAGAGGTTATTTAACCGTATATTAACGGTTATTTGCAATATGCAAAGGTACAAACAGCCGCTTAGATAGAGCCATATAAGTCTTTATAACTAATAGTATTAACAACATGCTATTAAGTATTCTTTATAATTCGGTATCTATAAATATCATTCCGAAAGTATCGGTAACGTTCAATACCTAAAAGAGTGGGACAGTCTTTTTGTGATTTAAATAGTTTTGTTTTTATATTGTATCATAAACATATTTCAATATCAATCATTGGTCAATCAAGATTATTATAGTTAATCTTTTGAAATATATTACTAATTCAACTCAACAGCGAAATAATGACCATAATGTCACTTTAACAATTCTTCCAGTCAATTGCAAATTGATTGTGATGTGTTTCGTTAAATGGAAATGTTCCGACGTCAATCAATTTCAAACCTATTATTGTGCAAGTAAATACCCATACATATGTTTAACTATTCAGTAATTCAGTAACATACATTAATACTGCCTCCGATGAGTGAATTCATTTGAGAAGATTTCCACAGCAAGTCGTAGAAGTTATGAGGTATATCAGATCTGTTTGTTAGTGGAAATGTCTCCGACATCCCTCCTGTCATATCTACAAGGGCATCAGCTAGTTTCCCTCCATCCAAACTGACATAACTACCATAGAACCTGGCACGTTACACAAAACACATTACTAACAAGTGTAATATCGTGTAAGTCATAGGTTGTGAAAAGACATAAAGGTGAAACTAGAAAAAATAACCACCTAGCTTTCTTATAAACGATATAAACAGTCAAGTGGTGTAATTTTTGTCATTTAATTCACTGAACAACAATAGTTAGTTATATTACATGTATTTTGTAAAGCTAATTAGTAATAAATATACCATACAGGCAACTTAAAATGTATATAAAGTTATATCTGACGAAATATTTTTTATAAAATCCTAAAAAAAAACCAGTAATATATTGATCATTGCGTGATTATAAGGAACATATATCATATATTTTAAGTTTAAAGCAAATCCAACATATTTCAGTAAATTTATAAATTATTTTACGACACAAAAGCTTTTACCAGAAATCTGTACGCCGAGGTGAGGTCAACCCGCTATATAATTCGATAGTGTTTGTGAAATAAACGTTATTGAAGTCAGTATAGTGAACAAAATCACATGCTTCATACTTCATGTATTTAACATGTTATTCTATAAAAAAAATGTTTACTTATATAAAAGATTATGTTACATATAAAATAAAGAAGGAATCGGCCGAGGATTTCAGATTCAGTTCGCTATTAACGATAATTCGTTATAAGCGAGTTCGTTATAAGTGGAGTCGACTGTGCTATTATGAACTAATGTCATTGGGTAATGCCGGACCAGATTGAACTAACACAATGAGTGTTTGGAAAAATTTTTAAATCCTGTTACAACACAAACATATAAAACGATCATACTTGGCATAAGCCTTTTCGAGAAGAGCGCCCCAGAACTCGTCTTTCTCCTCCCAGTTCGAGCAGAAAACCAGCCGGTGTCCATCTGTAGGCAGGTAGTCATCAATTATCACCTCCTGCCACCGACCATACTTCCAGAAGTTAAAACGAAATATACCTTACAAAATAAAGATATATAATTTCAAAATAGTTAGTTTACTTAATTAAATGATAATATACTTGCACTAATTGGTTTGTGTCTACATTCTTATTACTAGAACCAGCGTGTACTCTTTGCTTAGAAAAAAATGTTATTAAATATGATCTAAGATATTTCTTTGGGTATATAGTTAGTAAATGGTTTTAGTCTACGTCACACTTGTGTCGTAGGTGCAGTCTATATACTCCGGGGATAAATCGGTATCATAAATGCCCGAGTTCGGATAGCATTAACAGAAATTTAAACTTCATTTAACAGTACATTTTCCATTTTCTGTTTGGGGCACATATGGTACCCTTTCAGACACGATTGATCACAAGGTCAGACAAATTAATGTCAGTATATGAACAGATAATCTTCATATTGCAATTATTCAAATAATGTGTCCTTGGCATAAAATCTATCAAAAACGTGCTAAAATTATATATGTTTCATCGATACTTTATCAAGCCATATAACACGCTTAATATCTTAAAAGAACCTGCCGGACAAAACCAGTCATCACTGAGAATTAAGGGAACAGTGCAGACCATAATTCGTCAGCACTAGTTGCACAGGTAAAATCTGTTGCGGACAGTATAATTAATGTTCGGCATTACTTATGTAATAGTAACAATATTAAAATGAGATCGACTTTTACCTGCATAGTTATCTTGGTCGAAACCCTGATCTAGCGGAACTACACGCTCGAATTGTTGACGTGGACCATTCACCAGCAGTGAGGCACCGGCCACAAACCAACAGTTTCCTGAAATAGCCAGTGCCATAGCCATTTAAAATCATTGATACGTACAAACTAATTGACTTCCGACATTTTCATACATGCCTCTTTGTTAATTATGACAAACTAAAATGTCAAAACTTGGACAGAATACGATCAACAGTCCGATCGTTCTTTAAATTGATGGAAAAAAAACAATCATCTACTGTGACGTCATATCTAGTATAGATGTACGCATAATTCATCTTTTATTATCAGCAATCTGCATATGGTAAGTTCCGAAACAAAACAGACCGGATTTATACATATGAACAACTGTACGTGTAATAGTAAAGTAAATTTACAAGAAATTTATTATTATTTGCATTTTCTTAACTTTAAATATCACCTTTAACAAGTACGAAGCCACTATTTGAACATCGTGGGTCTTGGATAGTGATCGTTTAATCGCTGAGTAAAAATTATTCTTGGAATTCGATCTATGTCATAACAAATATATGTAACGTAATTTGAAGAACAACCAAGATGTCCTCAATCGACAAATGATTGATTCCTTTTATTAAAAAACGTAAATTGTCACAGGAGAGTATGATTTAAGTATATTGTCACACCCATCTCTTGTTGTAAAAAAGTAAATATCACATGTTCATTTCACATGACAATTAATCTGAAATAACATTAGGTACTTTCCATGTTACAACGGATTCTCACGAGCTGTTTTGGTAATATCCGGTTACCGAGCCTTGATTTGAGGGTAGCGTGTCGTTATTTGCCTTTTTGATTAATTGAATAACAGCGTTATTACGAGTAGTTAAAACCATTGCGTGCAAAATAATGGTACAATCTATATAAGTTAAACATGAATACGCTTTACACTTGTTTTTTGCTGCAAATATTGGCTTTCAACGTCTGCATTGTACATACATATCTGCTAAAATTGTGCATGATTGCTAAATTATCTTTATTTGTCAAGTTGAAACAGGATATGCTTTTATCTATTCAGTTACAGATTGTACAAGATTGAGAATAATTTGTCGTCTGCATAAGAAACTTCAAACAATATATTATTCAGTACATTTTCATGGATTTGGATGAGTCATAAAACCCTTTCTATGTGCAAATGTTATTACATTTTATAATAAAATTAAAATTATTGATTACAGTTAAATTTGAAAAACTCTTTTATGTCCCTTTAACAAAGAATATAAATTATAAGGAAATGTATATACATGTACACGAGAATCTACAGTCAAACCTGCCCGTAAGGTGACCTTTGTTATAAGGTGGTCTCTGAGTACAGGGTTTCTATAAACATTTAACAGCACTATTGTTTGTGGCAAACTTTCCATACACGATAATCGTTTGTAGGCGGGGTGGTCTTTTACACTAGATAGACTGTATAGTGATTAATAAGAAAAATGAAAGTTAATCTATAGGAAATAAATCTATTAAGTGTTACAAGAAAACGAACAATGAAAAGGAAAGGAAATAGAGTACATCAGTGTCGATTGTTTAGACATAAAAACAATGTATAATGTTGTTGTTACAAATAAAGACTCGTCGTGACTGTTGTTATTTATTCTTACTATTTCTAGCATAAATAAAATTGTTTATGTTTTTCTTTAGTTTAACTATGACCTCTGTATGGAAGCGTTTTCTTAAACACTCGTATGCAGATTTGCGCAAAGAATGTACTTCCTGTGTGAGGTTAGGGACGGTGGTGGTGGTAGTAGTAGTATATAAAGCAACTTTTACGGAAGTTAAAACAAGGAAATATAAATATGATACATACCTAAACTTCCCTGATCAAGGTCAGATCTTGTTGCTGTTGCAGAAACAAATTTTGGGTTTCTTGATATATTCTACAAGACGAAGAGTATTTAAAAAAATCGTGATTTTAAGTAATGCATGTGCTATATGCTGAAATATTTTATCAACCCAATCTGCATATACTAAAGCGGCGAAGCGTGTATTTTAATATCATATATGAATACAATTTGTAGTATATTTTGTAGTGTTACAAAATTTCACACCATGAACAGTGATGAACATCTTTATTCAAATATCGCTTAAATTATTGCTGGTTAAACACTTGTTTCAATTGTTAATTATAATAACTATACTTAACAAGTACATGTATATCTAATTAAACAACAAGATAAATGAAATCAAAGCTTTATTTTTAAAGAATTTTATAAAGTGTATTAAATAGTATTTCAAACTTCAACACTGGTTGAGTTTTAAAAAAGTAGAACTAAACGATATATGGTACTTTTGCGCTGATTATTCCATTACTCCGTGTACCTGTATGCAAGTCGCTTTAATGTAATAATCTATACAGCTTATAGGTAAACGTACCCACTCAAGTGAATGCACTGATAAGCTATATATAGATCAGTATCGTAAGGTTAAAAAAATAAACAAGAAAAAAACATTGTTTGTACTCACTATAGGTCTTTTCCACTCAATTCTTCTGATATTAGTGTCCCGGCTGATTGAACCCGTCGGGCTAATAGATTTAATATCCGGTGGGAATTCTGGATCCACATATAGAGATCGTGTTTCAATTAACTTTTTTCTTAAAGCATAAAACTCCGATTTATTCGAGCTCATTTTGAACTAGATTGTGTGTATTATGACAGCTAAGCAAAACTATCTATGCGATAAAAGTGTTTTTATAATACTCCTAGTTGAATATTTAACCAAGCATGTTAAGGTTTATGGTCTATTTCATATAAAATAGTATTACAGTAGAAATTGTTTATGTAGCCCAGCGGTTGTGTTACGCGCTTATTTTATATGATCGATACAATTATACATTCACCAATTGAAGGCTGAGTATGCAACGACTGTCGATTTCTTATTTTTACCTGTTAACAGGTATAATTATAGAGTGTTTAAAATATCCAGGCAGGTTTAACAACGTGGGTTTGTAAAATGCAAATAAAGGTCGATTGTTTAATTTTATTTTGTGTAAGATTATCGCAAGCATTTGAAATGAAAATGGGTAATAAATCAAAAGAATTGAATATTCGTATGTAATTGTCTTCCTTGTAGCATGATGAGTAAACCGTAACATGATACTCTAGGTGCGTACAGCTCCTTTATAATAGAGAGTTCCCTAGATCTTAATATACTACCATCGCGGACACTGATATGTAAACACATGTATCATAGAATATAGTTTAGATAATAAACGTAGTTAGAGCACATATATATTTATGTCGTTCATAAACCCATGACATAACATGGTGTCAGAACTGGAAAAATAATAATTCTTAAAGACGGAATATTTTAAATAGTATAATTATAATTCCTAAAGAAAGAATATTATATAAAAAGGAAAATCATTCCTAATGACGGAATATTAATAAATGTGCTAAACATTCTTTAAAAAAAAGGACAGACATAAACTATAATTCCTTCTTGTTGGAATATTACATTAACATTTCCTTAAGTGCTGGAATATTATAAAAAAAAATGAATTTAAGTGGTATCCCGCAACCTCAAATGGACTGGACATCAACCAATCTTGTAGAAGAATTCGCAAAATTTCAAGAGCACTGTGAATTAATATTTAAAGGACCCTTGAAAGATCAAGAGGAAGATGTCCACGTTACAATGCTATTGCTTTATATGGGCGCAAAGGGAAGAGAAATATATAGAGCCGCCAATTTATCTAATGCAGATAGAAAAGAAACAAAAAAGATCTTCCAAAAAGTCCGAGAACACATCGCTCCGATAATTAACCCAGTATTTAGCCGCTATCAATTCAATAATATCACACAAGGCGAAAAAACTATGGAACAATTCATCACAATAATAAAAAACAAGGCTGCAGAGTGTGATTTTGGAACAATGAAAGATGACATGATCAGGGATAGAATTATATTTGGTGTGTCATCCACGAAATTGAGAGAAAGGCTTTTGCAAGTAGGGAAAGATCTGAAATTAGACAAGGCAACAAAACTGTGCCAAGAATTTGAATATGCTGCATCTCAAATAAAAATGTTCAATAACGTCCAAGAAAGTGCTCCGGTACATGCAGTATCAAGACCGAAGGGACGGATGCCTAGCCGTTCATCGGGCATCCAAGGTCGTTCGTCTCGGAACCCTTCATCGATGAATCCAGGTCGATATACAGAAACATCGAGCAATCCAGGTCGCATTGGGGAACGTTCACACAGTACAAAATGTAACAGGTGTGGAAATCAACATACTGACAAGCAGCGTTGTCCAGCAAAAGGCACACAATGTAACAATTGTAAAAAATGGAACCACTGGAGCAATGTTTGTAAATCTAGAACAGTGAATGAAATTTCAAATTTATGTTCTGAATTATACATTGACTGTGTAGAAAATGTGGACAGTCTGGACTGTGTAACAGTAAAAAATGGACAGATGTTTACAGAAATATTAATTGGAAATAGTAAAAAGGCTGTGCAAATGAAGTTAGACACTGGCTCTCAGGTAAACATTTTGCCATTATCTACCTTTCAAGGTTTAGGAATCAAGGCACCTCTTGAAAAGCCCACATCTAAATTGACCGCCTACAATGGCAATTCCTTGCATTGCAAAGGGCAAATCACTCTCCCTTGTTCTCATGCTGTTTCAGGTCAAGCAAAAAATGTCACATTTCATGTCGTAGACACGAAATCCCCACCACTATTAGGTTGCGAGTCGTGCTTGGGCTTTAAGCTCATAGAATTCGCTCATTCTGTACAAAATGATTATAATCATAGAAATAAAGAGGCATTTCTTACTAAAGAATCCCTTTTGACGGATTATGCCCAGGTTTTTGATGGCATAGGGTTACTCCCTGGGGAATGTAACATTCATGTTGACTCAAATGCTACACCAGTTGTTCATCCTCCCCGTAGGATTCCAGTTGCTTTACAAGATAAAGTGAAACAGGAACTTACACGAATGGAAAAAATGGGGGTAATTGCTAAGATTTCAACACCCACTGAATGGTGTAATAATTTAGTTGTTACTGAAAAAAGTAATGGCGATATACGTCTTTGTTTAGACCCTCGTTCGCTTAATAGTGCAATTAAGCGTACACCCTACCCGCTCAAAACACTTGATGACGTATTACATAAGTTTGGTAATGCAAAGTATTTCACTAAATTGGACTTAACTAGTGCTTACTGGTCAATACAATTATCTGAAGAGTCGTCATATATTTGACTGCATTTAACAGTCCATTGGGGGTCTTCAGGTATCTTCGATGTCCATACGGATTAAACGTATCAGGTGATTTTTTGGTTCGCGCCCTTGAAGAGGCACTGATAGGTCTCGAAGGGGTAGCTACAATTGTTGATGATATTTGTGTATGGGGTTCCACGAGGGAAAGGTCATGACCGAAATTTAGTAGCTGTCCTTGAACGTGCTTTGAACAAAGGCATTCGTTTCAATTCCAGAAAGTTGGAAGTAGGTCTCACCGAGATTAGTTATTTTGGTCACGTGTTAACTGCAGAAGGCTTAAAGGCCGATCCCGCCAAAATTGAGGCCATTAAGGATATGAGACCACCCACATCAAAAAGTGAACTACAGGTGGTATTAGGCATGGTTAATTATCTCAGTCGTTATGTCTCTGACAATTTATCAGAGATTACCGCTCCTATGAGAGAGTTATTGCATAAGGACACAATATTCACGTGGCAAAAGCCTCAAAGTGATTCCTTTGAAAAAATGAAAGAAGTCATTTGTAAGGACACATGTTTAGCTTATTATGACCCAAACAAATCCTTGACATTGCAAGTTGATTCTTCTTCCAATTCTTTAGGGGCAGTAATCCTTCAGGAAAAACGTCCCATAGCATTTGCGTCCCGTAGCTTAACTGAATCACAGAGGAATATGGGTCAAATTTCTAAAGAATTATTATCTATTGTCTTTGGATTTACGAAATTTCATCAGTACTGCTATGGCCGTGATGTCATTGTAGAAAATGACCATCTCCCTATACAGGGATTGCTGAAAAAGCCTATGCATTCAATACCTGCTAGGTTGCAGCGTTTAGTCTTGAAATTAACTCCATATAGGTTTCAGTTTCGTCACATGTCCGGTAAGAAAATCCCATTAGCAGATGGACTTAGCAGAAACGCCAGTCCGGAAACAAGCCCAGAACTTAATGAGGGTATTGAGGCACACGTTTGCATGGTTATCTCATCTTTACCCGTGTCAGATAGAAAACTTGAGGAAATCAGGTTACAAACAAAACAAGATGAACAATTATGTACATTACAACAAACAATAAAGTTTGGTTGGCCTAAGTACAAAAAGGCTTGTCATCAGTTAATTGCTGCCTTTTGGAACTATAGGGATGAGTTATCTGAGGTTAATGGTTTAATAATGAAAGGAGAAAAAATCGTTATGCCCAGGTCACTCAGATCTGAAATGTTAAAGGTGCTGCATTCCAGTCATCTGGGTGCGCAAAAATGTCTTAGTAGAGCAAGGTCAATAATGTTTTGGCCGGGAATTTCAAATGATATAATTGAAATGGTAAATCAATGTCAGATTTGTCTGGAATACAGGTCATCGCAACAGAAGGAGCCATTAATCAGCTCTGAAATCCCAGACTATCCGTTTCAAATTGCAGGGTGTGACTTGTTCTCAATTAATGAGAAAAATTTCATGGTCATGTCCGATTACTATTCTAGGTATCCCATAGTTCATGAACTTTCGAACATAAAAAGTTCAACTGTTATTTCCCACATGAAAGATATCATGTCACATTGGGGCATATGTGAGAAAATAGTCACTGATGGGGGTCCATGTTTTTCTAGTCAAGAATTTGAGGAGTTTTCAAGGTCATGGGATTTTGTACATGTAAAATGTAGTCCATATCATAACCAAACAAATGGCTTGGCTGAGGCGATGGTTAAAGTTGCCAAACGTATACTTAAAAAGGCTAAGGATGATAATTCTGATCCGAGAATAGGATTTTTAGAATATCGTTCTACTCCTCTCGCTGATATAGGAAATTTCAGTCCAGCGCAGTTAGTCCAATCACGACAACTTCGTTCTATCCTTCCCACTGTAAGGGAAAACCTTATACCACAAGTACCGCCCCCTGATGTAGTCAAACAAAAAATCGCAGAATCCAAGGTCAAATCTAAGCATTACTATGATAAAAATGCTAAACCTCTGTCTCCCTTAAATGTTGGAGATTCCGCTAGAATTCAACGTCTAGACAAGTCCTGGAGTCCCGCTGTTGTAATAAAAAATCACAGCGATAGGTCCTATATTGTTGAAACAGAAAACGGACAACAATATCGTAGAAATCGTAAAGATTTGTTGAAATCTAAAGAATCACCTTTATTGACACATGGTGCTTTGAATTCTGGCCTTGAAATGTCAGTTAATGACAGAATGATTAACGTAGGGTCAGAGCGTACCGATAGCAATAAACAGCCTGTGGTTTTGAATCCTCCGGATAATGCTAATTATTTCACTCGCGCAGGCAGAAAGGTGAAGCCACGTGCTGTAACAGACATGTAAATAGACAGTGATTGTTTGTAATGAAGAAATTTACAGTATTAATCATGATTAGTACATGTTGTAAACGACTCATGATAATGAACATTTATTAACTACATGTTACTGTAATCATCATCTAATATAAAGTTTTTCTTCCTTGAATTTATTTAAGCGTTATTCAAATAATCTATGTGGTTATACTTATGATAAAATTATGTTTTAAATATAACAGTAATTTTGTTAAAGATGGAAGATGTAGCATGATGAGTAAACCGTAACATGATACTCTAGGTGCGTACAGC